ACTATACCAGTACACACAGGGACTAGTACAGTACTATACCAGTACACACAGGGACTAGTACAGTACTATACCAGTACACACAGGGACTAGTACAGTACTATACCAGTACACACAGGGACTAGTACAGTACTATACCAGTACACACAGGGACTAGTACAGTACTATACCAGTACACAAAGGGACTAGTACAGTACTGTACCAGTACACACACAGGGACTAGTACAGTACTATACCAGTACACACAGGGACAAGTACAGTACTATACCAGTACACACAGGGACTAGTACAGACACCAGTGCACACAGGGACTAGTACAGTACTATACCAGTACACACAGGGACTAGTACAGTACTATACCAGTACACACAGGGACTAGTACAGTACTATACCAGTACACACAGGGACTAGTACAGTACTATACCAGTACACACACAGGGACTAGTACAGTACTATACCAGTACACACAGGGACTAGTACAGTACTATACCAGTACACACAGGGACTAGTACAGTACTATACCAGTACACACAGGGACTAGTACAGTACTATACCAGTACACACAGGGACTAGTACAGTACTATACCAGTACACACACAGGGACAGTACAGTACTACACACAGGGACTAGTACAGTACTATACTACACACAGGGACAAGTAGTACACACAGGGACTAGTACAGTACTATACCAGTACACACAGGGACTAGTACAGTACTATACCAGTACACACAGGGACTAGTACAGTACTATACCAGTACACACAGGGACTAGTACAGTACTATACCAGTACACACAGGGACTAGTACAGTACTATACCAGTACACACACAGGGACTAGTACAGTACAGTACTATACCAGTACTATACAAGTACGCACAGGGACTAGTACAGTACTATACCAGTACACACACAGGGACTAGTACAGTACTATACCAGTACACACAGGGACTAGTACAGTACTGTACCAGTATACATAGGGACTAGTACAGTACTGTACCAGTACATACACAGGGACTAGTACAGTACTATACCTGTACACACAGGGACTAGTACAGTACTATACCAGTGCACACAGGGACTAGTACAGTACTATACCAGTACACACATGGACTAGTACAGTACTATACCAGTACACACACAGGGACTAGTACAGTACTATACCAGTACACACACAGGGACTAGTACACACACAGGGACTAGTACTGTACTATAACCAGTACACACACAGGGACTAGTACAGTACTATACCAGTACACACAGGGACAAGTACAGTACTATACCAGTACACACAGGGACTAGTACAGTACTATACCAGTACACACACAGGGACTAGTACAGTACTATACCAGTACACACACAGGGACTAGTACAGTACTATACCAGTACACACAGGGACAAGTACAGTACTATACCAGTACACACACAGGGACTAGTACAGTACTATACCAGTACACACACCAGGACTAGTACAATGCTATACCAGTACACACACAGGGACTAGTACTGTACTATACCAGTACACACACAGGGACTAGTACAGTACTATACCAGTACACACAGGGACAAGTACAGTACTATACCAGTACACACACAGGGACTAGTACAGTACTATACCAGTACACACAGGGACTAGTACTGTACTATACCAGTACACACAGGGACTAGTACAGTACTATACCAGTACACACAGGGCCTAGTACAGTTCTATATCAGTACACACAGGGACTAGTCAGTACTATAGGATTACACAAAGGGACTAGTACAGTACTATACCAGTACACACAGGGCCTAGTACAGTTCTATATCAGTACACACAGGGACTAGTCAGTACTATAGGATTACACAAAGGGACTAGTACAGTACTATACCAGTACACACAGGGACTAGTACAGTGCTTAACCTGCACATGTATGTGATCTAGTTAGAATTCTTAATTACTTCATGTAAAATGTTGTTTAGATCTACTGCTTTGCGAAACTTTGTGCCATTGAAACATTGGTATTAGGTATTTAGACAAGGGAGATAATCCAATATTAATTATGTCGTTGGTTAATATCTTTGTATTATGTGAATGGGTACATTATTCAATCATCAACATCATCTAAATCAAAGAACCAAATAAAAAATATTGGAATAAAAATTTATTGATAAATATATTTTTTTGTATATCACATTTGATAACAAATATCTTAACTTGATATCATACACAATATAAATCTATAAATTGGTCCATGAGTACCTAGTCTGATACATTAATATGAGTGAATGCATCTGAAATTATCTGTCTTAAGCTGTACATTTCACATAAGAATGAAATCATAACACAGGAAAAAAATAGGAAGTGAAAGTTGAGAGAGGGGAGAAAGAAAGAAAATGCATTTTGTATATATTATATATATATGTATAAATTTACTGTCCTGCAGATTACAGCTACTATCTTTATGTATTTATAAGGATCTTATACTCTATATGTGTCTTACAGTATCAATAAATAATAATATTTTAATTCCTGTAAGTAAACATAAGACATCACATGAAATATTGGCTATCCAGAAGTACCTATGTATATACATTTGTATACTCAATAGATAGGATAAAAGATTCTAAATACTTATATCATCATCTACATACAAGGAAACTACAGATTTTCATGTTCAAGATACTACAGCATAGAAACATTATATCACAACATTGAATTTTGACATATTTTGTTTTGGTTTTTTTTTCAAATATTTTCTTATTTTTGGAAACATTTTGACACTTTCTTGCAACATGGTAAGGTTTGACCATAATTGTAGCAGCTTCCTTGCTTTCAAAATGGAAAAAAAAAACATTTAAAAAATGACATACAGCAACAAAATCAAAACAAGAACAGTGTAAACAAATCAATCACAAAAACAACAAAAGCACCACAGAGAGTTCAGCATGTCGCCCTGGTAAATACTAGCTTCTTCCTACCGATCTGAGTCAATTACCAGAGCGTAAGAAGTCCTGAGTTCCATCCGTAGTGAAGGTATTGACAAAATGATGACCTCTCTTATATACATGACACACAGTTATACCAGAGTAGTCTACATGACACCAGGTTACCTTAACAACAGGTCTGGCCTTAGCTTCTCTAACTTTGGTTGACGAATGGTTAGTGAAAATTTTCAGATATGAATCAAACAAAATTCACAGCATTCCTTTTCATTTCTCTATAGATAAATTGTGACAAGACAGAGATGTTTTAAATATCTAGTTTGTATTTAGTGCCAGTTTTTTTTTCAGTAGTAAGAATTTTTAACTTTCACTGACCACTGGTTGAATCTAAACAACATTTGAACAAGCAAGATAAATGGTTGAAACCTTTGTCAACTGTACATGTGCAAGGTAACAGGAGAAATATGTTTGAATGTCCAAGTAAATAGGAAAGAAGATGGCAATGTGACAGCTGACACTTTCCTTGGTGTGAATATAAGGCAGTCTTGATAGTTGAAGGCACAAATTTGAGTGTTTTTGTGTCTACTGCACCAGTCCACCTCAATAATCCTGTTACATTGTACATCTGTATGTAGCAGTATGTTATTTATACAATACAGTATTTATTGCCAGGCTGGGTGTCATCAATGTGTACTTTGAAAACGTAAAAAAAAATCTTTACCTAATTTGATCTGTATATATAACAAAGTTGAAATTTACCAGCAATCCAAAAAGGAATTTGAACGGATACAGAATCTCAGACCTGAACTTAGAGATTATTAATCAACCTCCTCAGATTTGTAATTGTATCACCTGTAGGTATAGAACAATAAAGACAACATTCGAGAGGGAGACTTGTATGTTTACACTGTAGAGTGAGCTTGCCCAATCCACCGTGTGGGAGAAGGGATAATGTATATATATTGTACAATATATGTATACTTTTGACACACATAGCTTAGAGTATTGTACAATAAAGATTGTATAATAAAGTGTTTTTTTCAATTTTTTGGCGATTCACAGAAATAATACTTTAGTATTTTTGGCGATACCATTTCAATAAGATACAATTCTTTTTGAATTTTAAATTCTTTATAATTTGGTGAAACACTTTTCAATTTTTGTCTTAAAACTCAAACGACTATTATTTATACTTTGTACATGTAAATGTTTTCATAAAGTAAATATAATCAGACAAAATTACATAAATAAAACAGATATTTGTACATATCTAATTAAAGATTGATATTTCATCAAACAGGCTTTCCCTTGATCTCTACAAACTTTTAATCTCACTCCCTCTCAAAAATTTTCTATCTTGCTCCCTCACTAAGAAATCTCATCTATTTTCCTCTCCATACACTTCAAAGGAATTGCACATCAATCATTCAGGTACCTGGTACAATCTATCACAATTTTATGTCGTATTTACACAATTTGTAACTAATTCATTAGAATATCACAGCTTTTTTTTTTTTTTTTTAACAAAGCAAAACAGAAATTGATCCTCAGTAATACGTGTGTTAATTATGTGCTCTACAAAACAGGTGCTCTTCAAATGATCCAATTTCCCTGAATATAAACATGTTGGAGATCACTTTTGGAAAATCTTACCATGATTACTGTAGATGATGTATAGGTAGGATGGAAAACAAAGGCAAAATGATGCATTATGTCTAATGCTCATAAAAGCAAGCTTATTGTCTTATCACATTTTACCAATGATATACATTGTATATATGAAGATTGATATGTATACCCCGTAGCTGCTGTGAAACTATTTAATATGAAATTCTATCAAAGTTTTATATAATTATAATTCTAGTTTGAACAGTATTGACAAGGAATCAGTTTTGATCAGTTGATATTGAGTGATGTTGACACCAATCATGTGTTGATCCTTGTCATGTTTTTGATAGCACTGACAAAGCTAGGGCCGTCAACTAACTTTTCCTTCTTATTTTCCATAGTCTGGTATAAGAAATCCATTATTTCCCTTTCAATCATTGTCTTCTTTCTGTATCTGTGATCTCCTCCATGTTACTCTGTTTCCTCGCCTGGTGACACACACTCCCCGTCTGTGTCAGTAAACACTTCATTGTCTGTGTTATCTTCTGTCTCCTTTGTCTTGTTTTCCTGCTCTCCTTTCTCCCCATCTGTCTCCTCCTGGTCCACAAATCCTACCTTTTTTACACCTGAAGTGGAAGTTTTGCGGTTCTCTCCCTTTCCATTTTTACCATCCTTGGGTTGACGTTTTCGTTTTGGCATCTTCCATCCATTCCAAACCCGAATAGTCTTATCCCAGGAACATGACACATACTACAACAAGTTGTTCGAATGAAAAAGTAATATCTGGAGCAAATAGAAAATTGTTGTACTGAGCACCTACATCATTTTGTTTAGTGAAATGTTTTATGTAAAGAAGTCTGACAACAGAACATTGATTTACAGGACATGTAAACTGTGAATTATATTTACAAACTGCATCACTATTTATATATCTGATATTTCACTTTTCTTGAAGATTCTATTGCTGCTGATACAAGGTAAGCTCTGGCTCCTTGCTTACATTTACTTATTTTCTGGTTTATTGTAAGAACATAACTTGGTTTGGTACTTACCTGATTACGTTCAGGGATATGTATGATACTTCTGATTGCGTCTGTGTGGCCCTCATTCGTCTGAACTAGACGGTAGTTTTCTGGGTCATATACTCTGAAATTAATTCAGGAAAACATATTTGCTGTAATCATTGTACATTCAGCATCCAACATCATTGATTTAACTGGTCTGTATTACAGTGGCTGTGTTGTGGGTTTGGAGAATTCTAACAGATGTAATGCAGAGGCTGTGTTGTGGGCTTGGAGAATTTTAACAGATGTAATGCAGAGGCTGTGTTGTGGGCTTGGAGAATTTTAACAGATGTAATGCAGAGGCTGTGTTGTGGGCTTGGAGAATTTTAACAGATGTAATGCAGAGGCTGTGTTGTGGGCTTGGAGAATTTTAACAGATGTAATGCAGAGGCTGTGTTGTGGGCTTGGAGAATTTTAACAGATGTAATGCAGAGGCTGTGTTGTGGGCTTGGAGAATTTTAACAGATGTAATGCAGAGGCTGTGTTGTGGGCTTGGAGAATTTTAACAGATGTAATGCAGAGGCTGTGTTGTGGGCTTGGAGAATTCTAACAGATGTAATGCAGAGGCTGTGTTGTGGGCTTGGAGAATTCTAACAGATGTAATGCAGAGGCTGTGTTGTGGGCTTGGAGAATTTTAACAGATGTAATGCAGAGGCTGTGTTGTGGGCTTGGAGAATTTTAACAGATGTAATGCAGAGGCTGTGTTGTGGGCTTGGAGAATTTTAACAGATGTAATGCAGAGGCTGTGTTGTGGGCTTGGAGAATTCTAACAGATGTAATGCAGAGGCTGTGTTGTGGGCTTGGAGAATTTTAACAGATGTAATGCAGAGGCTGTGTTGTGGGCTTGGAGAATTTTAACAGATGTAATGCAGAGGCTGTGTTGTGGGCTTGGAGAATTCTAACAGATGTATTACAGTGGCTGTGTTGTGGGCTTGGAGAATTTTAACAGATGTAATACAGAGGCTGTGTTGTGGGCTTGGAGAATTCTAACAGATGTAATACAGAGGCTGTGTTGTGGGCTTGGAGAATTCTAACAGATGTATTACAGTGGCTGTGTTGTGGGCTTGGAGAATTTTAACAGATGTATTACAGTGGCTGTGTTGTGGGCTTGGAGAATTTTAACAGATGTATTACAGTGGCTGTGTTGTGGGCTTGGAGAATTTTAACAGATGTAATGCAGAGGCTGTGTTGTTTTACAAAATGTAATCATATACACAAACTTTACTTTATGACAATGGCCAATCAATGTTTTATTATTTCATTATAGTTCATATTAATCACAACACCCAACTTAATCTATTTTATTTACCTGATATATTTCATTTACCTGATGTATTTTGTTTACCTGAAGTAATTTGTTTACCTGATGTAATTTGTTTACCTGATGTGTTTACCTGAGGTATTTTGTTTACCTGATGTAATTTGTTTACCTGATGTAATTTGTTTACCTGATGTAATTTGTTTACCTGATGTGTTTACCTGAGGTATTTTGCATACCTGAGGTTTTTTATTTACCTGAGGTATTTTGTTTACCTGATGTATTTTGTTTACCTGGTGTATTTTGTTTACCTGATGAGTTTACCTGATGTATTTTGTTTACCTGAGGTATTTTGTTTACCTGAGGTATTCTGTTTACCTGATGTATTTTGTTTACCTGATGTAATTTGTTTACCTGATGTAATTTGTTTACCTGATGAGTTTACCTGAAGTGTTTTGTTTACCTGAGGTATTCTGTTTACCTGATGTATTTTGTTTACCTGAGGTATTTTGTTTACCGGATGTAATTTGTTTACCTGATGTAATTTGTTTACCTGATGTGTTTACCTGAGGTATTTTGCATACCTGAGGTATTTTGTTTACCTGATGTATTTCGTTTACCTGGTGTATTTTGTTTACCTGATGAGTTTACCTGAGGTATTTTATTTACCTGAGGTATTTTGTTTACTTGATGTATTTCATTTACCTGGTGTATTTTGTTTACCTGATGAGTTTACCTGATGTATTTTGTTTACCTGATGTAATTTGTTTACCTGATGTAATTTGTTTACCTGATGTAATTTGTTTACCTGATGTATTTTGTTTACCTGATGAGTTTACCTGATGTATTTTGTCTAACTGATGTATTTTGTTTAACTGAGTTATTTTGTTTGCCTGATGAGTTTACCTGGTGTATTTTGTTTACCTGATGAGTTTACCTGAGGTATTTTGTTTACCTGAGGTATTTTATTTACCTGAGGTATTTTGTTTACCTGATGTATTTTGTTTACCTGGTGTACTTTGTTTATCTGATGAGTTTACCTGATGTATTTTGTTTACCTGATGTATTTTGTTTACCTGAGGTATTTTGTTTACCTGAGTTAATTTGTTTACCTGATGAGTTTACCTGGTGTATTTTGTTTACCTGATGAGTTTACCTGAGGTATTTTATTTACCTGAGGTATTTTGTTTACCTGATGTATTTTGTTTACCTGATGTATTTTGTTTACCTGATGAGTTTACCTGAGGTATTCTGTTTACCAGACGTTTTTTGTTTACCTGATGTATTTTGTTTACCTGATGAGTTTACCTGATGTATTTTGTTTACCTGAGGTATTTTGCATACCTGAGGTATTTTGCTTACCTGATGTATTTTGTTTACCTGAGGTATTTTGTTTACCTGATGTAATTTGTTTACCTGATGTAATTTGTTTACCTGATGTATTTTGTTTACCTGATGAGTTTACCTGATGTATTTCGTTTACCTGGTGTATTTTGTTTACCTGATGAGTTTACCTGGTGTATTTTGTTTACCTGATGAGTTTACCTGAGGTATTTTATTTACCTGAGGTATTTTGTTTACCTGATGTATTTTGTTTACCTGAGGCATTCTGTTTACCAGACGGTTTTTGTTTACCTGATGTATTTGTTTACCTGATGTATTTTGTTTACCTGATGTATTTTGTTTACCTGATTTTGTTTACCTGGTGTATTTTGTTTACCTGATGAATTTACCTTTTTTTGTTACCTGATGTAATTTGTTTTTTTTTGTTTACCTGATGATGTAACTTTTTTGTTTACCTGATGACGTGATGTTTTTGTTTACCTGATGAGTTTACCTGAGGTATTTTGTTTACCTGAGGTATTTTGCATACCTGAGGTATTTTATTTACCTGATGTATTTTGTTTACCTGATGTATTTTGCTTACCTGATGTATTTTGTTTACCTGAGGTATTTTGTTTACCTGAGGTATTTTGTTTACCTGATGTATTTTGTTTACCTGAGGTATTTTGTTTACCTGATGTATTTTGTTTACCTGATGTATTTTGTTTACCTGAGGTATTTTGTTTACCTGAGGTATTTTGTTTACCTGATGTATTTCTGTGCACCCACAACAATTGCGCCATTCTGCATATCTATACAGAGACAACACACTCCACCCTGGGCTGATAACACTGTCTCACACTCGTTTAAACCATGTCCTGCCTAGAAAGTAGAACACAATTATATAAAACATATATATAACATAACGACATATGTAAACAGTCTGATATTGCTCTGCTGTGTATACACAGTGAATTAATATGAACAAATATGAACAAATCTGAACTTACAAAAAATGTGCAGAATACAAGTTTCCAGGATTAAGAGTTTAGACAACCGACAAATCTTTTAACTGAGTTATCTCCCTTAAGCTTGCTTACATAACAATAACATTGTCAGAATGCTGCTGTTGTTTGTTTACAGAATGTCTATTTAGTATTTACTTTGAATACAGGGAATCACAAATAATTTTCATTGTCTAATCATACTTCTGAATATAATATGCACAGCATATGTAATTTTGTGTATTTAAACAGGGATTATACATCCCTGATTTTAATTGACACAATTTGGATGCTAATTTCCTGCTGAATAAGATAATTTGTTGTTGTCTGAAATTATTGTATTATTAGAATCAAACAAGTTGGTCAACATGGAGTAGACGTTAACTACATGATAAACACATATCCTATAATCAGGAGTCTCATTGATTTAAGAGCAATAAGGTCCTGTAATTAATAGCTATTTATCAAATTGAACTTTGTATATCAATTATTCATATTCAGTTGTGATAACCTTTATTCTGGATTTAATGTCATAAACAATATATGTTTATATTCTAATTATGTTCAAAATCATATGAAATGTATAACAATGTGTTTTTCTCTGTACAGAAGTTGCCATGTATAAAAGTATTAGATAATTCAGAATATATAATCAAATGATTGAAAACAAGACTTTCACTATGATATTTATTTTTTATAATGGGTTCTTTTCATTCTTTGCAAAAGTGCTGTGATGATCTGGCAAAGATTGCTTTGACTGCACACAGGCTGTACCCTTCTGACATGGCGACATAACACAACAAATTTTCTTTATGTGGTACTTAACAAAAAATGTCTGAACTATTGTGGGAATATTACTTTGAAAAGTCCATTCCATTCCTAAAAAGTAATTCCAAAACTCAAATTTTCTTGCCTGGTGAGTACAATTAATGTTACAGAACCAGATGGTGAATTTTCCAGACTATTAGTGTCTGGTTTATGGTGGGTATGTGACATGTTTTTATTCTTGGTGTGTACAACAGAAACTGCCTTACCCAAATCCTGATTGTACTATCTTCTGACCCTGTTACCCATGATCCTTTGCCATGAGGATTCCATCGTACACATGTGATCTCCCCTTCATGGCCCTGCAGAGTGTTGACGAGGGTCATCTTGGCACCATTAGTATGAAACTTTCTTATGTAAACCATCTTGTCACTGGATGCATAGGCAAACTCATTGCTGCAGCAGAGAAAAATAATGACAGTCTTCTATTGTTATTGGTTGGTGTTCCTTCTCAGATTTCTCTATCTAAATAAACACTTTTCTTACTGGAAATGTAAACAAGTTCTCTACTGAAAACAAGGTATGTTTTACCATTACTGATATCATTGTGTTTACATAATTAGCTTTCATGTCAATAAATCTTTTTTTTGCTCTTGAAATAATTTGGAATAATACCACCACAGTTATTTTAAGGCATACAATTATTTCAACAATCATGCTAAGTTGAGAAGGTTTCCATCTTACTATTTGTCTGAGTAGTCCATGTCCATGATCACCCCATCACAGGCCAGTTCTATGTTCTCCAAGTTAGTGGTGCCTGTGTTTCTGAATGTATCCAGTAAACTGTAACAAGATTTATCTACCTGAACCATTTCTCTGTACACATTACAACAGTAATGGTTTAATTTCTGTTGAATTGTGGGCACTCATATCTATGTCCATCATGTCAACAATAAGAATAAAATTGACAATAATATTTATTATTGAAAGATTTTGTAAGTATTTACTTGTTTACATGATTGAGTGCCCATAAAATACTGTTAGTACTTTTTAGAAAAACAAATTTTGAATACCTCGAAATTTATATACTTTTAGATCATATATTGACAAAATATACCTAAATGTACCACTTAAAGGTTAAGATATCAGTACTCAATGTTGAATCACCCTATAGGCTAACTGATGGAGTGTACTCAGGATTTCAAGAATTTGATTCATAGATGAGTTTCCAGGTGAGTAATAATTGTGAAAAGAATTTCTTGCAATAAAAAGCACATTTAAGGTAGATAACATATATAACAATGATAAGACAGAGTTTGACTTACTCTCCAGCCTCAAGGTCCCACAGACAAATCCTTCTGTCCCAGCCAGCACTTAGCTGTAACATATATTCACATTATATACGTCAGTGTAACACACAATCTCTGTGACAAATTCAATCAAAACACTAAATTAGAGTTAGAATTTACATTATGTATTATTCCTCAACAATATCAATAACACTGTATCATTAGAAGTTGTTGTATTGGAACAGATGGAGGGTATTCCTTCTGATAAGTTATATAATAATGTGCTATGCAGCTTGTACACTGGACTCAATTTTATATATTAAGTTATATTCTGTTTAGTACTTGCTACGTAAAATCAAGTTCTGTTAACTCCCCTGTCCCTTATCACCACTAGACTCAATGACTCAGTGCTGTATAGCACTTTATATGTCGTTAACTCCCTTGTGCCCCACCCCTATCACCACAAGACTCAATGACTCAGTTCTGTATAGTAATTTACACATGTAATTACATGCAGTTAACTCCCTTGTAATTACATGTAGTTAACGCCCTTGTACCTCCCCATCACCACTAGACTCAATAACTCTGTGCTGTAAGTATTTATCACATAAATCTATGTATAGTTAACTCCTTTTCCCTTCCTATCACCACAAGACTCAATGTTCAGTATTTACTACATATATCTATGTATAATAAATCCTTGCCCTGCCCTATCACCATGCACTAGACTCATTGCTGTATAAGGCCTACCACAATTAACGCCCTTGTCTCTCCCTATCAACAATAAATTGTATTGACAGATTAAATTTCCTGCCTCAGCATTTCTTATTTCTGCTAGAGTTTGAAAATATAATAGGTCAGGGCTATTAATCTTGACATTCTTATTGGCTGATATTTATATACCATACAGTATTAATTTCCAAGATGGAGTTTGGGGATATTTGTGGAAAAATTCAAATGTCTGTCTACATTGTAGCCATGTATGTATTTCTAGAGAAGTACATGGGTTCATTACCAATGATTGTTTATCAACTGATCAAATCTAATACAACTTTTCAAAGAGATGCTTGATATGTTCATTATTATCATATAACCAATGAAACATGGGCAAATTATTAGAATTGATACTTGTTGAATTTGAAACTGTTTTCAAATGATGTCAATACAATAAGCCTAGTAATTACTTACTTATTATTGTCAGCACATAAAATGTTGCTATTGTAAACATGAGGGAATTCTGAGGCTCAAACCTAAACCAATGATTCATTGCCTGAATTCACCAATCAGCAACATTTTTGTTTAAATTTTGACAAAGGTGGTAATTCTGACCTATCATAGTTTCTAGAGGAGAAAAGTTGTACTAGGGCAGATGATTTATTCTGTATACAGTGTGCTATGTAGCACTACCTCATATGTTAAATTAATTCTCTTATCTCTCTGTATTTTTTCGCCAGTAGGCTGAATATTGCAAAGTATTCCCTTGTCCCTTCCTATCACCAATAGTCTTTATGTTGCATATTACTTGCCATATAAGTTGAGTTAACTCCCTTGTCCCTTTCTTTCTGACCACCACAAGACTTTATGACAAATTGTACAGTACTTATCGCATACCTTGAATTAACTCCCTTATCCCTACTTGTTAATACTAGACTCGGTGTTGTATAGAACTTACCACACATGCTGAATTAACTCCCATGTCCCTCCCTGTGTTAATACTAGACTCGGTGTTGTATAAAAATTACAACAATTGTTGAGTTAACTCCCTTGTCCCTCCCTGTGTTAATACCAGACTTGGTGTTGTATAGAACTTATCACATATGTTGAGTTAACTCCCTTGTCCCTCCCTGTGTTAATACTAGACTCGGTGTTGTATAGAACTTATCACATATGTTGAGTTAACTCCCTTGTCCTTCACTGTTAAAACTAGTCTTTGTAATGTATAGAACTTACCACATATGTTGAGTTAACTCCCTTGTCCCTCCCTATCACCACTAGACTTGTTACACAGCTAGTGTGGCCAGCAAACACATGCTTACACACAAAGCCAGCTACACGATTTGTGACAGAGTCACTGTCCTGAAACATAAGGAAGTTACAGGTAAACATGACACCATTTCACTATAGACTTCATCAACTAGAAATGTACAGGTTATGGTGCAAGTCTTGATTTTTTTGTACTAACTACACAGTCGACTGGAATGCTGATTTGCAAAGATTCTTAACGGTAAATTCTGGAAGATTACATTTTTTTCACATTCCATCACAATTTATTCAACATTTATATTTTAGAAGAGAGAAGATGGTCTACCCCTGGTTTAGCATTCTGTGGCAGTAGGTCGGAGTCAGAGTCAAGGAGGATACTGTATTTGCTAATGAGCTTCTGGAGGTCCTGAGGCTTCATGTGTTGGAGGGCCTTTACAGCATCATCATCAAATCCCCATACATCTGCCAAAACAAAATGTGTTATCTTAAAAAGTTTCTGGTATGTCACATGCATACAAAGATTTTCAATACGCCCAAATAAATATATGTTGAAAAGGGCAAAATCAATCATTTTGTTTCCATGGTAACAGAAGAAGTACAGAAAATGAAAATCCCATCATAACATGATTAGACTTTAAGGTTAATTTGTTAGCTGGAGGAGTTTCTGAGGTACACTGTGAAATCTATATCAAATAGAAGGAACTCATTAATTTAATCTCAATGAGAGGAGGATGAAGGAGAAGGATTGATAAAAGGTACATTAAACTAATGTACACTCAAACTTTCAAAAAGGTACACGTAATTACAGGAACATGTACTCACAAATATTACTGTCCTCGGAGGCGGCAATGATGAAGTCCAGGCTTTCTACAAACAGGATCTTGAGGATGGTAGTGTTGGCATGGTTGTGTGTGGATACCTGTAAGGATTGTAGAAAAAATAATGGTAAATAGCTACTTTAAATACAAATTCAGTGATAGATACTGTAAGTGCCAAATAATGAGTTGTACTTCATTATACAGCTGTTCTGTCCTTGTTGGACACATCAGTGATGCTAGGTGCCTGATGTATGGAAATCTAGAAGCCGTGTTGGAAAAGATGAAACATATGTAAAAATAATGATATGGGTAGGTGCCATAATATAATAATCAGAAAAGAGCAACTACATGATTGTATATTTAATGTGAACAGTGCCATTATTCATAGGAAATTTAACATAGCACAAAACTGCTCAATTCTAGGCCAATCCCCTGCTGACATGTTCAATGTAGCACAATATTAACCAGATACCAATTTCTCTTTGATACTGATTAACATCACTTTGATTGGTACTTTATTTTCACCACCCCTGGTAATGTTTAGTGATCAAGTAAATCTACTAGGACATCCAACTTAAACATGATGTACCTTGTATGTATATAGATTTGGTCAGATATAACACATTGGTGTTAACAATGCAACATTTCTTGATTTATCTTAAACTTCAACAACTATATATATATATATATATATATAACAGCTAGTGTCATTATATATATATATAACAGCTAGTGTCATTATATATATATGTCATTATATATATATAACAGCTAGTGTCATTATATATATATATATATATATATACAGCTAGTGTCATTATATAACAGCTAGTGTCATATATATATATATCAGCTAGTGTCATATATATATAAAACAGCTAGTGTCATTATATAACAGCTAGTGTCATTATATATATATATATATAACAGCTAGTGTCATTATATAACAGCTAGTGTCAATATATATATATATATATATATATATATACAGCTAGTGTCATTATATAACAGCTAGTGTCATTATATATATATATATAACAGCTAGTGTCATTATATAACAGCTAGTGTCAATATATATATATATAACAGCTAGTGTCATTATATAACAGCTAGTGTCAATATATATATATATAACATCTAGTGTCATTATATAACAGCTAGTGTATATAACAGCTAGTGTCATTATATAACAGCTAGTGTCATTATATAACAGCTAGTGTATATAACAGCTAGTGTCATTATATAACAGCTAGTGTATATAACAGCTAGTGTATATAACAGCTAGTGTCATTATATAACAGCTAGTGTATATAACAGCTAGTGTCCTTATATAACAGCTAGTGTATATAACAGCTAGTGTATATAACAGCTAGTGTCATTATATAACAGCTAGTGTATATAACAGCTAGTGTCCTTAGTTCTGAGGAAGCATATACAGCATTTCTATCAAATAAATCTGGAAAATTTACAGGAGTGTTAGAACAAACTTTGTAATGAAGTAAAGAAAAATACCAGAATTGGATGTTTAAATACATTGTAAAATGAAAAAAAAATACTAATAAAATTGATTAATGCTACTTAACTTTGAGCTGAAATGATAAATTTAAGCAATGTTTGCAGAAAATTAGGACTAGAAGCAAAAAAGCTGCAAAATTTGTATATATACAGGATGGCGGATACTGGTATCACAATATGACTTAGAAGGAGGATATGTTTGTAAAATGATTTAAACCATTGCTAAATGGTCATTCACTGTATTATTTAGTGACGTGATACCTTATCTGTAGAAAAGTTATTACCTCCCCATCTGTTACTATCATTCATGTCACAGTGACGTTACCAAATCATTAGATCAATTGCCTGAAGATGGCTGCAGGCCTGAAAACTTTAGCAAGCTATCTCATTGATTTTGTCTATTTATTGATATGTAAGTATAAAAGTATATGTTTATTACAGACAATAAGTTTTTTCGTTAATTAATATTTATTTAAAAACACTTGAGGCCTGGTATACACAGATGAAATGATCTGACCCTCTCCATCAATGATCTTACTAAGTTCCTTTAAAGACTGATCTGTATTTTACTCAGATTTTTTGGTGCACGACTATTTACAGAAGTACTGAAGGAATAAAGTGGTAATATGTTATATTAGAAGGGTATTGTGTTACTAAATATAATGACTTCAAATATCAAATTCCAAGCCCTAGAGAAAAATGATAAAAATATATTCAATCCTAAATGTTCGACAGCCATCATGAAATTCAGATTACATTAACAATGTGTAATACACAACTAAGATCAATACTGATTACATGAATGTATATTTATAGAAGATCCTTTTTGTTATTTGAAAAATAGTGATTACAAATTTCAAATGTTAAAATCCCAAATGGCTGCTAGAAGCCATATTGAAATCTAAATCCTAATCACAATATGGCATGTACAACTGTATTCCCTACTGATTATGTTGATGGAGTTTCAAGAAGATCCCTTTCCTAGTTGTGGAGAAAGAGTGTTCACAATTTTCAAACAACATCATACAGAATGGATCCACAACAGTTATGTAAATGGCTTTGTGGACAATTCCTTTTGTAGTTTTTGAAAATAAATGATTTATTTTCAGTCTTTATAAAAGAAAAGAGAACTGAAAAAGAAATATTAACAACAGAAAAACTGCATTCTCTGTTCAACATGCTTTAAATCTGAATGAGAATTCTTTCCTTTTGTTCCTCTACAGCAATGTTTATAAGGATTCAATGTTTATAAGGATGATATTCAATGTTTATAAGGATGATATTCAATGTTTATAAGGATGATATTCAATGTTTATAAGGATTCAATGTTTATAAGGATGATATTCAATGTTTATAAGGATGATATTCAATGTTTATAAGGATTCAATGTTTATAAGGATGATATTCAATGTTTATAAGGATGATATTCAATGTTTATAAGGATGATATTCAATGTTTATAAGGATGATATTCAATGTTTATAAGGATTCAATGTTTATAAGGATGATATTCAATGTTTATATGGATTCAATGTTTATAAGGATTCAATGTTTATAAGGATGATATTCAATGTTTATAAGGATTCAATGTTTATAAGGATGATATTCAATGTTTATAAGGATTCAATGTTTATAAGGATGATATTCAATGTTTATCAGACATATGATTACTGAAAAGCAATTCAGTGATCACTTCATTGGTTCCAGGGTAAGCATTAAAGATTAAAAATATTGAAAAAAAAGAATAAAGATGATAAAAATTCACCCTTCACCAACCAAATCTTTGAATGATATTTCAAATAAGATAAAATTGTAAATTGAAAAAAAATCAACATTGTACTTTTGATTAAAAGCAGGTTAAAAGATTTTGAAGTACCATTGTCACTTAAGGCTGTGTGACCCCACAAATATAAGAAAAATATGAAAAATATTAAAAAAGATGTAACTATTGTAAGAGATCCCACATTTTTTAAACTAAAAGATTTTCAGAATAAATTTCTTCAGGAACACTCTCACCAGACTTTTCATTGAAGGATAATCATAAGTACGTGTACGTTTGCGACGTCCCTGTGTCTGTGAAATAAGCATGGTATATTTGTACACATGGAAACAATAGTGATAACATCTAAGATTTATAGTGTTGTGACTAGTAAAGGGAGCAAAGTATATCATAAGTATATATACATTTAAATACAATTTGATTTTAGTGGTAAAATGCATTGCTTTAGTTTGTTTTTATGGTCTTTAAGTGACAGACTTAAAAAAAAAAAGAAGAAAGAAAGAAAAATTGGTTGCTCTGTCCACTGTAGTGACTGCCAACTACTCTCCCAACACAAGTCAGCCATTAATTATCATCAACATGTACTTTTAGATATTATATCTGGGCAAAAAAATAAAAAATAGACTGACACGAACTTGTTCCTAATGTCTAACTTGCATGCATCTATCTGATGTTAAAAAACAATGTTCCATCATTAAAGAAAAAGTCTATTTTTATAAATAAAGTTTCAAACAATTTTAGCTATGAATGTTTTCAGTTTTAGTTATAAAATCAAAAGATATGTACTGAATAAGACATATTTGTCAGTCCATCTAAAGACCAATTAATGTCTAGTTCAAGAAACAGAGCTCTCCTGTAGCAGAGGAGAAAAATGTTGTATGGCTATAATACCACCACAGTCTACGTCACAACAGAGTGACAAATATGTGGTCATTCCTGTCCAAGCTCTGGATAGTCACAAATTATGGGTAAATATGCTGGACATTGGATATGTTGGAACAACAAGTTTATTTCATACCATTTCCTATCCATAAAGGCCAGACCTCTCCATTTTTTCCTGAGTACTCTAATAACGATATTGTATTGTTATAAGTTAGTGTAAACGTACGGGTGGGATGCTGGGTTTGTTGAAGGCATAGTGACTTTGTACACTCCTGTTACTGCTGCGACTGGTCTCAGGTCGGGCCGTCTCTGGCCGTGAGGTTGGGGTCTGACTCAGCTGTTGTTCCATCATCAGCTCACGTGCCTTACTCCCAGCTTTACGCTGCTTCTTTAGTTTAGAATCACTCAGCTGATACATCTCCTTACTACAGATAAAGTTACATAACTTTAAGTGAAACTTAATTAGGAAAATATTGCTTTCAGAAATTTCCTATGTCTGACATAAGATAATATAATTATTGACTTAATATTTCTATCAAGTGAGTATATCAAGCAATAAAAATTTATCTTACCAACTACATGTACCAATTAAAATCTGTAATATGTTAATGCATGTACATGAATGTATGTATGTAAGTGTCTGCGTCTAAAGTGTTACCAGTGTAGCATGATATTGTGAAGCATGGGAAAATGAAGTGGTGTAGTATGATAAAGTGAAGCTCATGGTAAGGTGAACCTGCCCCACCCTAAATTTCCCCACCCCAGACATAATTTTTGTTATTTATGTGTTTTTATGAACAAATCAGGGTGATTAGAAAAAAAAATGATGAAAACACATAATTAGTAAGAAAATAGTGAAATTTCATGGTGAAGTTAACCCCCACCTGCCCCACCCTAAATTTCCCCACCCCAGACCTAGTTTTTGTTACGTATGTGTTTAAATGAATGTATGGTAATTAGCATGGTACATGGTTTGTACCTACCTATACATGAAGTGATTTGATTGCATACGTTCCCATTTAATGATTACGCCTTCATTGTCCCCACTGAATAGTAGAATAGGCACCTTCTTAGCTGGAAATAAAAAATATAGACACTGAATAGTAGAATAGGCACCTTCTTAGCTGGAAATAAAAAATATAGACACTGAATAGTAGAATAGGCACCTTCTTAGCTGGAAATAAAAAATATAGACACTGAATAGTAGAATAGGCACCTTCTTAGCTGGAAATAAAAAATCTAGATGTACACAGGTGAGATATGGTTCCTACAGATCTACGTCTCTTAACTAAATCCTGATAATGTAAAATATTCTGTTCCCAACAATGACAGGTACTTTGTTGATTCTTAAATTAAACATGCAGATGATGTGAAGTTGACGAGAACTTCCCCTCACTCAATTAATAGATACAGGCATATATCATGATACCAAAAACAAATTTCACTTAAATAAGAATAAAAACAAAAAGCTTTACAGAAGTCTGATAGTAATGAATACTAAACTTCTATATCCAGCAAGCCCCTCAGTTGTAAAACTCACATTTGTAACATGTGATTTATTTAACACAAGTTCATTATGTAAACAAGCTACTTACTGTAACATAGACTTTCTAGAGAGCTGCGACATTTAAGAGCTGTAATACAACCTGATGAGTTATATTTCCACACCACCAGGTGGCGCCGACTAGTTGAAGCTGTAACCAACCAATACAAGAATTAATTTAAAATCAATCAAGAAAAGAGTTAAAGCAACAAAGATGTCTACATGGGAATTCTGTGTCCAAGGGGACATAACTACAACAAGCACATAAAACAAACATTAACAGACAAGTAAATAGCAGGTTTTCGAAGTTAATGTTACCTACCAACAACTTCATTTAATTCACCAAAATATTTAAGGATCTGTAAATGATATTTTTCTTCTTCCTGTTGTTGAAATGTTCCAATAAAATCTGAAACCTGAAAAACAGAGAATATTTTATCTTTTGATGTGATAATATTTGTTAATTCAGGTTGATTTAACTGACATTTCACATGAAACTTCCTTGTTTATTTTGTTGTTTACTTCATAACATTAGTATTAACCATGTTTCCAACAACCATAAACAGTGAATTTGATGTCTACTTCACTACTTCCTTTTATAACCCAGTTTACCCAGGAAATTCCTATCTGGCTTCCTTCTGAAGACCAATGGCAAACATTTATCAATCCATATTTTCTTATCTGTTTTGGTAAAATACCTTTTCTCTGGTTTTTCAATTGAAAATGAAAATGTCTGAGAAAGAAACATGGGCAAATTACCTAGTTTAAGATTTTAAACATGAAACTATTTTTCTTGTACTTACATTGTCCCCAGACTTGGGATCGAAAAGACTAGCATAAGAGGTTCCGCCTGCTACCCAAACTGTCTTGTTACGAGGGACATAACAGATACCAGATACTGTGGATAGGAAATTGTCCAGCTTGTGTACTGGTTTACCATCAACTGACCAGATCTTCACACTCTTGTCAAATGACCCTGTTAGTATCCTGTAAATAAATATCAGATACCCCTGCTGAGGTCAGGTTTTATATCCAGGAAGGTCTAAAACACAGATAAGAAGAAAAGGGTTCAACAGTGTGTCTAACATCAACAGTGAGCTTTTCAAAGGTAGGACAGATTTTATCAAATGTCCACGTATTAAAATCTTTGGTTTGATGACCCCTTTAAATTATTTTCAACTAACTTTGCTTTAATTACGGCAAAACAATGTTTACCAAAGAAACAGAATTTGTTGATATTGAGACGTGCGACCAGATGACCCTCAATTTTTGTCAAATGGCTTCCTCTTTGAATTTCGACAAATGTTTCTTGATAATGTCATAATGATATGTTATGTACACTCTCACTGTATATGAGATATATGATTTGACCTATATATTGACATGATGACCTTGACCTTTGAGCTATTGACCTGTTTCTGAGAAACTTTCCTTTCAAATGTCCCAAATGTGTATAAGAATATTAAATGGGTATCAGTTAACAATTACAAAATTATCCTTGACCTTTGATTAGACAACCTTAACCACTGGTCAGTGGACTTACTGAGATTTTTTGCTTCAAAATTATAATTAAAAAGAAACAGAAAAGTGAAAAATGTCAATACAAAATTGCACTACAGAAACTACTTTGTATTTGCTGAGGAAAGGCAATAACAATCTATACATGTGATGTAAGATGGCTGACTGGAATTATCAGGCCATGTCAATCATACATATATCACCTATTGGAGTTATCTTGATTTTATTTTTTGAGATAAGGTAAAGAGACAGAAATATAAGTTGTTTTAACTACATGTTTTAGTTTCCATGGTACAAAGAAAAACATACAAACAATGAATGTATGTATGTGCATCAAATAATTTAATTTCAACGATCATCAGGCAAATATGTAAGTCAGTAATAATAGCACCATACCAGAAGACAAGGTAAGACCACAAATGTGTTTGTAGAGTTGATTGCAACAGTTTTCGAGACACTGACATCTAGAAACCTAGAAATTCTGAGTGATTTTGGCATTTATAATAATAGGAAAATTACAAAAATAAAAAAATATATGATCAGTTCAAGACTATGACATTGCACATTTAAGGTCCAAGGAGATCTTCAGATAAGGAATTCAGAACAATATCTGTTAGATTACTATTCAGGTACAAAGAGGCCTGCACACTGTTGGTGGCTGGTCCCTAGTGAGCTATAGTTCATGGATTAGGTGAAAACATTCCTTAGATATATCATCATTGCTTAGATGTACCAACATCACTTAGACATACTAACATTGTTTAGACATACCAACATTCCCCAGAAATACCAACATTACTTAGACGTACCAACATTGTTAAGACATACCAACATTCCCCAGACTTACCAACATTCCTCAGACATACCAACATTCCCCAGACATACCAACATCACTTAGACATACCAACATTCCCCAAACATACCAACATTCCTCAGACATACCAACATTACTTAGACATACCAACATTCCCCAAACATACCAACATTACTTAGACATACCAACATTCCTTAGACATACCAACATTACCCAGACATACCAACATTACTTAGACATACAAACATTCCCCAGAAATACCAACATTCCCCAGACATACCAACATTGTTTAGACCAACATTACTTAGACATACCAACATTACTTAGACATACCAACATTCCTCAGACATACCAACATTCCCCAGACATACCAACATTCCTCAGACATACCAACATTGTTTAGACCAACATTACTTAGACATACCAACATTACTTAGACATACCAACATTACTTAGACATACCAACATTCCTCAGACATACCAACATTCCCCAGACATACCAACATTGTTTAGACCAACATTACTTAGACATACCAACATTACTTAGACATACCAACATTCCTTAGACATACCAACATTACTTAGACATACCAACATTCCCTAGACATACCAACATTACTTAGACATACCAACATTACCCAGACATACCAACATTACTTAGACATACAAACATTCCCCAGAAATACCAACATTCCCCAGACATACCAACATTACTTAGACATACCAACATTCCTCAGACATACCAACATTACTTAGACATACCAACATTCCTTAGACATACCAACATTACTTAGACATACCAACATTCCCCAGACATACCAACATTCCTCAGACATACCAACATTACTTAGACATACCAACATTCCTCAGACATACCAACATTACTTAGAGATACCAACATTCCTTAGACATACCAACATTACTCAGACATACCAACATTACTTAGATATACCAACATTCCTTAGACATACCAACATTACTTAGACATACCAACATTCCCCAAACATAACAACATTACTTAGACATACCAACATTCCTTAGACATACCAACATTGCCCAGACATACCAACATTACTTAGACATACAAACATTCCCCAGAAATACCAACATTCCCCAGACATACCAACATTCCTTAGATATACCAACATTCCCCAGACATACCAACATTACTTAGACATACCAACATTCCTCAGACATACCAACATTGTTTAGACCAACATTACTTAGACATACCAACATTACTTAGACATACCAACATTCCTTAGACATACCAACATTACTTAGACATACCAACATTCCTCAGACATACCAACATTACTTAGACATACCAACATTACCCAGACATACCAACATTACTTAGACATACAAACATTCCCCAGAAATACCAACATTCCCCAGACATACCAACATTACTTAGACATACCAACATTCCTCAGACATACCAACATTACTTAGACATACCAACATTCCTTAGACATACCAACATTACTTAGACATACCAACATTCCCCAGACATACCAACATTCCTCAGACATACCAACATTACTTAGACATACCAACATTCCTCAGACATACCAACATTACTTAGAGATACCAACATTCCTTAGACATACCAACATTACTCAGACATACCAACATTACTTAGATATACCAACATTCCTTAGACATACCAACATTACTTAGACATACCAACATTCCCCAAACATACCAACATTACTTAGACATACCAACATTCCTTAGACATACCAACATTACCCAGACATACCAACATTACTTAGACATACAAACATTCCCCAGAAATACCAACATTCCCCAGACATACCAACATTCCTTAGATATACCAACATTCCCCAGACATACCAACATTACTTAGACATACCAACATTCCTCAGACATACCAACATTCCCCAGACATACCAACATTGTTTAGACCAACATTACTTAGACATACCAACATTACTTAGACATACCAACATTCCTTAGACATACTAACATTACTTAGACATACCAACATTCCCCAGACATACCAACATTACTTAGACATACCAACATTCCTTAGACATACCAACATTACCCAGACATACCAACATTACTTAGACATACAAACATTCCCCAGAAATACCAACATTCCCCAGACATACCAACATTACTTAGACATACCAACTTTCCCCAGACATACCAACATTACTTAGACATACCAACATTCCTTAGACATACCAACATTACTTAGACATACCAACATTCCCCAGACATACCAACATTACTTCGACATACCAACATTCCTTGTACATACCAACATCACTTAGACATACCAACATTCCTCAGACATACCAACATTCCTTAGACATACCAACATTCCTCAGACATACCAACATTCCTTAGACATACCAACATTCCTCAGACATACCAACATTCCTCAGACATACCAATATTCCTCAGACATACCAACATACCAACATTCCTCAGACATACCAACATTCCTCAGACATACCAATGTATCCAGTATTCACTATATATACAATGCTAATAAGACCTTAAAGGTTTAAGAAACACTGATTCTCTTACCATGTATTATTTTCATTATCTTTTGCAAGTAATAAACATGAAATTCCTGCATCATGTGCTGTTGGGTTCCTGGAAAAGAAAATAATATAATTATCATTAAACTTTGATTTTACATACAATTTCAAATGATTTTCCACAGAATTCCTAAAATAAATATCAACTTTAAAATAAGTAGGTAATACATTAAATCAGAATGAGGTTACATTACAGATTAAGATATCAAACAATTTTAAGGAAATATTGAAGGAACACAAATGATTTTTCTTCCAAGAGATTGTTGCTCACAGTATAAAGCTTTTGTTAGATATGAAGTTGAACACACTTACTGGAATATGGGCTCCAGACTGTTATCTCCTGTGTAGGACGAATCATAGATAACTAAGCGGTGATCATACCTGTGGGGAAAAATAAAAAACAATGTACTTTGTGTACGATTGAACATGTCAGTGTTTTGTATATACATGTAATCAAATACTGAAACAGTAATAATTTAAAACACATGTAATTTATTTAATTGTTTTTATTGAAACTTATTGATTTTCTTTATTCCTATTGTTTAAAGCGAGCATTTTGTGAAATTTCAACTCTCATTTCAGTGAAACAAAATGTACAATATATATTGGTTAAACATGATAATAATTAGATATATACTTCCTCCAAGGACTGACAGTAGATGCTTTGATACATACCCAGCCGAATAAATGCGTGACTCATTACAAATAATACATCGGACAATGTCTTTGTGTTCACATGCTACGAATAACACATCATTATTTATAACATGTCCTGAGTCTCGGTCTGAAACACAGAGAGGATAAATAAGGTAAACTTTGACAATCATTTTATAGCGTGTATCATGTTAATTGTAAATAGTAAAATATGTCAGTGATATATATTTTGTGTAGGTAAGTAAATTAGACTTACTTTCATCAAGTGCATACACACGTATGCCACCATTTACTCCACAAACAAGCTGATGTCTACGAGGATTGATGGCCATACAATACACAGGCATGCCAATCTGTAGGAGAGTATTAACAATAAACAAACCAGAGTTACCAGCAGTAGGAAACATGAAATCAGATCCAGTTTTATAAACTTTATTTAATTTACAACAATTGTGAAACAAGTTATCTTAACTTATACTAATCACTCTTATTGGCGCAGATTAAGCATGTGAAGGGTCTATATGAAAAATCCAAGATAGCTGCCAGTGTGCACCTAGTCCCTTCAGCTAAGATAAAGTGTTCAGGTATGGACTAACAGATAGATGCTAATAATTACCATAACAGAAACATGATATATGCACTGCCTATCAGCAAGATCGTTCGTTCAGAAAATATGAAATATTATTAGCAAACATACTGAGCAAAGTTATTTAAAATAGAAAGAGATCTTGCCTGGTGTTTAAGACATGAACACTATATACAAGTACATCCTTCTGATGAATCCACTGTATAACATATGTGATCATAATATCAGAACAAGTGTGAGTTACTGCTTTGTGTGGGTGAGACAGCTTTGTGTGTGCAGGACAGCTTTGTGTGGGTGAGACAGCTTTGTGTGTGCAGGACAGCTTTGTGTGTGCAGGACAGCTTTGTGTGGGTGAGACAGCTTTGTGTGTGCAGGACAGCTTTGTGTGAGAGCAGGACAGCTTTGTGTGGGTGAGACAGCTTTGTGTGTGCAGGACAGCTTTGTGTGAGCAGGACAGCTCTGTGTGGGTGAGACAGCTTTGTGTGTGCAGGACTGCTTTGTGTGAGCAGGACAGCTCTGTGTGGGTGAGACAGCTTTGTGTGTGCAGGACTGCTTTGTGTGTGCAGGACAGCTTTGTGTGAGCAGGACAGCTTTGTGTGAGAGCAGGACAGCTTTGTGTGGGTGAGACAGCTTTGTGTGTGCAGGACAGCTTTGTGTGAGAGCAGGACAGCTTTGTGTGGGTGAGACAGCTTTGTGTGTGCAGGACAGCTTTGTGTGAGCAGGACAGCTTTGTGTGAGAGCAGGACAGCTTTGTGTGAGCAGGACAGCTTTGTGTGAGAGCAGGACAGCTTTGTGTGAGCAGGACAGCTTTGTGTGTGTGCAGGACAGCTTTGTGTGTGCAGGACAGCTTTGTGTGAGCAGGACAGCTTTGTGTGAGAGCAGGACAGCTTTGTGTGAGCAGGACAGCTTTGTGTGAGAGCAGGACAGCTTTGTGTGTGCAGGACAGCTTTGTGTGTGCAGGACAGCTTTGTGTGGGTGAGACAGCTTTGTGTGTGCAGGACAGCTTTGTGTGGGTGAGACAGTTTTGTGTGTGCAGGACAGCTTTGTGTGAGCAGGACAGCTTTGTGTGAGAGCAGGACAGCTTTGTGTGAGCAGGACAGCTTTGTGTGAGAGCAGGACAGCTTTGTGTGTGCAGGACTGCTTTGTGTGGGTGAGACAGCTTTGTGTGTGCAGGACTGCTTTGTGTGGGTGAGACAGTTTTGTGTGTGCAGGACTGCTTTGTGTGGGTGAGACAGTTTTGTGTGTGCAGGACAGCTTTGTGTGGGTGAGACAGCTTTGTGTGTGCAGGACTGCTTTGTGTGGGTGAGACAGCTTTGTGTGTGCAGGACTGCTTTGTGTGGGTGAGACAGTTTTGTGTGTGCAGGACAGCTTTGTGTGGGTGGGAAAGCTTTGTGTGAGCAGGACTGCTTTGTGTGAGAGCAGGACAGCTTTGTGTGGGTGGGAAAGCTTTGTGTGAGAGCAGGACAGCTTTGTGTGTGCAGGACAGCTTTGTGTGGGTGAGACAGCTTTGTGTGAGCAGGACAGCTTTGTGTGGGTGAGACAGCTTTGTGTGAGCAGGACAGCTTTGTGTGAGAGCAGGACAGCTTTGTGTGGGTAGGAAAGCTTTGTGTGAGAGCACGACAGCTTTGTGTGTGCAGGACAGATTTGTGTGGGTGAGACAGCTTTGTGTGTGCAGGACTGCTTTGTGTGGGTGAGACAGTTTTGTGTGTGCAGGACAGCTTTGTGTGGATGAGACAGTTTTGTGTGTGCAGGACAGCTTTGTGTGGGTGAGACAGTTTTGTGTGTGCAGGACAGCTTTGTGTGGGTGGGAAAGCTTTGTGTGAGAGCAGGACAGCTTTGTGTGTGCAGGACAGCTTTGTATGGGTGAGACAGCATTGTGAGTGCAGGACTGCTTTGTGTGGGTGAGACAGCTTTGTGTGTGCAGGACTGCTTTGTGTGGGTGAGATAGCTTTGTGTGTGCAGGACTGCTTTGTGTGGGTGAGACAGCTTTGTGTGAGAGCAGGACAGCTTTGTGTGAGAGCAGGACAGCTTTGTGTGAGCAGGACAGCTTTGTGTGTGCAAGACAGCTTTGTGTGTGCAGGACAGCTTTGTGTGAGCAGGACAGCTTTGTGTGAGCAGGACAGCTTTGTGTGAGAGCAGGACAGCTTTGTGTGAGCAGGACAGCTTTGTGTGAGAGCAGGACAGCTTTGTGTGTGCAGGACTGCTTTGTGTGGGTGAGACAGTTTTGTGTGTGCAGGACAGCTTTGTGTGAGCAGGACAGCTTTGTGTGAGAGCAGGACAGCTTTGTGTGAGAGCAGGACAGCTTTGTGTGTGCAGGACTGCTTTGTGTGGGTGAGACAGCTTTGTGTGAGCAGGACAGCTTTGTGTGGGTGAGACAGCTTTGTGTGAGCAGGACAGCTTTGTGTGGGTGAGACAGCTTTGTGTGAGCAGGACAGCTTTGTATGGGTGAGACAGCATTGTGAGTGCAGGACTGCTTTGTGTGGGTGAGACAGCTTTGTGTGTGCAGGACTGCTTTGTGTGGGTGAGATAGCTTTGTGTGTGCAGGACTGCTTTGTGTGGGTGAGACAGCTTTGTGTGAGAGCAGGACAGCTTTGTGTGAGAGCAGGACAGCTTTGTGTGAGCAGGACAGCTTTGTGTGAGAGCAGGACAGCTTTGTGTGTGCAAGACAGCTTTGTGTGTGCAGGACAGCTTTGTGTGAGCAGGACAGCTTTGTGTGAGAGCAGGACAGCTTTGTGTGAGCAGGACAGCTTTGTGTGAGAGCAGGACAGCTTTGTGTGAGCAGGACAGCTTTGTGTGTGCAGGACTGCTTTGTGTGGGTGAGACAGTTTTGTGTGTGCAGGACTGCTTTGTGTGAGCAGGACAGCTTTGTGTGAGAGCAGGACAGCTTTGTGTGTGCAGGACAGCTTTGTGTGAGAGCAGGACAGCTTTGTGTGTGCAGGACTGCTTTGTGTGGGTGAGACAGCTTTGTGTGTGCAGGACAGCTTTGTGTGGGTGAGACAGTTTTGTGTGTGCAGGACAGCTTTGTGTGAGCAGGACAGCTTTGTGTGAGAGCAGGACAGCTTTGTGTGAGCAGGACAGCTTTGTGTGAGAGCAGGACAGCTTTGTGTGAGCAGGACAGCTTTGTGTGAGAGCAGGACAGCTTTGTGTGAGCAGGACAGCTTTGTGTGAGAGCAGGACAGCTTTGTGTGTGCAGGACTGCTTTGTGTGGGTGAGACAGTTTTGTGTGTGCAGGACTGCTTTGTGTGAGCAGGACAGCTTTGTGTGAGAGCAGGACAGCTTTGTGTGAGCAGGACAGCTTTGTGTGAGAGCAGGACAGCTTTGTGTGTGCAGGACTGCTTTGTGTGGGTGAGACAGCTTTGTGTGTGCAGGACTGCTTTGTGTGGGTGAGACAGCTTTGTGTGTGCAGGACAGCTTTGTGTGGGTGAGACAGTTTTGTGTGAGCAGGACTGCTTTGTGTGGGTGAGACAGTTTTGTGTGTGCAGGACAGCTTTGTGTGGGTGAGACAGCTTTGTGTGTGCAGGACTGCTTTGTGTGGGTGAGACAGCTTTGTGTGTGCAGGACTGCTTTGTGTGGGTGAGACAGTTTTGTGTGTGCAGGACAGCTTTGTGTGGGTGGGAAAGCTTTGTGTGAGCAGGACTGCTTTGTGTGAGAGCAGGACAGCTTTGTGTGGGTGGGAAAGATTTGTGTGAGAGCAGGACAGCTTTGTGTGTGCAGGAGTGCTTTGTGTGGGTGAGACAGCTTTGTGTGAGCAGGACAGCTTTGTGTGTGCAGGACAGCTTTGTGTGAGCAGGACAGCTTTGTGTGAGAGCAGGACAGCTTTGTGTGGGTAGGAAAGCTCTGTGTGAGAGCAGGACAGCTTTGTGTGTGCAGGACAGCTTTGTGTGGGTGAGACAGCTTTGTGTGTGCAGGACTGCTTTGTGTGGGTGAGACAGTTTTGTGTGTGCAGGACAGCTTTGTGTGGATGAGACAGTTTTGTGTGTGCAGGACAGCTTTGTGTGGGTGAGACAGTTTTGTGTGTGCAGGACAGCTTTGTGTGGGTGGGAAAGCTTTGTGTGAGAGCAGGACAGCTTTGTATGTGCAGGACAGCTTTGTGTGGGTGAGACAGCTTTGTGTGAGCAGGACAGCTTTGTGTGGGTGAGACAGCTTTGTGTGAGCAGGACAGCTTTGTGTGGGTGAGACAGCTTTGTGTGAGCAGGACAGCTTTGTATGGTGTGACACCAGTGTGATAGCAGGACTGCTTTGTGTGGGTGAGACAGCTTTGTGTGTGCAGGACTGCTTTGTATGGGTGAGATAGCTTTGTGTGTGCAGGACTGCTTTGTGTGGGTGAGACAGCTTTGTGTGAGAGCAGGACAGCTTTGTGTGTGCAGGATTGCTTTGTGTGGGTGAGACAGCTTTGTGTGTGCAGGACTGCTTTGTGTGGGTGAGACAGCTTTGTGTGTGCAGGACTGCTTTGTGTGGGTGAGACAGTTTTGTGTGTGCAGGACAGCTTTGTGTGGGTGGGAAAGCTTTGTGTGAGCAGGACTGCTTTGTGTGAGAGCAGGACAGCTTTGTGTGGGTGGGAAAGCTTTGTGTGAGAGCAGGACAGCTTTGTGTGTGCAGGACAGCTTTGTGTGGGTGAGACAGCTTTGTGTGAGCAGGACAGCTTTGTGTGGGTGAGACAGCTTTGTGTGAGCAGGACAGCTTTGTGTGAGAGCAGGACAGCTTTGTGTGGGTAGGAAAGCTTTGTGTGAGAGCAGGACAGCTTTGTGTGTGCAGGACTACTTTGTGTGGGTGAGACAGCTTTGTGTGAGCAGGACAGCTTTGTGTGTGCAGGACTGCTTTGTGTGGGTGAGACAGCTTTGTGTGTGCAGGACTGCTTTGTGTGGGTGGGAAAACTTTGTGTGTGGAGGACTGCTTTGTGTGGGTGAGACAGCTTTGTGTGTGCAGGACTGCTTTGTTTGGGTGGGAAAGCTTTGTGTGTGCAGGACAGCTTTGTGTGGGTGGGAAAGCTTTGTGTGTGCAGGACTGCTTTGTGTGGGTGGGAAAGCTTTGTGTGTGCAGGACTGCTTTGTGTGGGTGTGGGCAGGACAGCTTTGTGTGAGAGCAGACAGCTTTGTGTGTGCTTTGTGTGTGCAGGACAGCTTTTGTGTGTGGTGCTTTGTGTGGGTGGGAAAGCTTTGTGTGTGCAGGACTGCTTTGTGTGGGTGGGAAAGCTTTGTGTGTGCAGGACTGCTTTGTGTGGGTGAGACAGCTTTGTGTGTGCAGGACTGCTTTGTTTGGGTAGGACAGCTTTGTGTGTGCAGAACTGCTTTGTGTGGGTGAGACAGCTTTGTGTGTGCAGGACTGCTTTGTGTGGGTGAGACAGCTTTGTGTGTGCAGGACTGCTTTGTTTGGGTGGGAAAGCTTTGTGTGAGCAGGACAGCTTTGTGTGAGCAGGACAGCTTTGTGTGTGCAGGACTGCTTTGTGTGGGTGGGAAAGCTTTGTGTGTGCAGGACTGCTTTGTGTGGATGAGACAGCTTTGTGTGAGCAGGACAGCTTTGTGTGGGTGGGAAAGCTTTGTGTGTGCAGGAGTGCTTTGTGTGGGTGAGACAGTTTTGTGTGAGCAGGACAGCTTTGTGTGGGTGAGACAGCTTTGTGTGTGCAGGACTACTTTGTGTGGGTGAGACAGCTTTGTGTGTGCAGGACTGCTTTGTGTGGGTAGGACAGCTTTGTGTGTGCAGGACAGCTTTGTGTGGGTGAGACAGCTTTGTGTGAACAGGACTGCTTTGTGTGGGTGTAACGGCTTTGTGTGGGCGGGACAGCTTTGTGTGGGTGTAACAGCTTTGTGTGGGTTAGACAGCTTTGTGTGGGTGGGACAGTTTGGTGTGTGCAGGGCTGCTTTGTGTGGGTGGGACAGCTTTGTGTGGGTGAGACAACCTTGTGTATGTGTGACAGCTTTGTGTGTAGGGGACAGCTTTGTGTGTGAGTGTGACAGCTTTGTGTGGGAGAGACAACCTTGTGTAGGTGGGACTGCTTTGTGTGGGTGGGAAAGCTTTGTGTGAGCAGGACAGCTTTGTGTGGGTGGGAAAGCTTTGTGTGTGCAGGAGTGCTTTGTGTGGGTGAGACAGTTTTGTGTGAGCAGGACAGCTTTGTGTGGGTGAGACAGCTTTGTGTGTGCAGGACTACTTTGTGTGGATGAGACAGCTTTGTGTGAGCAGGACAGCTTTGTGTGGGTGGGAAAGCTTTGTGTGTGCAGGAGTGCTTTGTGTGGGTGAGACAGTTTTGTGTGAGCAGGACAGCTTTGTGTGGGTGAGACAGCTTTGTGTGTGCAGGACTACTTTGTGTGGGTGAGACAGCTTTGTGTGTGCAGGACTGCTTTGTGTGGGTAGGACAGCTTTGTGTGTGCAGGACAGCTTTGTGTGGGTGAGACAGCTTTGTGTGAGCAGGACTGCTTTGTGTGGGTGTAACGGCTTTGTGTGGGCGGGACAGCTTTGTGTGGGTGTAACAGCTTTGTGTGGGTTAGACAGCTTTGTGTGGGTGGGACAGTTTTGTGTGTGCAGGGCTGCTTTGTGTGGGTGGGACAGCTTTGTGTGGGTGAGACAACCTTGTGTATGTGTGACAGCTTTGTGTGTAGGGGACAGCTTTGTGTGTGAGTGTGACAGCTTTGTGTGGGAGAGACAACCTTGTGTAGGTGGGACTGCTTTGTGTGGGTGGGAAAGCTTTGTGTGTGCAGGACTGCTTTGTGTGGATGAGACAGCTTTGTGTGAGCAGGACAGCTTTGTGTGGGTGGGAAAGCTTTGTGTGTGCAGGAGTGCTTTGTGTGGGTGAGACAGTTTTGTGTGAGCAGGACAGCTTTGTGTGGGTGAGACAGCTTTGTGTGTGCAGGACTACTTTGTGTGGGTGAGACAGCTTTGTGTGTGCAGGACTGCTTTGTGTGGGTAGGACAGCTTTGTGTGTGCAGGACAGCTTTGTGTGGGTGAGACAGCTTTGTGTGAGCAGGACTGCTTTGTGTGGGTGTAACGGCTTTGTGTGGGCGGGACAGCTTTGTGTGGGTGTAACAGCTTTGTGTGGGTTAGACAGCTTTGTGTGGGTGGGACAGTTTTGTGTGTGCAGGGCTGCTTTGTGTGGGTGGGACAGCTTTGTGTGCGTGAGACAACCTTGTGTATGTGTGACAGCTTTGTGTGTAGGGGACAGCTTTGTGTGTGAGTGTGACAGCTTTGTGTGGGAGAGACAACCTTGTGTAGGTGGGACAGCTTTGTGTGGGTGATACAACCTTGTGTGTTAGGGACAGCTTTGTGTGGGGGACTGCTTTATGTGGGAGGAACAGCTTTGTGTGTGTGGGACAGCTTTGTGTGTGGGACTGCTTTGTGTGGGAGCAACAGCTTTGTGTGTGTGGGACAGCTTTGTGTGTGGGACTGCTTTGTGTGGGAGGAACAGCTTTATGTGTGTAGGACAGCTTTGTGTGTGGGACTGCTTTGTGTGGGAGGAACAGCTTTGTGTTGGAGGGACAGCTTTGTGTGGGTGAGATAACTTTGTGTAGGTGGGACTGCTTTGTGTAGGTGGGACAATTTTGATGACTTTTGTGACCACTATTGGTGACTTTTGTGTCCACTATTGGTGACTTACAGGTATCCGGTCAGACACACTACCTCCAGACGACCAGGCTAATATGTAACCATCATTAGCAGCAGACAGCATCAGCTTACAATCCGGCCTACAGTTAAACAAACCAAAAATATAATACCAGGTATAAAAATGGTTTCTTATACCAGGAACAAGGGAACAAGTCTTAATGATATCATCAGTAGTTGACATTTTGAATGAAATACATTACTGTCTTTTTGATGGACTTGAACAACAGCCCACAACTGTGTCTCAGTCAGATGATGTGATAGTGTCTACAAACTCTGTTTTTACTCCAACGTTTGTGTGAGGAGGAGAATGTACTGACCAATACAGGAAGTCTGTGACCCAGCCTTTGTGCTCTGTGATGACCATAACAAGCTTTCCTCCTTCTGCCTCATATGTCTTTATCACACCATCTGTCAAAGGAGAGCTACATATTAAAAATGCTCAAATTGCACATAATCATTCAGAAGAAACTAGAAATGTGTGTCCCTGGTTCAACAATACAATGTGTGTCCCTGGTTCAACAATACAATGTGTGTCCCTGGTTCAACAATACAATGTGCGTCCCTGATTCAACAATACAATGTGAGTCCCTGGTTCAACAATACAATGTGCATCCCTGATTCAACAATACAATGTGAGTCCCTGGTTCAACAATACAATGTGAGTCCCTGGTTCAACAATACAATGTGAGTCCCTGGTTCAACAATACAATGTGAGTCCCTGGTTCAACAATACAATGTGAGTCCTGGTTCAACAATACTATGTGAGTCCCTGGTTCAACAATACAATGTGCGACCCTGGTTCAACAATACAATGTGAGTCCCTGGTTCAACAATACAATGTGTGTCCCTGGTTCAACAATACAATGTGTGTCCCTGGTTCAACAATACAATGTGTGTCCCTGGTTCAACAATACAATGTGCGTCCCTGATTCAACAATACAATGTGAGTCCCTGGTTCAACAATACAATGTGCATCCCTGATTCAACAATACAATGTGAGTCCCTGGTTCAACAATACAATGTGAGTCCCTGGTTCAACAATATAATGTGAGTCCCTGGTTCAACAATACAATGTGAGTCCTGGTTCAACAATACAATGTGAGTCCCTGGTTCAACAATACAATGTGCGACCCTGGTTCAACAATACAATGTGAGTCCCTGGTTCAACAATACAATGTGCGTCCCTGGTTCAACAATACAATGTGAGTCCCTGGTTCAACAATACAATGTGTGTCCCTGGTTCAACAATACAATGTGTGTCCCTGGTTCAACAATACAATATGAGTTCCTGATTCAACAATACAATGTGAGTCCCTGGTTCAACAATACAATGTGCGACCCTGGTTCAACAATACAATGTGAGTCCCTGGTTCAGCAATACAATGTGCGTCCCTGGTTCAACAATACAATGTGAGTCCCTGGTTCAACAATACAATGTGTGTCCCTGGTTCAACAATACAATGTGCGTCCCTGGTTCAACAATACAATATGAGTTCCTGATTCAACAATACAATGTGAGTCCCTGGTTCAACAATACAATGTGCATCCCTGGTTCAACAATACAATGTGTGTCCCTGGTTCAACAATACAATGTGCGTCCCAGGTTCAACAATACAATGTGCGTCCCTGGTTCAACAATACAATGTGCGTCCCTGGTTCAATAATACAATGTGAGTCCCTGGTTCAACAATACAATGTGAGTCCCTGGTTCAACAATACAATGTGTGTCCCTGGTTCAACAATACAATGTGAGTCCCTGGTTCAACAATACAATGTGAGTCCCTGGTTCAACAATACAATGTGAGTCCTGGTTCAACAATACAATGTGAGTCCCTGATTCAACAATACAATGTGAGTCCCTGATTCAACAATACAATGTGAGTCCCTGGTTCAATAAAGTCATGCAAGTTCCTTATGCAACAAAACAATGCTATGTCAGTCCCAGATTCAACAAACTCTGTGAGTCCCAGGTTCTATAAAGCTAAGAGTTCTAAGTTCAAGAAAGCAATGTGCGTCACATGTTCAACAATGCGATGTAGGTTCCAGGGTTCAACAATGCTATGTGAGTTCCAGGGTTCAACAATGCTATGTCAGTCCCAGGTTCAACAATGCATGCGAGACCCAGGTTCTATAAAGCTATGAGTTCCAAGTTCAAGAAAGCAGTGTGAGACCCCAAGTTCAACAATGCTATGTCAGTCCCAGGTTCAACTATAACATGTGAATCCCAGGTTCAACAAAACAATACTATGTGAGTCCCAAGTTCAACAATGTCATGTGAGACCTCAGGTTCAACAATGCTATTTGAGTCCCAGGTTCAACAATGCTATGTCAGTCCCAGGTTCAACAAAGTCATATGAGTCCCCGGTTCAACAAAGCAACTACAATCACTTTCTGATATAAATTTTTTTTCAAGTTGAAAAGAAACTGATAAGTAAACATGACTATATATTTGCCTGTGTAATCAGGTCACACCATATAATAAGTCTAGGGGATTAACACTCTTTCTCACATTTTTGGGGATGGGCTTATTACAGGACAATAATTTTAAGCTTCTGTAAGAGTTAATAGGGCTCCTAGCTCTAACTTTATCTGTAGCCATAAAGGTCCTAGAAAATGGAATATCACCTTTACTATGTACCAAAATTTCTACAATAGATGATAATGAAGATAACTTCACTAAACCAATAGGAATAGGGGTTCACACTGGCCAGGTTCATAGATTTCTTCTTAAAGTTATTTTGCTTAAAAAATGATGAAGACAAACTGTTGATGTGTAAATGCCTACACTTTACACATGACCATACTTTCACTTTCTCCCTGTTCAACTTCAGTAACATAAACAATTTATAGATATAAAATTATTAAATCCAGTTAAAGATTCAACCATAGTCTACAATGTATCAATAATAAAGTCAATAAAAAGTTGTTGAAGTAATATTCTGTGACAACTCTGAGGTATGGACTAGCACTGTCAGTCAGTAATCAAATATACAGACTGGTACTTGTGTCAGTGACAAACTACTAATTAATATCAGTTATAATGGGATCAGGTGTCTTCTAAATGTCAGTACATCAGATAGCATTCAATACAACACAAGCTTCATACACCAAGACAGGTTAAAAATAGCCTCTTTAATGCTTTATCTTCATAGCACAAACAGACAGAACAATGTCAAACCGTGCCATGCAGAATGCCAAGTTTGGACAATATCCAAATCATTGGTATATCAATTAGTCCATTAAATATTTTTATCTGTTTTACAGCTATAGATATGTTGTAACCTATTCAAAAGTAAATATTTTGTTTATTATGTGACTCTGCATTTAAATATATCAATGTGTTACTGTGAATAGATTCACAAATGAGAAAAATCTCAACAGGTCGTACACTATTTGGTATCTGTAAAAAGTACACAGCAGAATCGTTCACAGATCCTTAGGTTCTGTTTTGTAGGAATTTAATATGTTCTATATACAGCCAATTACCCTCAGATCCTACCTCATAAAACAATTACTGATATAAATATGGACATGATCTTGAGTTCACAAATTGTCAGAATTCTCTACAGGACTTTTCATACCTTTTGGCATACTTGAATATAAATGTTTTAATATTTTATAATGTATACAGGAATACATTTGATATTTTAATCCCATTGTGCAGATGTCATCAAGCTTGAAAAAAGCGGTCACACATGATGTGTATGTCGGCCACTGCTACAATATAAACACAGCCTTCTTACCTCACCAGGGTTCTGGTGATAAATCTTGTTCAATAACTTCAAATAAAAACATATGCATATTTATTTCAAATAACCAATGTTCATTGAATGTTTATTCAGCATTGTAAATACTAGTAAATATTTTACATATGCAATCTATAAACCACTTTATATTGAGATACTGTAGATGGCCCAGCATGTTTATTCCAAGAGAACAGGTATAAAACTTGACTCTGAGGCTCATAGTAAATTTGTGTTATTTTCGTTTTTTGTTTTCGATCAGTTAAAAAGAGACCCAGTTTCAAAATGACCTGGCTGTTCATCGGGTGTCATCTAAAAAAGTATCTTCTCAAATTATGTAACTTGTCCATGGTCTTAACTTAAAGGTCACAAAGCCTTACAGCTGACCTTTTGTCTTAATTTGTAAATCAGAATAGAAAAAAAATGTTTACAGAATGAGAACAAATGTATTAAAAGAAAGATAAAATTTTCCATTCAGACATTGAGGTTACAGTTAATCTTTTGTTACAGTAAAAATTTGCAACCATGTTATTTGTATAGTTACATTTTGGGGTTGAAATGCTGAAAATATGCTCCTACTTACACGATTTTCGTATTAGAACTTAAAAAATGACCTCACACATGAAACCAACAATATGTAAAGTCCAAAAGTCTCAAACATTCTCTGCATTATAATACATCAATGCTCACTTTCAGCAGTACACAAGCAGACATATCATGTTCTCATGGTTTCATTGTTGTAGTGAGGAATAAAATGGACCCTGTCATTTTTTTTATGTTTGATAAGCATGTAGGTGTTTCATCATATTATAATCAACATATTTTTCAGTATCCTTTACAGGCCATTGGCTTTTACACATCAGTAGTTTTGTATGTTTTTAAACTTTGTCATGATTTGGCGCAATATACACATGTGGATAGTTTGAGCTCTAATCTATTTTTGCAAGCATAGTTAAAATATTCAGATAGACATAATTTGAAAATGTTAAACAATGTTTGTTCAGTTTTGTTGAGGTTGACAGTTTTCAACTGATATTTTTTTATGGGCAGACATGAAAGTAAAATGAAATTTTCAGTCTGTCTAGGCCTAGACAGGAAATATATATACATCAATTTCTGATACAAAAATCTACATTTTGCACTAAATTTTGCTAATTGTCCATAAATATATATCAACTAAACAAACTTCTATAAAAAACATATCTTATCTATTATTGTTGTACATAAATAAATCCTGGAATCCTTAATTCTTGTGTCAGTTATGCATATCTGATAATCCTGGCAATCAGTGATGGTGACCACACAGAATTTTCAACTGAAAATAAAGACACTTGAGAAAATCTAATGCTATACTTTTAATTTCTTAACAAATTGATGCACATTATGCATGTTTTTATGGTATCTGGGAAAATGACTAATTGTCATATTCAATAATGTATAATAATACAGGAATTTCAACAATTATTTCTAACCAAGATATTTGTAATTGATTATCAAGTCAAACAAATCATTGATAAACAATTAATTTTAACTGGCTGTAGAGAACATTTTAATGACTTCTGAGTGTTAGGCTTCATTGATTTTAGTACAGACTTAGATATAATAAAAATGTACAAGTACCTAGTAATTTGTTAAATAGAAATTGTCACTGATCAATAAATACTCTTAATGCTTTTTGGAAATTTTAATTATCCTTCAACTTCTATTGAAATTTTCATTGATTTTCGAGTACATTTGTATAGATTTTATTTAAGAAATGTGTCCAATGGAGGTAAATTACAATCTATTGCTGTATACAATGGTGTGTTGGTTGCTCTGATCCAAGGTCTACAAATGGTCACCTTATGTCACCATGTTGGATAATGAAAACAATGCAGAAAAATCTTTTGGACAAATCAATACATTTAATAGGTATTATTGAAAATGCTAGTCTCACCAGAAAACCAGATTGGAGTTGAAATGTGAAGAGTTACACATTTCAGTTAAGAATGGTTGTAGAAGCTACAAAGGTTATAGTGAGTGATGAAGTGAGAGACAGATAACATGAGATGTCAGAAGACTTTAACCATGATATTTCATACCTAGTGATATCAAGTACCTGCTTTACTTACTGTATATAAATCACAGATTAAGAATTAACACAATTGTAATTGATCCAACTACGTAAATCCCTTCTCCCAGACAGGAAACCTACTGCACAGTAAGAATTCTAGGTTAAAATCCTCACAATAAACCTACTACAGGAGTTCAAGGTCAACACTTCACAATAAACCTACTACTGGTCGGGTGGTAACGCACTCGTCTTTCACCTAGCTGACTGGGGTTTGATTCCCGGAACAGACGTGAAAAGGTAAGGGTCACCTGCCCGACCACGTGGGTTTTCCCCGGGTACTCCGGTTTCCTCCAACAATAAGACCGCTTACATCCATGCCAACAAGAGTGATTAGTATAAGTTGACATAACTTGTTTTGCAATTGTTGTAAAACAAATAAACCTACTATAGGAGTTCTAGGTTAACCTGCTACAATAAACCTACTATAGGAGTTTGAAGTAAACCTGCTACAATAAACCTACTATAGGAGTTTGAAGTAAACCTGCTACAATAAACCTACTATAGGAGTTCTAGGTTAACCTGCTACAATAAACCTACTATAGGAGTTCTAGGTTAACCTGCTACAATAAACCTACTATAGGAGTCCTAGGTTAACCTGCTACAATAAACCTACTATAGGAGTTTTAGGTTAACCCGCTGCTATAAACCTACTACAGGAGTTCTAGGTTAACCCTCTGCAACCTGTTCACTGATGGGTGTACTGAGTACAGAATACACATTGATAAACCTGTTCACTGATAGGTGTACTTAGTACAGAATACACATCGATAAACCTGTTCACTCATGGGTGTACTGAGTACAGAATACACATCGATAAACCTGTTCACTCATGGGTGTACTGAGTACAGAATACACATTGATAAACCTGTTCACTGATGGGTGTACTGAGTACAGAATACACATTGATAAACCTGTTCACTGATGGGTGTACTTAGTACAGAATACACATTGATAAACCTGTTCACTGATGGGTGTACTGAGTACAGAATACACATTGATAAACCTGTTAACTGATGGATGTACTGAGTACAGAATACACATCGATAAACCTGTTCACTGATGGGTGTACTGAGTACAGAATACACATTGATAAACCTGTTCACTGATGGGTGTACTTAGTACAGAATACACATCGATAAACCTGTTAACTGATAGGTGTACTGAGTACAGAATACACATCGATAAACCTGTTCACTGATAGGTGTACTGAGTACAGAATACACATTGAAAAACCTGTTCACAGATAGGTGTACTGAGTAGAGTATACACATCAGGGGACCTTTCACAGCTAGGTGTACTGAGTACAGAATATACATTAAGAAAGGGAGTATAAACCTCCAGTGATTTGTTTACTGACAGGTGCATTGAGCACAACATACGAGTCTCCTTGCAGACGGTGGGTATATCACTGAATAACAGATGAGAGGCCCATCACATTGCACCCAGAACAATTAAGATTTAAAAAGTGATGATGATCAGATAAAATCCATTCTATAATCTGTTTAAACTGAAGTGATATGATAATTGATTGTAATCTATCGTCTAGACTTGTGAGAATTCAACCCCTTCCACAATTAAATTTACTGTTCCAAAACAATTCTGGGATACTTCTGAAAAAAGAATCTGTAATTTAAATTGTATTTTTATCAGTTTGTTACAAAATAAGATAACAATAGTTGGTGCAGCAAGTTCTTTATGGTATTTTGTGTGGTAATTCAAAACAAATAAGCTTAAGTTGTCAATAAAATCAACTTTAAATGGAAGTTTGGTGGGAACTTCACTACCCACAATACACTGGCAGCAGCATACAATGAGATCTGTCAACCAGTTGAATGTATTAAAAAATATTTTGACTGAAAAAATATCCTTTCAAGCTTTCATGTGGATATGAAATTATACTAGTATTTAAAATAATTCAAACAAAATTTTAAAATATATATTTTAATGGTTTGAAATGCACGCAACCAAATAAAAAACAACAATTTCAACCATCCAATATAAGAGCACATTTGGTCTCTGGTGTACCTGATTTCTAGTTTATGTTTTGGGAACTTTTGTAGTTTTTCTGTGATCGATAAATAGATTGTCCCTTACATGGAAGCAGCTGAACAGCCCCAATTTAGTGTGATCTGCCAAGTTTCTGCAGGGCGTTAAAATTGTAATATTTTAATGTACTTTTTATATTTATTTAAATCAAATCATGATTATTTGAATGTCAGAAATTTTCCAGCAATCAACTACATGGGACAATAAATGGATAACTATTGGTGGTGAGGATTTTTTTCAGGAAAAGGCAGTTTATGTAATACTGGTAACTTTATTATGAGCTCTCATGACAAATCTATTACACAATACAATATTTATACTGATTTCTGGATTAAAATGTATACTAGAATAGTTTCAGCAGTGTTTACAAAATTATGACATCATGAACTTTGCTCTACCACCACCAGTTAACATTGTTCTATTAAAAAGTTAAAAGTTTAGTTTATCTTCTGATTTGTTAAGCAGAAAGAACAGTTTTAATCATGAAACCCGGTTAAACATAGAAGCACTACCTTTAAAATTTTAAACTACACAGCCTTTACTTTATTTATTCATTTGTTTAACATGTAACATCTGCCATTCCGGCCTTTCATCCTTTCTGAAGACATAATAAAATTGACAATCATGTTATTCTGCATATAAAACTGTGTCTGTACACAATACCACAATTTATTTATTATTGATTCATTCATCCTGATTTTCTATTCTTGCTCATTATAAAGTCCAAACTTGTAATAAAGGGGGGATTCTTACAGATAAATTTGTGTACAAGGGAAAATTTGGAAAAAAAGATGAATAAAAAATAATGGAATAATTCGACCTATCTATATAAACAGCTATTTATATTACCAACAGTATGCAATGATAAATTACAACATAATCCGTATAGTTAGGCAATTTAAAATGTGCATCTTGTTGATCAACTAGAGCTTGCGGTTAGGCAGTGCCTCTTTTATATTATCAAATATACCGGAAGAAATAATTAAATACAATTAATACATTTGTCCATTTGTAAATGAATTTATAATGTGCATACATACCTTCACATCCTATCAGGATCTCTCTCCGACCTGGATTGTATCCGATTGCGGTGATGGATCGTGTGTGGGTATCACGGATAGTATATAATTTTTCCATCGCCATTTTGGATTTTAGTACTCAATGTAGTGACAGAAAAGAAGGAAAATATTAACCAACTTATTATGTAAATATCGTCATATTCAGAGACTGAAGATATTCATCCCATCCGCATTATTTACATAACCGAACACAGAGCACTGACGAAGGATAGGAGTTTGCCGCCATGACAGTATTTCTTGACAACAACGCATGCTCAATATGAGCTTCAGGTTTTCACGGGACCATCCATTATTTACGGACCACAAGGGAGAAGTCATTATAGGTGTATTGGTTAAAGGTAGTCAGGTTTTTTTTTGCGTATTGCATTCTGAATTTAATCATTCTTCATTACTGTAACCGTTTTAGAAATGAGAGAAATGGTCTGTTCATTTATTTTTTCCAACAATTGATTTTCCTTAACAAGCGTACAAATCATAAATGCAAAGGAAGACTTTCAGAATGCTTCCTATATGATATTGGGAATGCTGAAAGGAGATATTTTTTCAACCAACTGCCATTCGAAAATTCACGCCGCTTCTCTGTTGTCTAGGGATGGCTGGTATCAGTTTCTTTTTTAACCTATTTTGATTTCCTCATTCGATTTTTAAAAAAACGTACCGTCAAAAAGTATCAATTGAACTTGAGGGATGGAAACCGAAGAATTTGCACGTGGTTATGCAGACGAATCCTTACCTTTCCGGGTCCGATCTGAAAATCGCGCTCCGATCGCTCAGGTGATCAACGACAAACATTACCAGTAGTGGGCTACCCTTAATTACAAACAGAACTTACTAAGAAGAAATATTTGAACGATATAAAAGATTCATGTACGTCCCAAAATGTGCCACGAAGTTATTAGAAATATCTTTATAATTTTTGTTATTTAGTTAAAATGTGATTTAGACAAAATTATACATTAAATATAACCTCTCATCCATCAAATAATAATAATAAAAAACACACACAAAGGAACAGGACTAAATATCGTTTAAACACAATTATGTATTTTATTGTTTTGTGAACTTTCAGTTGTTATGGATTGGTTGCCTAACTGGCAGTATGCAGTTTAATATTTTAGTTGAAAATTTCATTCACCGTATATATTTTGGCATAATTTTAATACTTCCACGCATACATGCCCATATATTTTTGTTGATTCTCTGCAGATTTCTTGTATCAGCTCTGCCCAGCCGAAATACGCCAATCTTCATACAAATCAGGACAAATAACAATATAAATGGTATACAGATTGATAATGTATCTATTCTTAATATACAGTATGCAGATGACAATGGTCTTATACTTGATGGCTCAGAGAACTCACTCAAAGAATCAATTATTGAAGTAACTTTTTTGCTAGAATGTCAGGTTTACATATTAACACAAATAAAACACAGGTAATTTGGATAGGAAGCAAAAAATATAGTGATGACTCTTTCCTTCCAGAATTGAATCTTCTCTGGGGCAATAATAAGTTTACTTTTTTGGGTATTGAATTTTCGGTCAACCTTAGTTAGATTCCTAGAATGAATTTTGACAAAAAAATAGTTAAACTGAAAGCAATTATTAACATGTGGCAAAGACGGAATCTTAGTCCTATTGGTAGAGTTAACATAATTAAGTCACTTCTAATTTCCCAGTTCAATTATTTATTTATAATTCTTCCAAATCCTCATGACAAAGTTCTTGCCAAATTAAAAATGATAGATGTAGGAGCTTTTATGGATTCTTATTAAATTAGGATGGATAAGAAGAATCACTCAGTCATCAGGAAAATGGAAAGTTCTATTGAATTCTATTGTAGAGGTAAAAAAATTGTTTCATTGCGGAAAGGAATATGTTAAGTCATGTAGTAACAATTGCAGCAATATATTCTGGAAAGATGTATTTAAAAGTTGGGTTAGATTGAATAATTCCTTTCCTATGAGGCAAAGTATGCCAGAGTCAATTTTAAAAACCCCTTTATAGTACAATAATGACATTCAAGTGGGCAATAGATATGTCTTCTATCCAGTATGGTTTAATGCTGGTATATATACCATCAATGATCTAATTAAAAATTTTGATCATTTGACATTTTTCTCCTTTGATGAGTTTCTTCATAAATTTTTAATCAATACCAACTATTTACAGTATTATGGTTTGATTACAGCCGTCAAGTGTTTCTTGAGAAAACATGACTTCCATCCATTAGGACTATTTCAGCCTTTTATACCACTTCTATGGGAAATTTTTTATAAAAGTAAAAAAGGTGCCAAAGACTTCTACAATGCTATTATTAAGCCAGCTCCAACCCCTACCGGTATTCGAAAATGGAGTGATGAGTTTGACTTTGATGATCAAAAGTGGAAAAATATATTAATAATTCCGTTTACTATTACAAAAAGTTCTAAGCTACAGTGGTTTCAAGTAAGGATTATACATCACATTCTGGTTACGAACTCCTTTCTTTTCAATATTAATATAATACCTAGCCCTTTATGTACACTATGTAATATGGAAAGAGAAACTATTGTTCACTGTCTATGGGAGTGTATAGAGGTACAGACTCTATTGGGGAGATTTGAATCTCTTCTTGATATTCTTCTGATTCCTTTCTGGATAAACAAAGAAACATATTTATTTGGAATTATCCATCCTAATGCTAACACTGTAGATAACGAAATTTTAATTCTCATTAAACACTATGTTTATATGTCAAGATGTCTACAAAAATCTCTTAATTTAAATGCTCTTATAAATAAGATTAAGGATCATTTCCATGTTCAAAAGTACAACATTTCCAGCAAAAACACTATTATGAAAACAAATTTTTAGAATAATTGGAAAAAATGGATGCCCATTTTGGAACTATAGTTTGTATGCTCACAAGTCTGTTCCCAATGGCCATGGCCTTGACTTTACCAAACTGACTTTTAATTTATTGAATTTCCACAAAATTAGTGCTATTTTTATTTAATAATAATTATAACCCTTCCAATTCTCTCTCTTCCCCCCCCCTCTCTCTCTCTCTCGCTCTCTCTCTCTCTCTCTCTCTCTCTCTCTCTCTCTCTCTCTCTCTCTCTCTCTCACACACACACACACACTCCTCTCTCCCTCTCTCTTTTTTTGTTTAGGATGTATAATGTTTTATATATATATATAAATGTATTCATGAGTGAGTATGTGTGTGTGAGAAAATATCTTTGATAAGTGTAAGTGATATGATATTGTATGTGTGTGTGTGTGTGTGTGTGTGAGTATTTTGTTAAGTACATGTAAGTTTGCTATGTGAGTGTAAGTGGGTGTGAATGTTGATGAGTGAGTTTGTGTGCAGTAAGTAGTAGATACATGTGCATGATGATAAAGATGATGATGATGATGATGATAATGATGATGTTGCATGTATATGTGTAAGACATATTCAAGTAAGAGCACACAAGTGTGAGAGTGTGAGTGTATGTTTTTGTGTGGTTTCTCTTGTATATTGTGTAATATGTAAAAACTTGTCAAAAAATAAAAGAGTTAAAAAAAAAATCATCATACATACAGTAAATTTTCATCAAAAGAAAAGAAACTTCTCTTTGCTTCGTGTAAAACATAGAAAAAGAAGGTAAAGATGACTTAGCGTTCCATCACAAATCAAGTGTGTTCGACTCCGTAAAAAACGATACCGAGGTGATGATTTGAAATGTTCATTTAAAAAAGGAAAGAAAATGTGAAAATATGCTAATGATGTTTTCAGTGTTTTTTTCCCGATGACTCATGTAATGTTAATGTTTCCAGATATTTGTCCTTTGATGTTACACAATCACCGAATTATCAGACCTCTGAGAATTACTTTAACAGTGAAATGTTATACTTTAGAAGTGAATCATGTGAACTTGTTTGAAATAAGTATGCTATCTTCTCAGTGTGACAAGGTGATGTGTACTACAACACTTGACACGGACCAGTGAGTGATTTTTACACAACAAAACCACATCTAATTCCTGGTATTTCATATATTCTTAGTAATTGACTATGATATCAGCGAAACCGCGTGCTGTATTCACGATATTACGCAAGTTTTCAATTTGACAGGTATAGAATTTCCAATCGTCATTCGCCACATAAGGACCGACATCCGTTTTGTTTAATATCTTGGCTTCATCGCGTCATTCCTGTTATATCTTCACTTTGTTCTCGGCGTTGTAATGTGTGTTCAGTCACTATGAAACATCTTATTAGCTCATTTTCATTATGTTGTCAGTTTTTTCTTTTTTTTTTCACTATTCACTATTTATCTTTTGAAAGACAAATTTTAAAAAAAATTCAGCTTATAAAATACTGAAAATCAGAAGAAAAATGTCTTATGGATTGTATAGAGTTGCATAGCATAACACTAAGAAGTTTATTTATCTATAAATTCAGAGAGGATCATTAATGGTCTCCCGTTTAATATCATACGTATTTCACTCGTATGACAGAATATCTATATTTTCACGAGTCCGAAATCAATCCAAACACAAAAGTTCTGGAAATATCAATGCGCTCCTAGACATCGAATAATCTGACGTTATGCTTGACAACAAGACGACGCCATTTTGAGTAGACTGTTTTACGTCGTTTCCCACCAAATTATTATGTTATTTGGTCAGAATCGTGAGCAAAACTGTTGATGAACCAAATTTGAGAAAACCAGAAATGTACTTGGGAATTTTGTTGGAAAACCAACTTATTCAACTTTGGTATCATTTGCGTCTGAACCACAAAATCGGTGAATTTTCATGTAGTGACTAGAAAGCAACGCCTTGATTGGTCAAAACTACGAAAATTATAATATAAGATTTATATCATCACTGCAGTGATTATCTAAGTTTTTATCAAAGTGACAAATTCCTATGTTTCACTAGCAAAACTGTAATAAATCAAACATCACGAAAGTTGCCGCAATACTGATTAAAGCTAACCTATTGATTTCCACCATTAAGCAATTCGACATGCTACTAATATGTTTTACTGTACATCTGTGCCTTCATGTCTTGAGCTCATACCATTATGAAACGTGAAAATAGGAAGGCTATAAATATCAAACATCCGTTTCTTGGCCACATTAACCGTTACTTTACACGAACCGTAAATAGGATAAATATAGTTGTTGACGGAATAAACGCGGGTATAGTGATGAACAGTATAAGGCAATATAATACGAATACATAGAAACTTGTTTGTAAAATTTTTGAAGTCCTCTTACGCTACTTGGAGGGTATTGTGTGCACTTGTGATGTAAGTGTGACAAAGCATCCAAAGAGAGCAGCGCTCGGAACACGAGTACCTTTACCGTCACTAGTCAGCATTACTCGAAACACGGGGACATTTACCGTCACTAGGCAGCATCACCCGGAACACGGGGACCTTTACCGTCACTAGTCAGCATCACTCGGAACACGGGGGCATTTACCGTCACTAGTCAGCATCACTCGGAACACGGGGGCATTTACCGTCACTAGTCAGCATCACTCGAAACACGGGGACATTTACCGTCACTAGTCAGCATCACTCGGAACATGGGGAACTTTAGCGTCACTAATCAGCATCACTCGGAACACGGGGGCATTTACCGTCACTAGTCAGCATCACTCGAAACATGGGGACATTTACCGTCACTAGTCAGCATCACTCGGAACACGGGGACCTTTACGAACACGAGGACCTTTACCGTCGCTAGTCAGAATCACTCGGAACACGAGGACCTTTACCGTCACTAGTCAGCATCATTCGGAACACGGGGATCTTTACCGTCGCTAGTCAGCATCACTCGGAACACGAGGACCTTTACTGTCACTAGTCATACTATCATCAAAGCACACCCTCATTGAATGTTTAGTAGGCAGATAGTGCCCGATACCTGGCAAATATTACATTACCATGTTATGTTTCAGAGTTGTAAAGTCAAACTCTTTTGTAAGAACGGTCCCTCTCAGATATGGCAGATCAAACGTTGGGACAATGGATAACTTCATTCATAATTTCTTAAGGGCGTTATTGTTTTCCCCCAATCACTTTCATGACTTCCTGATATCGACAAATAGATGATACTGTTTGTACCTCCTTGGACATGTAACAGGTAAATCCACTTTCATATTCATTGTAGACATTGTAGTGTGAACTTCCGGTGAACAGACCTGATGATACTACTCTAAAACACAGGATACAGAAGCTACATAACAGATAAACAAAAGACTATTGGAACCTATAACATGAAACATCCGTAGATAAACCATTGTCACCCTGACCTGAGCGACATGGACTGTTAAGTTGGTCTTCCTAGAATGTAACAGCTTTAGGTAAATAACTGTTAATTCTGAGAAAAACAAAACAACACAGTCCGAGAATGATGTTGTTTCTATCAGTCTGGCACAATGCTGTAAATATGTGTCATTCTGATCTTCCAGAACATTCCATTTAACTGCAACGACACAATTATGTCTAGACAACTGATGCTGATGACATAGTACTAGTGATGGGTGTTGTATATATTGTGTGTGTTTATAAGTACTGTCGTCCGTCTCTTCTGATAATGAGGCAATATGCGTGCCATCTCCAACAAGTCAGCTGTATCATAGCTTCTCCTATATACTTCACCCTTAATGTACACAAGTGATTGACACAAGTCTTCAATTAAAAACTGCTTCGCTTCTAGTACTCGTGTGATGCTAAGGGCCTAATTGTTGAAACACAGTAGGCAACGGAGGAAAATGAAAAAGTCGTTTCCACAACTCAACGAATTTATGATTTTCAATGATTCAAAGTTAACACCAGGTATAAGTGATCTGAATTGTTAATCAAAACGTACAATGAAGGACACGTTTTGTTTAAAATCTATCAAAAGTTGTTTTACATGAATAGCATTTCTATAGTTTTAAACTTAAACAAATTTTAACAAAAATATTCTTGGATGGAAAGGAAGAAATAAAGGGTAATTAATGTATGTGGTTAAAAAACCCCGAGATCCAGATCCTTGTATATGAGCGAGTTCCTGTACATGTTCCTATAATATCTCCATGGTTACCGTCTTCATATGTAGTTTTATTTTGTTTTTCTTACCATTTTCCATAGCTGCTGTTGTCTGTTTTGCCGTCGCGAGTTCAGTTGCAAAATTATACTTCATCATTGTATGTTCGATGTCTTACTCCCAATACTTGTAAATTTTCTCCCAATACCTTAAAACTTTTGACTTCGTGAAGCGTTGACATTTAATCTTTATATTTTATTTCACAAGACACGATGTTTGCTTGGGTACGGAAGCAGCCTGTGCTTTTCTAGTTTTCAGTACTATATTAAATGATATGAAAGTTTGTTTGTCGTTGTCATCGACTCACTTTGCGAAAATACCAGCCTCCGTTCGTTTTCCATCATAGATACATCGGCATTATAAGTAATAACAGCGACTCGCATTCATCTTAGATGTGGTGAAGCAAAGGCGTTACCATGCAGGAATTGAAAGTTCTCGATATGGAAAGCAAAATCACCATGCACACAATACAGCCCTGTATCAGGTTGTGAGATCGATATATGTATGGTGAATTAAGGTCTGCACTATTCCTGATTTTGAGTTCTGGATGTTATGTACAGCTTGTCTTCATAGATATTAAAATCACAAACTGGTTGAAAAATCGTGTTAACAAAGACACGATCTCAACCAGGTATCGTATTCTACATATCATAAAACATTTCTTTGATTCAAAACAGTTCTCTGACATCATTATTGGTTTCTCGGAAAAAGGTAGCCCTTATAACAGTTTTTGGAGTATAAATCTGTATGTATGTATACTTGTATGATTGTATGGTTGTTTGAATGACAGCCAAATGTTTGGGTGATGTTTAGATTAAATAAATACGAATGTTAATGACGAATAAACCAGAAGACAGTTTTGAAATTTTCAATTGTCCATAATGTTACCATTTTAAGTAAATACTTGTATGTTCAGGGAAAACCATTATGATTTCATTTACATGTTTTAAACTCCTCCCGATGACAACATAATCGACCCTATATTGACTTGTCTAGTGTTGAACACCATGTTGTCCCACATTGCAAGATCGTGTAAAGCAAAAGCAGGCCAACTTGATTCGTGGGTTGGCCTTCCACCGGAAAGTGGTGCTCAAATGTTAATCTCCACTCAGCCTACTTAGCAGGCATCACATATATGAAGGTGAAAATTATAACTGTCACATCGCCCCCACAAAGTCATATATACTCTGCCCTGGCCACCACAGACTTCAGTTCACGTTGGACGTTTACGCGACCATAACGTGACATGATGTGGCTCGTCGTTCTAATTGCAGCAACGTCCTTATTGGTGGTAAGAACGCTTTCAAATATTGTTCGTTTACGATGAAAGTAAATTTGCGAGATTTTTCTAAAGATGCGACAAACATGTTGTTTTGAATGGGATAAAACTTAATCGAGAAAAAAAATGTTTCTAACTATTTAAGATATTCCTATAAGAATGTTTTTTCAATGACTTTGGGGCACACCAAACAAACAAATAATTAGTTTAATTTATAACAATAGTTGGCAGCTATCAGTTAAATGATTTTTTACTCTGCAGAACAAAATCGACTCCAGGCCTCAGACGACAGTCAGTAAGTATCAAACCTTGATATAATAGTGAAAATATTGTTATTTAATTCTTTTTCCCGTTATCTTATTTTAATAACATTGAAAGTTTGTAAGCGTGATAGTACCAGAAAAATGGACGACTGTTTGGAACCTTATTGTCGGTAAAGTCGTTATAAATACAGAAAGTAGAACCCCATACAGACAATACTTGTGATGATTCAACATTGGATTCCTCCCCATGACTCATTAATACTTATATATAAAACTAGGTTTTACTTTAAATTTTCGAACACTTTTACTTGTTTTCGAGTTTATAGACTTTACTTAACGTAGCCACAATAGTGCCAGAAGTGCCTATGTTTCTCGGTAATTAATTATTCGACTTGAGGAACCCAGTGATAATTTGTTGCAAGGCATATTGTCAAATGTTGACACAATCTAGAGATTTCATTCATATTCAAATATTACCTAGAATTGATATCGTTACCGTTTGTTGATGTCGAAATAATCTCTGATTTATAGAAACTTTTATTCGTACGTACATGTTAACACTGTTGATGCAGGTACAGAATGTGCTCCAATGGATGTCGTATTTCTGCTGGATAGCTCTCGAAATGTCGACTTCGATAAACAGCTGAAGTTTGCCAATGATGTGGTAGACCAACTAGATGTTGGGCCGGGCCCTAGCCAGACGAGGGTTGGAGTCATCAGCATTGGCTACACGTACCTACTGCAATTCTACCTCCGGACACACACAACAAAGGAGGAGGTCAAGACGGCTATAAGTCAGATTCGTCATCGCTATTCCTACCAGACCAACACCGGAGCATCCATTAGATTCCTGACGCAGTACATGTTCAGGTCATTCTTTGGCGGGAGACCAGACGCAACGCGTGTGGCAATCGTCATCACTGATGGACAGTCCAAGGACCCTAAGAGTACTAGGTACGAGGCTCTCCTTGCAAGGAAAAAAGGCATCAAAATGTTTGCCGTTGGTGTCGGGTTGGCGAATGAAGATGAACTTCTTAGCATTGGTAGTCAACCTACTGACAACTTTGTGTTCAGGGTCGACAGCTACAACTCTCTTCTTTCAGTAATACCCAACCTACCAAAGACCTCCTGTGAAGGTAAGATTATCTATCATCGCATGAGAAGTATTATTTGCCAGACATGTTCGGTATGTGCATGGGAATCAGTGCTGAACATATCTGGTGTGACTGTGGCACCTTATATTTATATCATATTAACTTTGACAAAACGCACCCATTGCTACCACTACTTCTACTCATCACGATAACATAACAGACTTGGTTTCGCTATCTTCATATCATTTCCCTCTGTCCGACACCATGATCACAACATTTTCATGTTGCGATTCAGTAGGATCTGAAGATATGCAATAGGGGTTTAATAAATGATATTGGGTGTACATACTGTCAGACGCATGACCGTGCCATGCTTACCTGATGGCGCTGAAATTTACATCTGAGTAGAGTAGATATATCTTAATACATATCCGCATATCAAATTGTTCACGACAAAATATGTACAAGGTTGTAGATGTGAGCTTATCAGACGAACACCGCACTAGATTTTCGTATCTTGTCTTGAGTATGTTCCTGAGAATTTTAGTCCTATTCTTAGCTGTTGCTGAGCAATTATTTCACTGGATCGAATTGTTTTCTCGCTGACCGATTTAAGACAGCTGAAGGTGACATTAGTACGTACACAACGGATGGCACTAATGTATCCATGCTGTCTGCACAAGAAGGGTGCCCTTTGTTAGCCCTAGTCCCTTTATCCAAACACTTGACATATATCTCTAATTGCATCACAATGTGTAAAGTAGCTGCTCTCACTCTTCAATTGATATATTCTGTCTACAAACAAAGACAAAAAGCTTATATTGTGGTTTTGTTGGAGTGTAAATTCCCGTTCTTTTACTTACATAATAGAAAAGCCATATACTCTAGGACGTTGATTGTAGTACATGTCTCATTTGATAAATCGGGTTGTTGACCTGTCAATATGCTCCAAGGGCCAGTCTATCGAAATACACTAGATACCTATCAAATAGTCGGGTGACATCTAGTAGTGATATGGACTTCATAGCCTCCAACGGGCAGCTTTAGATACATAACTTAGATGTAGCAAAAGTTAGAATACAAGACCTAGAGGCTGGTAAAATCAACACTTATGACTTAAAGACTGATAATTCTGACAGCTAACCTAAAGATAGTTAAAGTCAGGGCACATGACCTAAAGACGGACATTTATAACAGCTAACCTAAAGTTCGGTAAAGTTAGGACACGTGACCTAGAGACTGATAACCTAAAGGTCGGTAAAGCTAGGACACGTGACCTAGAGACTGATAACCTAAAGGTTGGTAAAGTTAGGACACGTGACTTATAGACTGATAAAGTTATAACAGCAAACTAAAGGTCGGTTAAGCTAGGATACGTGACCTAGAGACTGATAAAGTTATAACAGCTAACCTTAAGGTCGGTAAAGTTAGGACATGTGACCTAGACACTGATAAAGTTATAACAGCTGACCTAAAAGTCGGTAAAGCTAGGACACGTTATCTAGAGACTGATAACCTAAAGATCGGTAAAGTAAGGGCACATGACCTAGAGACTGAAAAAAGTTATAACAGCTTGCCTAAAGATCGGTACAGTTAGGACACATGACATAGGGAAAGGAAACGAAAGAACGCACATCAAAGAGACTGATGACGTAAGAGCATATATTCAAGAGAATAGGGAAAATTAGGTCCAATAGTCTAGCGAACACAGACTAGTGATTGGTAAGAGTTGGTCACAAAACAGTGGGACTTGTAACGTCGTAACATCTAGTCAAGAGAATCGTAACTTTAACTAGAGACTAGTAAAATAAGGTCACACAACCTAAATATAGGTTTCGTTAGAACACACAACCTAAAGACTGGTAACATTAGGTCACATAGCCTAAGTACAGGTTTCATTAGAACACACATTCTAGAGACTGGTAACATAAGGTCACATAGACTAAACACAGGTTTCGTTAGAACACACATCCTAGAGACTGGAAACATAAGGTGACACAACCTAAGTACAGGTTTCATTAGAACACACATCCTAAAACTGGGTGCATAGGGTCACATAGCCTAGATACAGGTTTCGTTAGAACACACACCCTAGAGACTGGTTACATAAGGTCAAAAAGCATTGTGACTGGAACACAGACTAGAGACAAGTGTTGTTAGAACACAAATATTAGAGACTGTTATTATACATGTGTTAAAGACTGTTAATGTTAGAACACATACCCTTGAGAATATTGACGTTAGAACATGTAGTCTAAAGACGGGTACAGATATAGAAAATTACCTAGAGACCAATCAAGCCATAACACTTAGTATCTAAGACAGAGGTCATTGCACCTATTATATCTGGATAGAACTAGTATGAGGTACTTACTGTAGGATAAGGAATCCTGAAATACTGTGTGATTTAAACATGTATCTATGCAGAAAGCTTTCTTTTTCGTTAACTAATTCCTTCATTCGATAATTTGAAATTACGATCAAGGGCGTTGAGGAAGTATGGTATACAATGTACATACGTTGATACACAATATATTGAAGGAGACAGAGTGTGAAACTTAAACACTTCTTTCCGGTACAGAATTCTTTATACTTCACAGTTTTTGTAACGCGTGTGTCATCAGGAAAGAAATACTAGAACACGAACATTAGATTTAAGGGTTTTGTTTATTCTAACAATATCAATTTTCTTGAACGTATTATTGAATCTACAAAGCAAGTTATCTCCATTTCGGTCAATGTCGTTTTTAGTAGAACGGTTAGCCCACAACATATCAAGGTGAATGAAATTTGAAATCTTGATTTTTTTTTCGAAAGCTGCTAATCATATCTGTTTTATGTTGTACAATCTATTCGTTTATGTAACATTGGCCGAAGTTTATTGTTGTCTGTTTTCTATCTTCTTGTAGTGTCTGCAATAACTAAACGGCGTCCAGCACCAACAAAACGATTCACATTCCCTCCACTCATCTTTAATGAGTTCAAATTTGTGCCACCAAAGGCACGTAATCCCATGACCTCTGCGCCACCAACACAACCAAGCCGTTCACAAACAACTAAATTATCAACTCTTGGTCCGTTTTCATCTGATTCTACCACAGTTCGACCGTCCACACAAGCACCAACAGTCCTTGTTTCACAGTCATCTGAATCAACAACGAAGAAACCTTCCACAGAATCGCCAACAACCTTTGGTCCACAGACACCCGAACCGACCACGAAGAAGCCGTCTACAGAAGCGCCAACAACTATTGTTCCAAGGACACCCGAACCGACCACGAAACAGCCGTCTACAGAAGCGACAACAACTATTGTTCCAAGGACACCGGAACCGACCACGAAACCGCCGTCCACAGTAACAACAACTATGGTTCCGGAGACACCGGAACCGACCACGAAACAGCCGTCTACAGAAGCGACAACAACCCTTGGTCCACAGACACCGGAACCGACCACGAAACAGCCGTCTACAGAAGCGACAACAACCCTTGGTCCACAGACACCGGAACCGACCACGAAACAGCCGTCTACAGAAGCGACAACAACCCTTGGTCCACAGACACCGGAGCCGACCACGAAACAGCCTTCTACAGAAGCGACAACAACCCTTGGCCCACAGACACCCGAACCGACCACGAAACAGCCGTCTACAGAAGCGACAACAACCCTTGGTCCATGGACACCGGAACCGACCACAAAACAACCGTCTTCAGAAGCGGCAACAACCTTTGGCCCACAGACGCCCGACTCGACCTCAAAACAATCTACAGAAGCACCGACAAGAGTGCAATCATCTACAATCTCCAATCAACAAACAGTACTCGTTTCACATTCGCCTTTTGCATTAGAAAATGCCAATTCCCCTGAAGGTTTATCGTCTTTGTTTCGGGAACCTGTTGAGATCAACAACGCACCTACGAAAGAAGTGTCTGAGACAAAAGAAATAAACAATGTTGATTTCAGAAAGTCACAAAAAAAACGGAGACTTTTGAAGAAAAAGCTAAGGAAAAATAATATCTCCAATGAGATATCATACCAGAAAGGCAAATGGGCGCCCGCTCCAAGTCATCAGATGAGCGAACCGCAGTACGACGCAATGCTGGAAAACGACAAGAGAGTTTGGTCTATGATGATGGGGCCTTCTAAAGCGCAATATAACTTCAACAAGCTATCACGCGAAGTAGCTATCGCGGATGAGCCGAAACAATGTAAGTACTCCACAATTAAATATATTATTATCCTTGTGCGTATGAAATCAGTCTTATATGTATATCGTAGAGAACATTCGATGAAGCAAATTGTCGATAGCTTTAAGAATGTCCAAAAACATATTTTCGAAATAAGAAGTACACTCATGTACAATAGACATTGCTGTGTCTGAAATGTTGATGCACTCAGATGAGGAAATGTTGAAGCTTAGTTACTTTGTTCCTGGAATGTCTCGACGATTTTTAATAACAAGGTAGTACACTTTGGGACAGATAAAGTATGGCCTCATTTTGTCAAAACTGCAGATTATGTTTGGAACAAATTGACAGAGAGGATAACACATTCTTGATTAACGTAAAATGTATTTGTGTTTAGCCTTGTCTTAAGAAATAGTGAAAAAGCTTTTGAAAATGTATTTACCATGGTATTTCAGGGTAATATGGGTAGATTGTGTATCTATTTTGACTAATTAATAAGCAACGGAAAACTAAGATAATTTGTTGTGAATATAAATTCCCCCTTGATTCATGTCGTTCATTGCGTCGAGTCTGACAAAGGGTAATAGCAAGAAAATAGTTCCATTCTCTCATTTGTTATACTTTGATTTGTAATCTCAGTTTCACTTATATATTAAGAATATATAATTTCTTCTCGTGAAGATTTTTCTCTGCTGGTATATATACACGAGGGTTGATTGATGAATTGTGAGCCTTGTACTACAGAAGTTAAGCAGGGATGTCCTTTTTCTTCTCTAGTATTCTCTGATTAGCTAAGGCTGTGTACCCGAATACTGGTGTCATTTGGTCAGTTTATCTCGAAGAGTTTGCACTCTAAAGAAAAGTGACTTTGCAAAGTGGACAAAATCGCTAAAAGAGCAGTGATACAATATTTGCATAAGAAAAGCCTAGCACCTAAGGACATCCATACAGGTAGAGTTATAATACTAGGGAATTATGCCACTACGAATGCTACAGTGAAAAAGTGGTAGGCGGAATTAAAGCGTGGCAGGTAGAGCCTTAGTGATGGAAGGCCTGTCCTTGTTGCAACCCCAAAAATGGTCAATAAAGTCCAGGATATTGCTTTTGCTGACAGGTGAGTTACAGAGAGATGGATAGGCAGTACAGCTAGGATTTCACAGGAAAGAGTACATTCCATTCTCACGTAAGATCTTGCAATGAGAAAGTTCTGAGTCCATTGGGTACCAATACTTCTCACAGTTGATCATAAGTGCACGAGGCGGACTTTGGCGTGTGACAACCTTTTTAGAGACAGATCCTGCTAAATTTCTGCAGAAGTTTGTGGCTATGGATGAAACTTGGGGCCAGCATTACATCCCAGAGGCAAAACAACAGTCTCAACAGTGGAAGTTCCATGCTTCACCCCCGCCAAAGAAGGCAAAACTGTTCCATCAGCTGGAAAGGTTAAGGCCTCGGTTTTCTTGGAAGCTGGCGGTATTCTAATGGTAGATTATCTGCAAAAGGGATAAAGAATCCATGACACATATTATGCATCACTTCTTAGACTTCTTCACGCGCCGAGGAAAACTCCGTAAAGGTGTGTTGTTCCACCAGAACAATGCCCCTGTTCACAAGTCTGTCATTATAATGGCTGCCATTTACGATTGTAGCTATGAATTGATTGAGATTGATTCGCCTGATCTCTATCTATCAGACTATCATCTACTTCCAGAGTTTAAAAGGCCATTTCTGGTACCCACTTTCGGTCAGATGACGACGTCATACATGCTGTGGAGGATTTTTTTTATACTTCTTTAAAAGTGACATGGAAACCCTTAAATATCGCTGGCAACGTGTACAGAAAATGAAAGGGATTATTTTGAACCTTCAAATGTGAGGTTCACAACTTATCAATCAACTTATTACCACACTATATGTCCTAAAAGAGCCGTAACGTGTATGATAGCAGTATCTTACCAAGTACTATATAGAATGTATGTTACCACACTTAGGGGACAAGTGGCCATGGGGCGCCTACTTTACTTATAAACCGGATAAAACACATCGAGGTCGAGGTTAAAAGGACTCTGTCCTTTCCTAGGTTCCTTGCTATCAAAGACATACACAGCTCGTTAATGGAAAAATAATTGCAGATTTTTAACTCGTGTGCATACCGGTAGTTGAAGAGTCATGACTTCAGATAGAATGAATATTTTGTAGATATGAAATTAGAAACAGAAACAAACGTGACATACATATATAATATATATATACACACATATATATAGTTATACGTTGGTTGTTATGCCTTTGTAAACTCTCTCTCTATGCATTGTGACAAAGCGTAGTCTTAATTAGTTTGCCACAGTGCTATGTCATCTTCCTTCACAAAACAACACATATTTATTTTCAATTGTAAGAAGAATAGTTTTGGTAATCTGTCTGTTTATATATATAGAGCTATGGCAATCTCTACCTTATTGCTTTTAAAGCCTGGAACGGAATCTAATTTTATATGGAATTTAATATCGGTATGATGTAGTCACAAAATATATAATGATGCTTTTTAAGTACCATTCTTATATGCTACTATGATAAGATCGCTCAAATTAATAGTTAACACATCTTTGCTTTATAGATTGTGGCGGCAAGGACGCTGACGTATTCTTTGCGTTAGACTCTTCTAACAGCATCTGGCCAGAGGATTTCCGAAAACAGATCGATTTCGTCACCGATCTCGTCGACACGTTTGACTTCAAGAACAACAAAACCAGGGTCGGTATTATAGTTTACAGTACCAGAATCTACATGAAGGTAGCACTACAGTCGGGCTGGACTAAGGAGCAGATCAAACGACAACTTAGCAATATAGAATATGTTAGTGGACTCACTAATACTTCTGACGCCATACGGTTTATCAGAACGTATGGTTTCACCGAGGAAAATGCCCGTGAGAACGCCATCAAAATTGCGATTATTTTGACGGACGGGATTTCCAGAGATCCCATAGCAACAAAACAGGAATCAGTATTGAGTAGAGCTGATGGCATTAAGCTATTTGCGATAGGAATTGGTACCGACATCGATAAGACAGAGCTCAAGCGCATCGCAAACGACCCAGACGACAAGTATGTGTTCCACGTCAGCAGCTTTGCTGCACTAGCTTCTATAAGGAGTACCGTTGCAGTCAGCGCATGCGGGATAGTCCCAGATCAACCCAGCAATTTGTTATGTAAGTGCAAGTTATAAACAATTACTCATTTTTATCGACATGAACTATTACAAAGTTGTATGATATAGAATTTTAATATCGTAATGAAGATAACAGTTATTCTCTGTTTATGTGATTAATTGTTCCAGTTCTTTATTTCGACCTTTTTAAATTTTAGATTGTGGTGCTGATTCCTTAGCTGATGTCATATTTGTGTATGACGCTCCCGGTCTTGGTGCCCGCAAGGCTCGCCTTTTGACATCATTTGTTCATGACGTAACACGAGGTCTTCAGACGGCCTCGGGAAGACTGAGGATAGGTCGCAGGTCTGACAACTGCCCCCCTAATAGTAACATTGATCTGACAACTGACGCCAACCTTCGAGCATTTTCCAACATCCAGTTTCCTGGCATTGAAACACTGCTCGGCCAACTTAGAATGGCATTTCCAAATAGATTGGACGCCAAGAATTTGGCGGTCGTATTTGTAGATGAAAGCACACAAAACATTGAGTTGGCGACCCGTGTACTTAAAGGTGACCTAAACTTCCACGTAATGGTAGTTGCTATCGGCGACATGTCGTTAGCTAGACTTGCTAGTGACCTTGCCACCTTTCCCCACAACGACTATCTGATGAACATTCCATCGTACATGTCACTCGGTTCCTACCGTTACGAGTTCCTCCAGAAGCTGTGCTATCTCATCACCAACGAACCAATGTACTTACGAGATGCTAGAGTCAGGGTATCTCCAGATCTGTAAGAATGATTAGGAGTCACAAAATGCAACTGAAAATGCAAAGAACAATATTGTGGTAAAACATATTAACAAATCTTGGGAATTTATACCACTGTCGTTTGAGACTTATTTTGCAGAATTGCAAATGTTGATTTGTATCATTGATACACTTTGATGAGTTAATCTATCGGTTTTGTGGCAGATGGCCGTTGTAGCATGTTAACAAAATTTTGTGATAGAAATTAACACATTATCTATATTCTTTTTGTGTCAGTTTGATCGAACCATTTTGATGTTAAAATGGTTTTCAAATGGATCTTATCTTATCTATTTAATTAGCGTATGACAGTATATATCTAACTAATCAATTACATGGGAGACAGTAAAGCATGACAAAAAATTGAAAGAGAGTGAAAGAAGGGAGATAATCGCGATAAAATTGTACTTGAATATATGGTTCATACGTTTTCATTTTTGTACATAATCAAATAATTAAATATATATTTGTATCTGAAATTTCGTATTTGTTAAATTATCTTTGAATAACAATTCAAGTTTTAACATAATGAATATCAGCTGAGTAACACGTTTACACATCAGTGATTGCTCTGGCAAACTTTTCAATCCTAAATAATTTCACTCCTCTTTAATTGTTAAGCTGCCACTGAAAGTCTTAACTGTTAAAGCTGTAAAGACCTGGCTTTTCCTTTGAAAAGTTGCAAACACAAAAGATCGTATAAAGGCGCGGCACTGCCAAGGTTTTGTCAGCACCAACCTTTGATTGTGTATCCAGTTATCATATATGTATTTCATTGTAATCATCTTAAAGGAAACGTAACAATCACTACTTGAACTCTAGAGAGGCTAACATACATTGATTTTTCTGTCAAACCGGCAATTCTCCATCCTCGCTTGTATTTTTTCAAATCAGCTTATATTGAATATATTTTGGTACAGTTTAATCAAAATGTCTCTCAATTTTGTGTTTATGCATTAATATTCATTAGAACAACGACTTTACGTACTGTTGGTGGTATTTTGTTTTGACATAGCGCTCAAGCGACAATACTCGGCCGTAGCAGCCAATTTTTTTCAATTTGCATTCAATTCTAAATCAATATTCATCTTTTTAGAATAGTAGCTACCACACAAACACATTAAAAGAGCATATTTTCACCTACCACGTGTTTGCCGAGAGAAAAGGGTCGATATTCTGTCATTATTATGCGTCAGGTGCAAGCATCTTCGTAACCGGAAGTGCTCTATTTTAATTGTATGGAGGACCGTACGTGCCATTGGATATCGCTGAAAATTGGCAATGTTTGACAAAAGATTAAACAACTTTCCCAGATTTCGATTCTTTTGGACTTTTGGCACATAATTAATAAACATTTAATCTTTGAATTACAACCGGAATTATTTCTTTTGCAATTTTGCCCGATTAAAACATGTAAGTGGACTAGCCTAACACTGTATTACAAAAAGACGGAACACAGCTTACGAGAAAACAATATTTGTTTGCATATCCGCATATCCCTATTTGTAAACTCTCTAGAAAAGAGGTCCTATATATGGGAGTCAGTAATTCTAGATTATAATCATTTTAACAAATGTATATATTATCAGTATACCTATCATCACCCACCTTCTCACCCGCCTGTCTATCTATCTATATAATAAGTAAACATATGACTGGTCAGTCTGTATTACTGGTCAGTCTGTGTTACTGGTCAGTCTGTGTTACTGGTCAGTCTGCATTACTGGTCAGTCGGCGTTACTGGTCAGTCTGCATCACTGGTCAGTCTGTGTTACTGGTCAGTCTGTATGACTGTCTGTGTTATCAGTATACCTATTATCACCCATCTGTCCATCTATCTATATAATAAATAAACATGACTGGTCAGTCTGTATGACTGATCAGTCTATGTTACTGGTCAGTCTGTGTTACTGGTCAGTCTGTATTACTGGTCAGTCTGTATGACTGATCAGTCTATGTTACTGGTCAGTCTGTATTACTGGTCAGTCTGTATGACTGATCAGTCTATGTTACTGGTCAGTCTGTATTACTGGTCAGTCTGTATAATCGTCTGTGTTAACAGTAAACCTATTATCACCCACCTTCTCAACCGTCTGTCCATCTATCTATATAATAAGTAAACATATGACTGCTCATAATAAAAAAAATCGGTATTAGCACTGGCTTAATAGATATACCGAATTTTCGGAATAACTGAAGAGTGAAGTAAGAGGAAACAAAAGACATGATTCATCTCAATGTTTAATTTACAAAAATATGTAAAAATATATATAAAAAAATGATGTATTCATAACATGTAATATTTCACCAAGAACAAGAATAAAACGAAGTACAAACAACAAACATAAAAAAGTCACCGCGATTCACATCAATATCTTAGAGTTGGCTCCCTTGGCTTAGTGCGATTTAAGTTATTTTGCACAAATTCGTTCTCGTGCCTTATCAACATGAACTACCATATACATAAATAGTGAAGATGTTCCCCTCAGATTAAGAGTCAATAATTGCAATGTTTGTTTGAAAAGAAGTGATTGGACGGCATCGTCAACGTGTAAATTACAATTTGAAATGGAAAAACTCTACGTCCAGAACGGGACAGAGTAACTCCAGGAAAGCGTCTTTGAATGATAATAATTCTCTGTAGGATGGAACGCGGATAAACGTGTTATGAGACAAGTAGGGGATATATGTAGAATCGTCTGCACCGACCACAACCGTGACGAACTGGGTCTCGGGCATTGTCGACATTTGTCTCACGACTTCATTGATATTGTGGATCCTGGTATCAAGAAATAGGACGGCAACGGACTTGGCGTCTATTCTGCCGCCATTCAAACTTGAGAAACCAGAAGCGCGGAGTTTCCTTATGAGATCGGTGATACCCGGAAGTACTTGGTTAGACCAAACGTGGATGTCATCCGGTGATGTCAGTGCGGTGTATGCTTCGTTCAAACAATCGTACAGCATGCGTCCAACACGGATATTTCCAGACGGGATGTCTAAACTTTGGACAATCTTTGAGACAAATTTGGAAATATAGTCGGTTTGCATTCGTCCCAGTGAAAGAACATCATACATGAAGACGATATCGGACGCATCCCGGCTACCGCAGACTGAAAAATAAACACATTGATAATATATCAATATGAAAAATGAAACACTTCTATTTATAAAAAAGATTTTTATTTTTAAAAGCATATCAATTTATAAAAAGGATTATTACACGAATTGATAAGATATTGATAAAATGCTTTTCGTTGTTTTTTCACGAATGTGGCGTTTGTTAGTTTCTTTTGGACAACAGAAACTTGTAATAAAAAGTTTCATCATAAAAAAGTAAATGTACTTACGTTTTTCAATATCCAATTCGCACGTCCTTGATGCCAGAAGGTCTTTTATAGAATCCAAAGCCCGGAAGCTCCTGACCTGGAACACGTATTTATCATGGGGCTTATTCCCGATGTTCTGGAGCTCCTCAAGTTCGGCGCCGTTTCCGATACCGATGGCAAATAAATATATTCCTTGACTCCGAGCTAGTTCTGATTCTTGTTTTGTCATGGTTTGGTCACGTGACAGCCCATCAGTGAGAACAATGATAATATGTGCCACGCCTTCACGCCTCCTCTCGTCTGTAAATCCGTTCTCTCGGACAAATCGGATTGCATCAGCCGTGTTCGTTGTACCATAAGCATAAGGAATTCTCTGAATGGCTGCAGACAAACTTTGAACGTTGTTTGCGGATCCAAGAGGGACCTCCAGATTGTAGAAGTTACTGAAGGTCACGACTCCAACTCGAGTTTTGTCCTGGGAGATGTCGAATCGGGAAACCATATTTCTGACAAATGTCTTCTGTCGTTCGAAATTGTATTTGCCTATACTGGTTGACGAATCCATAAGGATATAGATATCAGCTGGTTTTCCGGTACAGGCTGGAGAAAGAAACAGTTCGCAATGCTACAGAAATATGGATTATGTAGTAAATAGGGCTACCACGAGTATTAAACGGAGATAAAAATTTTGCCTGGTAGATACAAAATACGTAGAAAAATAAATAGCAACGGAGACAAAAAACATAGCCGCGGAATCGATGATAAATTTAGGAACTCGAACAAAGAAAGAGCAAAGGGGCATATAATGGAGAAAAAAAATCCGTCAACAAATCTATGTAAAACCGGTGCTCAGTGTGTTACCTTTGATGAAGAGGGACGGGTCGATGTCCCCGATATGTGGTGGTAGCCATGGCGTGGTTCTCCTTCGTGTTGTGTAGCGAGAGTAGGGGGTTGTAGGAGATGCTTGTGTGGTTGTGGTAATCATTGGAGTTGTTGGCCTAGGAGTTGTTGGTTCGGGAGTTGTTGGTTCGGGAGTTGTTGGTTCGGGAGTTGTTGGTTCGGGAGTTGTTGGTTCGGGAGTTGTAGGTCTTGGAGTTGTAGGCCGTGGGGTGGTTGTGGTGGTGGTGGCGGCGGTTGTGGTTGTAGCTCCTAGAAAATAAAAAATGGAGAAAATTCAATATACCATTCTTAAAGTGAGATATCAGAACGTATTTAATTATAACAATGTGCTATTCACTCAATGCTATTTTTCAAAACAAGATGGTTATGACTCGTTCTGACGATGTCGTAAAGGGGGTCGGCGTAAAGAACCTTAAGTTTGCCTTTCACGCATCGAATGTTTTATTTATCTATGATAAACTGATCTTCTCTACTATTTCCCAGGTATGTCTGTATTGTTCATGCTTCTGCAGACAAAATTGTACTTTTGGCATCCACTCGATCATAAAAACGAGTCATTCCAAACAACCAGAGCAATGTTGAAATCAGAAACTTTAATTTACGATCCTACCACACGGTGACTTATGGCCCTATCCCTGGTAGCCTATCATGTTGAAGTGCTATATTTTCTAGACAGGTTCAGGACCATTTGGGATACTGTAGCCATATTACATGTGCAGCGGAGAACATATGTATCCGGTTCTCTACATGACACCACAGGGCATTTTAGGTTAGGTAATTAGTAATAGATAAGCATTCTGCACGCTAAAACACACGGAATAGTTAAACAGAGAAACAAATCTGCATTGTACCCAAAAGTATGGAATAACAAACTCCATATTTATTAGAGACGCAATGTCGATCTTGTATCTCATGGTAATATATAAGTTATAATCAAATCAGGGACGGCGTTGCTTCAGGAATGAATATTAAGCATGCAGTCACAATGATCAATGATAGCAGGGAAACGGGGGTTGTAACACTTTACTGAATCATAGAAATAGAAACAGTTTGTCATGCCGAAAAAAAATCTGTTTGAAATATATCATACCACATTTAGCAAATAAAGACGATATGAAATTAAAATAGGTGTGTTGCAGATCTTGGTAAAGAATTTTATAACAGTTATAATATATTAAGTATGTAAGATTTTCATGAAACTTTTAGAAATTATTCAGGCTTTAAAATCGCAATGAATTTTATGAATATAAATGGCGCTGCGGCATTTCTTCACGTGTGTGTAAAGATGATGTCATGTAAGATAAGGTGAGTTTGTAAGGTCGAATTGAATGCTCCTATAGATACGATAGAGATGCTGCTTTTGATAAAGGCACTGCTCTTCACATCTTCTTCAACATTGTTTTTTAACTTGAGGAAATAGCTCGTTACTGACATGGCTTATAAAATGCGATCAAAGACCTGGGTCTTACACACTTAATCGTCTGGTATCGACTCCAAAGGCGTTTTTAATTGATCGACCTTCACGAACCTGTCTACAGTGTTTATGAGCCTTACATAAAACAACTTTGTAAACAATAAACATTTGTCTGAGTGACACTATAATTAATGAAGTACATATTTTCCAAGTACGGCACTGTGCTAACTTTATTTTTTCTATAATGTCTTTTTAGTTAATCAGTAATGAGAGAGATTATATAGCCGGGAAGTTGTGTGTATTCACTAATGACGAAGATTTTACTTGAATGACCGCTTTCCATGATTGAAAACATAAAACACACTTAGTTTTTCACGTTGCGTAATCTCTTTTTACTAATTTACGCTGTTGGAAGTAAAACCATTGTTGACTATGGTAACATGGTAATTATCATCAAATAGCTGTTTTTAAAAAAAAAAAAAAAAAGACATATTTATATCTATCTGTTTAGGAGCTTAGTAATGACAAAAATGCTTTGATAATTACCTTTACATGCACGTTGTTTGAAGACATCCTTTTGGGCTAGCAGTGCATCATAGTTGTCAACGGAGAAGAAATATCGGTCATCAGGGTCACTGGCTATGCCCCTCAGTTCACTCTCCTTCACGTTCGGGCCAACCCCAATGGCGTAGATCTCGATATGTTTTTTCTGTGCCTCAATGGCAGCCTTCAGAGTCTCTGCTGACTTCTGAGACTTGCCGTCTGTGATGACGATGGCAATGTGCGGCATGTTTTCTCTTGCTCCATAACCACGTTTGAACATGCGAGAGGACATGAATTTGATGGCCGGGCCGGTATTGGTCATACTGCCCCTTCTGTGGCGTATCTTCTTGATCGCCGCTCTGATGTCATCAACGTTCTCGTATCTATTGAGATAGAACTTGACATAGTAGCTCCTGGCGAAGGTCATGACCCCAACATGAGTACCATCAGGACCAATATTGAACTGACTGACAACGCTGTCAACAAATTCGAGCTGCTTCTGAAAGTCTGGGTTCCAGATACTACTGGATGTGTCTAGTACAAAGACAACATCAGCGGCCTCATCACATAGAGATTCAGTGGCTGCAACGGCAAAACTTGGTGTTAAAACGGATCTATCAGCATCATCGAATAGAACGATTTTAAGGGACGTGAAACGAATTTAAAAGCACACGAAACGGTATGTAATGATTTAGGTCTATAATTTGACTTAGTGGTCATATCGTGTCTACACAGACAGCCTGTTATATAGTGTCAAAATATCTTTTATTTTGTTGATAAAGCAAACGAATGTTTTATCTAGGCAAGCATTTTGGGGGAATCCAACCTGTTTAATTTTTTATTCATATAACAATGGCATATGTGTAAAATATCATAAAACACCATGTATAGTTGGAAGCATTTCGTCACCCCGGCCAAACTTTACACTAAACAGTCTGTTTTAATCTAACATATGTATCTTTTAATGTTATAAACCTCGGGACTCTATAACACCTGTTAAGGATATTTCTAAGATAATGTTTGTTACTACAAATATATTAATAGAATACTTACTTCTTCGTTGTGCATACACCTGCAGGATTGCCTATGGAAGAAACCAAACAAAAATAACGATTCGTCGTTAGAAGCTTATACAGAGCCAATTGTGGGGATATTGTTGTTTAACTTTACTATCTAATATGATAGGGCAACTTTAAATATTTCTATTTCTTTTATCAAGATATCCCACAGAAAATTAGAATTCGTTACAGAAGAACACCCCAACCCCAATATATGTAATTGATATGTACAGAATAGCATCCCCAACATTAAAACTTCACACCCGATATAGGTGAAACTATTTACCGAACAACATCCCCATTATCAATTAACATTTAAATAACGTCAAAATATTTACAGAACAGCATCCCCAATATAAGTTAACATTTAAATAATAGAATAACCTAAGTAAAAAACAGTTTTACAGGTCAGATCACTTCTCTAAACACTTAACAACATTCTAATTGTAAATCAGGTTAAAACCATTACAGATCACCTCCAATAAAGGTAACTTCAAATACAAAACTTTAATGTTCTGCTTACCAACACTGCAGTCAACACGACCGTCTTCATTTTAGCAAAGGTTTTCAGTTCCCTGGTACTAGTGGCCAGACAAATGAAGTCTGTGGTTGAAGTGAATGATGAAGATGGGGTTTAGATCCTTTTTATACACAAACTTATGATTCATTTTATGAAAATAACCCACGCGTAATTATCAAGTATGAGAAAAAGAGGAGTAAACACTGGGATTCTCACGTATCGTATCAAAGGTATATTTGCCGTGTGTGACTCCGCCCTCCTCACATCACTTTGGTTATGCACCTATCAATAAAGCCTTAAACAGATGGGAGGATACTGAAGTGGATTACGTAGTATGATACACACAGATATTCATTGTTCACCATACTACAGATTCCTCTTAGCCTATCGCCCTTTGCTTCCTTAGATAGGAAACACTGGTGATATGAATGGAACGTGACGTCACCATGGGAAGGAAATTCTGCGATGATAAACCGCATTGACTATTTAGTGAATGTGGTTCAATCGCCTTATTTACTTCGGATCACCAATGATAACATATTTCAGAGATTAGAGTTGGAATTTAGTGTAAAAAAATAATCCGGAATGTTCCCAGAGACTTGTTTTTATTTGTAGCTTTTTCAATGTGTTTCTATCTTCATAACATTCATATACAAGTAAATTGTTACTAATTTCTAGTTATTATTTAGAAGAAAAAAACCCCGAAAATATCAACATGTCAACATAATCATAATCCAAACTCACATTCAATAAAACGATGATAAACAAGGATTCACATGCTATTTGCGTGCCCTGATACCGGTTGCTCGAAGCTTGGTTACTGATTTATTTTCAGATCTTAATCAAATACCTTTGGGAACATTCTGCATCATTTCACTGTTGTCATTTCAGGTCTAATTAGTTATTTAAGCAGCACCAATTTAACTTTACATCAACCAGCTCTAAACAAGCTGTGAAGATCATTTTTGAAGAATTAACTGAAACCATTAAAAACATTGGCTACAGATTCAGATTGCATAAAAATAACACATAACCCATCTTTTTTTAACAATAAGAGGGGTTATGTGTTATTTTTATTGCAGCTGGCAATACGTATGTTTTCCATTAAGGCATATGGTTAAATCTACTAACTATTGTATTGTAAAGTACTGCTCAGATGTGTAAATCAGAACAAACCTGAACTGTCATATGACGATAACGTTATACACACAGTATGTGTCAGGAGTACAGTATTACAATGTAGATAATGATTCCAATTGGAAACCAGGGACACGACAAACTCCTTCATCAGCCGTTTACTTAATCTTACTTCATTTCTATAGTTTCAATTTTCCATGTCTTGATGGTCACACAGCTCATGGTGTGGACATATCGCAGCTGATTCAAAGGTTTGTCCCATGATATCCTACAACACAATTGAGAGACGGGAAGTTCTTTACATTCTACATCAGGATATCACAATGTAATAATCTAACGAAGTCCTATGTGGGAGTGGGTGGTGGAGGTGGGACTGGGGTGTTAGCACTACTTGAATTGACCTAGAATCGGGAGAGGAACGGAATAGCTGTAAGATGCAGTTCAATTAATTGTTAAGCTCTACTGTATTTGATTCTTAAGTCATATTAAAAGTTGATCTCAACTTGATTAGTACCGTTATTTCACCATATCTACTATCTATCCTCGCTGTTTACAGTATATAGGCAAAAATATGGTATAACATTGTTACGATATTTAAAACGAGTTCCCTCTGGTGAAGAGAAATATAAACAAAATATCTGGAAAAAGTCAGGTGACTATATCTACAAGTCATACACTAAATTTTTTAGAAGGCTAAACATACATATTACCTGGAAATGAGGCTATACAAAACATTTATTGTACGCTATTCGATTTGAAGTAAGTCAGAACTGTGGTATCTTATAGTCATGTGGTTTTATCGAAAAGTAGTTTTACCTGCAGGTAAGATGTGTTTTTATCATCTAGCTATACACATGGCAAGATTTTTTCAAAAACACTATATACAATAGTTAAATGTGTATATTAATTGCTGAAAGAACGATAGTAAAAATTCGTGAAGACAAAGGAAGAAAATCACTTAAACAATTATACACTTTCTGAGAAGGTGATTTTGTTTGGTTTTATATTTATCATTTATGATAATTAATGAACTCTGGTTCTTTTTCGTGTCTAGAATTTAAGTAAATAAACATAAAAAAGAATGTGGGATTTCCGGAGGGACATGTGTTGAAGTGGAGTCTGCTGTATGACATATGCACAATACAACGTGTCTATCAAATCATATTACGAATGAGAAGAACATGCATCACTTAAGTAAGCACATACCCACTGCACATGGTCCACACAGTTTGTGTGTATCACAGGGCGCACTCAATATACTTTTATAGATATTCTGGGGAGTGCGTCTCGCATTTAAAAACATTTGGACTTTTAATGGGATGAAAAAATGATAGGTATGGTCATCCGACTTTTATAGTGTATATGTGATGTGTTGAGAAAGTTTTAGTAATGTAGGTATGATGACAGGACTGAAGTAATGTAGGTATGATGAGAAGACTGAATAATGTAGATGTCATGAGAGGACAATAGTCACGTAGATGTAATGAGAGGGTTGTAGTAATGTAGATGTAATGAGAGGGATGAAGTAATGTAGATGTAATGAGAGGGTTGAAGTAATGTAGATGTAATGAGAGGGTTATAGTAATGTAGATGTACTGAAATTGACTTTTCGAAATGTTTTTGAGAAGTTTTGATCGTGAAATTCAACGAGAATCTTCATGTCTTTCTGTTTATATATTGACAACAGCATCTGACGGTGACACGTTCGTGACGATCAGGTAGAGTTACAAATAAGTAACCAATTTATTATACTGCTTACACACTTCAAACTAACTTTCAGGTATTTGATTTCGTCTCTAAAATTCGAAATAAAACCAAATTGTTGTAGCATTCACGGAATGAATTTAAAATACGTGTTAAGCATTGTGTTTAATATTGAAATTGGCACTTGAATTTTCTTATGTTAAATGGATTTGAAGATGACAAAAATCTCTTTGAAGGCTTTTTAAGAATGTGTAATGGATTTTAGTAGAAACGTAATGCAATTATACTCCGCAACATCCCATCCTTCTGTTATTGTATATAGAGAAGTGTTTATTCGTGGAATAAATTGTTGTTTTTAAGCAGAACTTAGACAGGGGATGTAGTTCCTTCGTTAAGTGTTCTGTTGATGTGCATGTAAAATTATTTCCTGATACTATATTTGTACTGTTGTAACTTCAGGAAATCCTGCATTCATTAAAATATTGTTACAAGCGATAAATGTTGAAGAATATTTCAATTACCGACATCCTCTGTGAAAGCACGTCTCTAAACGTGTAACAAACGTAGTATAACACACAAGATCGAAATTTGGGAATAAAATCAATATAGCCTATAAGCATGTTTTCCAATCCCATACGTATCATGTGTATGTGTTAAAAGGCTGAATATTAAATATATGAAGAAAAAAACCATAAACTTAACTGAGATCGAAATTTGCCGGATGGCATAACTTAAACAAATTGTTGGAAATTTTTACAGTCCAATAGGGATATATATCAAATTTATTGGTTCCTAGTTGATGTAAGTAACATTAAGGATGTTGTGTAACCAAAGGAAATGTAGAAAAGAATGTCCGGCGTCAAGGTTACTCTTCATCACTGATAACATACGCAAGTTTAACCTTCACCTCGTTATGACATTTTCATAAATTGTAAAGAACTTTATGGCAGAGAAAATTCTAATTTATTGATATTTAGGAATATAAATATATCCTAACTTCCGGATGGTTAAGCAATCAGCATATATATCAAACCTTGTTGGAAGGCTGGAATATTCCGTAAGGTGTTTTATTGCTCGGAACAGGAATATCTAATTAAGCGTAAGGGTTTCCCTGTTTGTGGAACGCAAAAGAATATACAAATGTATAATAGAAAGACTAACTCGTCACCAGCTTTAAAACTTTTACGATTTTTCATTGTGGTAGATATATATCCTTTAGCCCAGCGGGGGTGTCTGCCAACTCCCCCACACGCACGTACGATCTAACAGTTCAAGTAGAGATGTTTCTTTTTCTCGTAGACGAGTGAGATGAATAAAGACTAGTTAGCTTTGAAAAGCTTTTTTGAAAATACCTTCACATCATCTTTTGTCTCAATCACGAATTCAATATAAATACGTGAAACAAAATGGAAATCTCCCGCTACTTTAGCAAAAAGTAAATCTAATACCAGTGAATCAAAACATTTTACAGTTGAAAATGATTATTTTATGTTATTTTTCTGAAACCGAGTTCTGTCTTTTTCAACATGTCTTAGTTTTATGGTAACTTATGTTTGTCAGAAGGTCGTGATCAATTTATCAAGTTGATCAGCGGAAGAGGAATATTAAGATGTGTGAACCAACTAAAATAAATGATTTGCGATCATGTCTGTAATACATAAGACTTTATATTTTATGTTTATATGTGAAGGAAGGGAGATAATCACACATCATGAACAAACCTTTAATGACAAGGGGACTGATATGAAAGGATATATCTGATTTGTCACATCCGTGGTGACAAATACTAAATCAGAACCATTTGTTAGGTAGCTTGTAATGGAATATCCATCCTTGTTTAAGTTTGTCTTATAAGAGAAACATTTTTAATGCTGGCTTATATATCATGTTTCATGTGAAGAATATGTTGAGTAACTTTTGCCCGATCATCTGTCACTTTTTTTTCGTAAGAAATACCTTTAGCCAGGGATCACTATAGCTATAATATGTATCCATTCATCATAAAAAGGATAGTAATATACAATACATTATACCACCAATGTACTCACAAAAAGGAAACCCATACAGCCAATACGTTATACGTTACGTAAACAGAACAATAAATACTATTATGTTTGAAGAACTGTTCCAAACGTCCCGACAACTACAATAATCACTTCAGACAGTTACCGCCTTAAGTATAATGAGCTGATGGCCTAGAAACTATCGTCAGTAAGATCTTGATAAAGACACTTTCACGCACAGAATATTGACATAAGTATTTTTGTGACAGCTTCATTCAGCGTTGACTTGAGTTATTCCATCAGTTAGGTAAAACCATTCCGACCACATACTGTTACAAGTGACTGGCACGTTTCTACACGATCATATCAAGTCCTTGATCGCATTGTATAGGTACGGACTTAGACATACGGGATAGGAGAATTCACCAACACTAAAAGATAGTGTACAAAATATATCGAATTCATAATTAAACTGTATTACATAGTTGTTTCTCACCTGGGTTATCGATGATGCTCTTAACATGGGATGTAGTAATCATTGGCAGGTTTGAAGTCCTCTTTTCGCAGATGTTGTTTAAGAGTGTATTTACACCTGTTTTAACATAGGAACTGTATTTTGAGCTGATTGTGTAGTTATTAACTACTTTAAACATCCATTCACTACATACACCTATTTCAACAAATAAGACGGACTTTCAAAAAATAATTTAAATGATCATAGCACGTTTCACATTGGATAGTCTTTGAATATTTACTTGTTAAGCACTTTCCTCATTGTGCCATTAGATGTAAAGCTTTATAACTACTTAATCTAATGGAATGCGTGTTATAAAAACAATGTGTATATCAAGTAAAAGATCTCTAAACAAATAACAATACTATAGAAATAAACAACGACTAATGCAATGAAAGTACTTTTACATCGTTATTGATTGGTTTTGTGCATATCTAATGGTCATTCTATATCCAAGCTTTTTCTTACCGTCAAGTGTAATTAACGTCGATTATGCATTGTAAATTGCAGATAAGTGCTTAAAGAAATATTTTTTGTTAAAGCAATGTTGAAAAATACAATAGTTTGGTTATATAATTTCACTTCTTTTATTGTTCTACATTTGTAAATGTAAGGACTTCACAGCATTATCAAATTATCACAATTGTTATGTAGAACAATGTTAAAATTATATTGATTTATGAATAACTATTAATCAGTACAAATATAGCATCGATGTAGATAAATCTCGGTTAATGCGTCCACACCTTTTCTCTGGGGTGAATTTGGTTTATATCACTAAAATTTGGTACATGTTTACAACTGTATGCACTGTGACATGTATGGACAGTGTTGAAACATAGCACAGCTATTAATGGTTAAATCTACATTTTTCTAAACAGGGTTTCCCCATCCAAATGCCATTTCCAATTACATTCACCCTAGAATTCAGACATGTGGTCATCCTCGAATCATAAAAACGACAAAACCAAACCTTGATTCTGATGTCACTGATCAGTAAGGAAGGGCTGGGGTGTAGACAGAATGTTCTATAAAAAGCCTCGCGCCTTCCGCACACGCCGGGACGGTACTGTGATTCATGCAAGAAATAGTGTTACTATGGTAAACATGATAGTAAACAGCATAAACTGATATTCAGCATCTTAAGTAAAGGAGATACATCTGGGCGTGGAGGTGTAAACATTCCCCAATCATCAGATCACATATTAATTCACATGCGATCTGATTACACTTTGATTTAATAACAAATTTGTTTGTAATATATACGCCTGATATACAATAACAAGATAAGCCTTTGTGTTCTTTATGTTGTTTTATGTCATTACTCGAAAATGTTAAATATGACGGAAATAGTTTTTTATTTGTAAACAAAAAAATTTTCAAGGTAATCATTACCTAAATATTTCAAGTATTTTTTCTATAATGAAACACATCTTGGTTTTGCCAAAAACCATAAATAACGCAGCTGTGTAAATATAATTCCATTCCAAGCTACATGGTATATTCACATGCTGGTATATAGCTTAGAATTAAAAGCAGAAAAAAGAAGGGAAAAAAACAAAACAAATCAAAAACAAAACAAAACAAAATAAAGTAGAAGAAACAACGGAAAGAATAAAAAAAAGCAAAAATTAAATAAAACTGAACGTTTCAAATTTTGTTACTTAAAATGTGAAAGAATTTGGTTTTAGTTATACCAAGACGTGTTTGATGAGAAGGCATTTTACTGGATGTAGATTTATTTTAATTCTGATTGTTAAGATAATAAGCTGCAGCTGTGAACAATAGGCGGTGGTTACATTTTCTTAGTTATGAATAGAAAACGTAACAAAACGCAGTTCGTCACTTTTCTTTAAATATCGTTGTTATTGGCAACGAACATCGTATACTGTTCAGTAATTAGATAATACATTTGTACTATATACAGTGTATGTTGGTTACCGTAGACAGAAACATAAAAACACAGACAAACCAGAAACCAGAAGTCTAAACTGTTTGACACAACACAAACACAAACCGTTCTTACAACAGGACACACGGCAGCATAATTGATATAATATAATGGTATTTAGACAAATTTATGAATACCAAATATGGTGCCACCGAAGCTGATCTGTGTGAACCACTTTTTACCTAATGTGTTTCGTTATACATTGGCATTCTACATTCTCTGTTCTGATTAAGTTTCTTACTGAAACAGAGATTAAATGAAACATGTCGTCAAATTCATACAATTTGTGGAAAATACCATATTAATGTTTCCTTACACTACAAAGCGATGCCAATTTGGTATTGCGTCAAACAAAATCCTAAAAAACAGATTGGATTAAATCTCATACAAGATACAACATATGGAGTTAATATGGCCCAATGAACGATATTGTATCACGAAGGGATCAGGGGAGATTACACATACCACGCAAATGGGCAATAGACATTGAAATTAAAATTGAAATTAAAATAATTACAAGCGAATTAAACCCGTTGTTAATTTTTGGATACAAGTACCGATTCAACCATACCGACACCATTACCTGTATAGTTTCATTATGTTCGATTCCTTATGTTAAAACTTACGTGTTTCCCTATGTTTCTTTACTGATCATTACTTCACTGAAAAGTCATTGACAACTATTAGCATGTCAGTTTATATATATATAAGGGAATATGGGAAAATGTTTTGTAACACAGACCTGTATTTTACTGACAAGATTGTTTGTGCATTGTGTAGATAATAGGCCAATTATATCACCAGACTAGAATACACGATTTGGCATGTTTAGAACTAACAGCATGTGACACTACTAACAAATAATTACACAACAGCACGCTGCCAATTGCTTCAAGATGGATGCGAATTCTTGCGGTTGAATCACGCAGTTCAAGCATGTATGTTATTCAGTTTGACACTAAATATAACAACAGTGACTCCCTTCACCAATAGGATACTTAACAACTCTTAATTGTTTAAATCTTTATAAAATGATACATATTTGAATTTCCCGTGGACAGTACGATGCCCTTTGATGTGATAATGTAGACCGACACGGCAGACAGACACCGACCACACATGAAGGAAAACATTGTATATGTGGGTCACCGCTTCACGAGCATTTCACATCTCAAGTGTTGTCATTTCCTGTCAAGACCGTAATAACGCACTATTTTAATACGCATACAATCTCATTATCGTCTTCAACACCCTTTACGACGTAAAATAAAAATTGTTTATGCAAATCAACAGTTCACGCAGGGAATCTGACCTGAACACACTCCTAATATGGACTGCAGTGTACCACGCACATCGTGGCATGGCGCACGTAAACATGTGGTCCTAAACAAAGAGGCGTGTTTGAACTTTGACATCGCCTTATACGGCAACCCACTTCCGGAATGCAGAACTTATCTTTTGATCGCAATGTTTGAAGGTTTGTTATATTTATAGATATGAAATGTTGGCCATCTATTCATATCCCATCCCATATTACTCATTGGAAGCCAATTGTCTGTCCATCAGGTATATAAGAATCCCTGAAATCAATTTCCTCACATCAGTGTGCATCTCAGCTGCCGATACATCTGCCTAGCTACACAGTACCAGAAGTTGACATCTGCATAGCTACACCGCACCAGACGTTGACACGCAAACGTTGAACAGTCATAAATCATCTGTTGCCATCACACAGAAAACCGAACAAAATGTTTCTTACTACTATAATTATATCATTGGTAAGTTTTGAAGTTTTTAGAAAAATTGTAAAAAATATCTTGTGCTTAAGATTTCATGACTTTAAGCTGCGAAATAGGCGGAGAGTTTCAGAAATGAGAAAAGTGTAGAATTTACACCAAAATTTTTCTTAAATTGCGAAACATTTATGATTTTATGACAGATCCAAATTTGTAAATGTTTGAGATATTTTGTGAAGTCATGCTTTAGATTGATTAACTATTCATGGACAAAACATTTTTATCTTCAGATTTCAATGTCAGCGGCTGCGCCCGTGTTTACTGAGGAACCAGTCGACGTAGTAAAATGTAAGCTGCATTTTAACAAATAGATCCATACCATAAATAAGTAACCCTAATTAAAGGAAAAATAAATAATGTATTTTGGAAAGAATTTACAACTTTAGATATGAATTTTTTATACCACTGAGCATATGTGTGAAGAAATCAACTAATTTTGAAATCCCTATTTCAGATTGTCATGGAAAGCCTGCTGACATATTCTTTTTACTAGATAGTTCCTCTAGTATATGGATCGTACACTACCGGGAACAGTTGAAGTTCTTACACGATATCGTCTCCAGCTTTCCAATCTCCATGACGGGCACTAGAATCGGCGTTGGCATTTTCTCACATCTGTACAATACGCAAATATCATTTAACGACTTTGATAATGTGGAGGACCTCCAAGACAGGATAAAGAGGATTCCTCACATGAAGGGTAGCACTTTTACAGGAAAAGCTCTGACGAATGTTCGTGAGGAGTTTGTGAGGAACGGAAGGCCAGGCGTGGCACAAATTGTTGTTGTCCTTACTGACGGAGCGTCCAGAAACCCAGCATCAACCATGAAACAGGCAAAACTCCTTAAGGAACAAGGTGTATATGTGTTCGCCATAGGAATCGGTAAAGGACCGAACATGAAAGAACTTCAAGCCATTGGCAGCATACCTAGCGATGAGTTCGTCTACAGAATTGCAGGTTTCCATGTGCTGAAATTCATCAAGGATAAACTGGCCATGAAAGTATGCAGAGGTACGTTAAAGCTTGATTTAGATATATTAAATTGATTTATTAAGTTGTGAAGAAGCATATTAAGTAAACACATCAATGTCGATTTTAGTGAGTTGAGACAGTAAGTATCTTAAAATGGTTTTATGTTGGAATCTTTAAACATCTATTTCTCACAACTTTTGATTGTTTCCTTACAGTTCCGAAATATCAAGCCTACTGTAGCGCAGAACAGGAGACCGATGTGATGTTTGCTTTCGATTCTGCATCCATGGGAACAAAGAACGTGCGACATGCACAGAACTTCATCAGTAACGTTGTCGGAAAATTTGGAAACATGGCTGAAGGAATGATAAGGGCTGGAATGTTGTCAGGATTTTGTGAAAGTAATCGAATTGATCTTAACCAGTACAGCAACAAAGAAGAGATGTCCAGCGCTGTCCGAAACACCCAGGTTAGAGGTCTTGACTACATCGTTGAAGAACTCCATCGCCACAGTTACAACGTCTCCAGAGGAGGACGGGAAAATGCTAGAAAAATGGCAGTACTTTTTGTGGACGATAGTGTAGAAAAATTTGACCATCTTATTATCCAGTCAGAGAGAGCAAAGGCGGCAGGTATCAGGGTGTATGTAGTAGGAGTTGGTGACGTGGACGAGGAAATTCTCAGTACCATTTGCTCAAGTCCTCCTGAAAAACATGTGATGCGTGTGTCGTCGTATAATGCCTTGGATTCTATATCGGATGAGTACTCAGAACTCTTCTGTGAAGGTGAGTTGTGTGTTTTGGATATGGTCTGAAAATTGAGAATTAGAAACAGATAAACCAATATCCTTATGCAGATATTATATTTCAAAATAAACGTGTTACTGTAAGAACAAGTTCTATATTTTTGTTGAATTTATTGAAAGGTTTTGATTGTTTTGTTTCCAACAAAATTGATAATGACATTTTCTTGTTTCTGCTTTTAGAAATGTCAGTCTTACCCGACTATGAATAACCTCATGATAAAGCACAGTTAAACATCAAAAGAAGAAATGAACGAACGAGCAGAGCGCAGTCATCTTGACATCCAGGCACAAAACGGTACAGCCAATACCAGTGGTCAGTATTGGACATTACTCCAGGGTGTTTATGGAATTCACCAGTAGACGACAATGTGGTGGAAGGTCGTGGAAACCATCAATGGACAATGTAACCTTCATCATTGGATCCCTAATTACGCGTGGTCGAAATTGGACATTATCTGTGGACATCGATCTGTAAAGATATACAAATACCTCTGAAGTGAAGACGACGGTATTTGGAACGAAGGGAAACAGTTCTCTTTTGAAACAATTAAACGATGGATATAAGATATCTTGAGAAACAACTAGAAAAGTAGTAATTCAGTAACATAAATCATCATATACTTTGATACTGTTATATATGCAGGATTTAAAAAACTCGAAGAGAGTTTAAAAATGTCATTTGTAAGCTTTTTTTATACATTGTACATTATTGACAGATATGATAAGTAATGACTCATGTTCATGAAAGGACATTTTATAATCATCCTTCAATGATGTATAACGTGAGATATTTCATATGTAACGCCTTGTGTACATCAATCATCATCAGCAAGGCATGGACAGCTTCATTGCGTACATTGAGAGAGTCGGTATTGAATATCATTAATATCCAAAGTTTTACAAACAATGCAAACTATGATTATTTAAAAGTGCAAAGTTTTATGTACGATTTTGTTATTATCTACATTTGTTATATTGTTGATGTTGATGTTGAATAAAAAATTTAATAAAATCTAACGTTGTGAGTAACAATATTGGGGAATAAATGACGTCTGATTCATCAAAAAGAACCGACGTCTAAAGCCGTGACTGAAATATTAATCAGGATCATTTTACTAACCATGATTACAGTAATGACAAATTTAAGATGGCAGACTTTTTACCGACACACATTTATAATTTCAGTAAGACGACCACAAAATACCATTTGAATAAAACTAAAAAATCAATATAAAGTCATTAAGGAAAAGATGTCTGAACGTTTTTTAATTGTTCCTTGTCTTGCACTTAAATACTTACTAATACATTTCAAGACATCTTTATAATACGACACAATATTGTCAAACAATGAATTAAACTGCATTATACAGGTGGTGTTTTGACCTTGTTTGACTCGTCAGTGTCAGTGATTATTCAAACTAGTAGAAACTTACAAGGAAAAGTAGGCATACCAAAACTGACCAAAACACACATTAAGATCTGATGAGATGAACCTAATCTGCAGAACACACATTAAGATCTGATGAGATGAACCTAATCTGCAGAACACACATTACGATCTGATGAGATGAACCTAATCTGCAGAACACACATTAAGATCTGATGAGATGAACCTAATCTGCAGAACACACATTACGATCTGATGAGATGAACCTAATCTGCAGAACACATTAAGATCTGATGAGATGAACCTAATCTGCAGAACAAACATTAAGATCTGATGAGATGAACCTAATCTGCAGAACACACATTAAGATCTGATGAGATGAACCTAATCTGCAGAACACACATTAAGATCTGATGAGATGAACCTAATCTGCAGAACACACATTAAGATCTGATGAGATGAACCTAATCTGCAGAACACATTAAGATCTGATGAGATGAACCTAATCTGTAGGAATACATAAGAATGTAAACAATTAATGTAAAAGTATTGAATTTAAAAAGAACGATAATAATCATTGACAAACATTGTCTCCTTTCGGATAGTTGGTTGGTTGGATGACAGATTTTCCGTTTCCGTGACTCTACCTGTGTCCGGGTATCATCACACCGACGAATTTTAGTGTCCTGACGACATGAGGGGGCGATCTGCAACCACCCCAGAGGGTTTGAACCATCTGTAGTGATGAACGTTTGATCATAATAGTTTTGGTAGACAGCTCCAGAGCTAATAGTGCCTTATTCTCACTCTAGCAGTTGAAACATGACAAAGAGATGAAAAGAAGAGTTGGAGCCTATCTAGATTTGGTTTGTGTTAGGGTAATTTTGAATTCCTTAATGCTTTAAAAATAATTGTATAGTCTGACACTATCCATAGACCCCTAGACCGGCGTTATCACGCCTACTCTTTTACAAAAAAGACACAAAGAGAGCTTTTGCGTGCGAGAGTTTAAAGTCCAATCCGCCGGATTGTGGTTAGTAGTTAGATCGGTGCAAGTGTGATTATAATTAACACTTGTTTTTGTTGTCCCGTCTTTTGAGTCATATTGACGAAACTGCTTTACCACTTTACAACTATGTATTGCTTTCATTTCGGATAACTTTGCACTATTAAAACTACATTCCCAGTTAGAATACTTAATTAACATTGGAATGATGAAGAATTGGATTTCTCTGGTGTCGAGGAGTTCTAGATATATCTCTATTTAGCTTTCTTGCTGAATATCTATGGTTGTTTGTCTCCTTTCTGTTTGTTTTGATGACTTCTCAGTTATAACTTCCTCGTCTTTCTATTTCGCCGTTTTTCCACACTGTTCTGTTGGTATTGCTTCGTTAAGTTTTCGTGTCCTACTGTTGATATTTCCCGTTTCAATGGTGATGTCTCTCCAGTGCCTGTGATTATCCCTACCTTCGTTTTTCTACTGTGCTTGTAATGGTATTAACTTTAATGCTGTTCAGTGTATGTTATAGTCTCCATTTTTAGTTTGAGTTTTCTTCAGTGTCTTTAATAATATCCACTTCTTATGTTGGTTTTCTTAGGTGCCTGTCTTTCTTCAGTACCTGTAATTTTCTCCACTTAAAAAAAAAATTGTTTAATAATCGCAATTTTTAAATTTTTTTTTCTTCACTGCCAGTAATGGTCCATACTTTTAAATTTGTTTTTCTTCAGTGCTAGTAATTGCTTCAACTGTTAAGATTAAGTTTATCAAGCAGAATATGATAAAGTATAATAAAAGACATTAAAATCAACATTCAGATAATAATTTAATCATCTATTTAGTTATTAAGTGCTTTATTAGAAGACAATGTATAATCACACGTATTTTCAAATTAAAAAAGATAGAAACAAAAGCTCTAACTATTTGATATTCCGCATTGCCTTTCTGACGCAGTGTCACAATGTTACAAACGTATATGCAGTTTACTGAAATACGGCAGGTAAAATCACTCTTCAACATGGCAAATGGAGTGATCTCCCTTCGTTGAAAACCAAAAGATTGATAACAACACGTAAAAATAAAAGATTGATAACCACTCGTGCAGTTACATCAATTTTAGGTATAATGTTATTAGAAGCACACATCTCATTCGTTTTTCAATTTATTTCTTACTACAGGCATGGTTATTATACACATCTGTTACAACCTTTAGAAATCGAACAGCTTTTAGATGAAATTTAGTTTTTTAAAAATATTGCTTGATCGAAAGAGTTACCTCCCTTTAAATGAACGTGTTGCATATAAGAATTTATTTTCGTTGTTATTGTAGACTTGTTCATCGTTCTTACGTGTCTGCCTCTTAATGACCAGTATGCGACATCGTCTCAATGTATGTTGTGTTAGAATAGTATTTAATCAATCGATGCATTACTTAATGGTAAGCCAAATTTAAACATTGGATATCTATTTTTCTCTTAAAAATTCATGTTCATATTCAGTACGTGAAGCGTCTGAAAAATATGTCTTTGTTATATTGTATATTGACTATTTTAGAATAGACAGTATAATTTGTTATATTGTTTATTGACTATTTTAGAATAGACAGTATAATTTGTTATCGTATACTGTCTGCAGACGATTTATGTTTGTATGGGTAGATGAAGTATTTAACTCGTCACTTAGCAGATAGTCATGTTGTTCCTCTCATTAATGAATAAGAACAAATACCATATGCATGGTAAAAAAATCATAAATGTAAGTTAACCTTTATTGGAAAAAGCATTTGTTAAATATACAAAGGTGATGCACATTACATGTAAATAAATACAAAAAAGTACATAAATACGATAACATGAAATAAAAATTAGATGTTTAACACCAACGCTGATTTAAAATCTCCATAGCAACACATGTTAATTATGCTTATCGTTTGTAATAACATGGAATGATAGGAGTATGAATTAACAATATAGAAAACGTTTCTCCACAAATAAAGATGACATAGTGACAAGTACCTTCGTCCATCTCTTTTCTTATAAAGTGCCAGATATGTTATCATTACGTCTTATAAAAAGTATGGTGAAACTCGTTATCCTTTCACAGATAAGGTATACACAGTTTGGCTTCGATGTAGAGGTAAAACCAATATCACAGGATGCTTTAGTATACATCAAAAATATCATTGCCCTCCGTGACTGAATAACGTTGATGATGAACTCGTGCGAATGATAAAATAAACGATAAACACTATCTCAGATAAGTTGACGGTAAACAAGATTCCAACAAGCATTAACGATATAAAACCAGGCACAATGACTTCCCCTCGTCACGTTTTTATCTTAACAAGAAATGTATTTGACATGTCCTCCGGTTATTGCAGATCAGAATGGATTTGGAAAACGAAGTTACGTCGTCTTTCTGTAGATCAGAATGGATTTGGAAAACGAAGTTACGTCGTCTTTCTGTAGGTAAGATTTTACTTCGTTTTATCACTTTTGTGGACTTGAATTTAAGACCTTGTCAATATTTTGATTTTCGCTTGTTGTTCAAATATATCTTGAAAGTATTAATTTTCCATGGTGGATCAACATTTGATGATGGAATGATAGCGTATTGTTTGTCCATATGAGCCGATAGTTGTTCTGTTATATCCCTAAGGATTGAGAATCAGGTGTCCCACCGGCATAATATCCTCAAAGTTCCTGATATTCTCATCAATCACCAATGCTTCTGGGGAACTTGGTACCTTCAGTGCTGAGAATAATAAGAAAATATGGTTAACTTATTATGGTAAACATCGAATCGACAACAGCATGATGTGACTGGTTCGATGGTAAAACTATCAGCTCTTCAATGATGTTGATTCTTCAGAACAAATCCCGTTACAGTTTCATAGACCCAATTCTTTCCAAGGAATTCAAATATAAAATTAGTTGCAAACACAGCAAATACAAAATTAAGTTTGTTTTATAAAATAAATCAATATATTATATTCTATAATGATATTACCTATCAAACGTAGCAAATCGAAATCAAAAACAAAAACTGCCTTTTTTCTTAAAAAAAAACAACAATTACTTACTTTGACATAAACTGCTGACAAAAGTGTCTTTTATCAAGCTGAGATCACTGTGTGATGCCACGTTAAAGAAATGGTCGTCGACAGGGCGGAGCACTGACCTTTTCAGGGATTCGAATTTAGGATTTTCTCCAATGGTGATGACCACAAATTGAATGTCTTTCTTTGACTTGGCCCTTCTCATTTCTAGAGCCAAATGATCAAGTTTTTCCACGTTATTGTCAACCACTACAACAGCAATCCTCCTGGCAGTTTCTCTCCCGCCGTTCGCTGTTTCAAAGCTTTGATTTTGCATTTGCCATACCATGCGGTCCAGCCCCCTGAATTCAGGATTTTTCAGAACAGGCACCATTTCATCTAGATGAGGATAATGATTCAAATATATGTCGTCATTATCACAATATCTAGTTAACAAACCTGCCCTGAGAACGCCAGTATCCATGTTTCCGAAGTTTAGAATGGTATCGGCTATCAAATTCTGTACGTGATTGGAGTTTCTTGTTCCCATACTAGTAGCATCATAGGTAAACATAAGGTCTGTCTCCATACCAGCACTACAGTATTGTTGATGGAGTGATTCTTTCCCTGTAATACATAACAAATCTCCCTTTATTCATGATAACATTCAAACTTATGTATTATCTGTAATGTTTTGTGTGTGTAGTGTTTATGAAATACAGATGTACTTTGTCGTGATACAAGATTCTCCGTTTATCTGTTCCTGTTTGTATTCTTAAACTATATGATTCATTTGTATTGGTAAAAATTAAGAATCTTACCTCTGCAAACTTTGTAGGCCAATGTTTTCCTGATTTTATTCAACAATTCGGAACTCGACACAGTTAGGACGTATGTTTCTGATGGCTTACTTCCAATGGCAACTAATTCCTCCATTTTCACTTTGTCTCCTATTCCTATGGCAAACACCTGTACATTTTCACTTTTTAAAGCAGCAGCTTCGCGCAGTGTTTGAGCTTTATTTGTAGACGCTCCATCTGTGATGACCACAAGTATTTTGCTAACGTTTGGACGTGCTCTTCGGAACGCATTTCTTCTTACTGCTCGCAATGCTTTCCCTGTTTGGGTACCCCCTTTTCGTTGTTGTATACGTCCAATGGCCAATTTAAGCTCATCCACATCATCAAATTCGCCCAGTTCTATTTGTTGATGGTAGTAATCAGAGAATATCCCAACCCCAAATTGAGTTTCAGAAGCCGACACTGGGAAGAAGCTAACGAAACGTTGCAGGAATTTCAGCTGTGTTTTGAAGTGTTTAGACCAGATACTCGTGGAACTATCAAGCAGGAAGAAAATGTCCGCTGGATTTCCTTGACACACTAAAAAAACAAATTTATAGCTTGTACATCATATTTCTAGCTGCATGACCTATCACTACTTGTCAAAATGCACTTGATTAACAGAAATACGTTATAAAATCCAAATATAATGGCTGTTATGTTATGGAACATAATTTTATTATATATTACATATAATTGTGTCTTACATGTGTTTGTATCTTGGTGAGAGGAGGATGATGGAGCGGACACAGCGACGGTGACCATGGCCTGTCAAGAAGAAAAGATAATATTACATATTGTATAATATTTTTTATCATTGCAATTATTATAATACTTTGACAGGTGCGTCGTCTTTTAATTTTAATCTGCTAATAAAAATTAATAACTAAATGAACTATTCACCATGGAAAAATAAAACTTTTTAAAATAATTCTACTTAATTAACAGAATACTACAAATGTAATTATTCATTCGTTGTTTGGAGGCAAAGCCGAGTAGCACAATAAATTAATTATGGTCGTGTAGGGACCCATTATATTTCAATGTACAATGTAAAGTACTTTTAAATTTGATAATCTATTCCTATGAAGCAAAACAATCTGAACAATATACTCACCATGGCCAAGACAATTGAGGCAGATATCATTTTGGAGCTTTGTATCAGCAGCTGTACACGTGTTCCCCCAGTGTGGTAAAGGTGTAGCTTGTTCTCATCCCTTTATACCCTAGGTAACGGTATGGAGGCTGGATACGACCGGAACCACAATGGCTCATGTTGTACCACAAAAATTTATTGTCGTTAAAAGTCAGGAAAAATTATATAATTTCACAGGGCATATGGTATGAATAATCCACTTATGACGTATCTACTACCGTGAGACCGGAAATATTTTTCAAGTCTGCTTCTTGTAAACTCGTTAAAATAATTAACACCCATCATTATGTTTACATTGTTATTTACAAGCCTGAATCACCAGTATTTGTTGGTTCAAGGACAGTTAAATACACATTCCTTTGCTTATACAATTCAAGTATTAAATGTTCGGTTGGTATAAACAATTTTAATTCAACACTTATTACGCCGACAGTGGGCTAAATGATACAGCCATACCTTATCTATATTTTCGTGAAGTCTTCTAGATAGAGAGATGGATACTATTTCATTCTATTCAACATTTTACACCTATATCAATTAGAAACGACTTTTATCTTCAAAACTTATGTCAATTAGAAACGACTTTTATCTCCAAAACTTATGTCAATTAGAAACGACTTTTTTCTTCAAAACTTATGTCAATTAGAAACGACTTTTATCTTCAATACTTATGTCAATTAGAAACGACTTTTATTTTCAATACTTATGAATCAATACATCTCTGAAAAGTGATGAAAACCATGTTCCTAACAAAAGTACGAGAGAAATAAAGCCATGTTTCCCAAAAGGGAAAATTTCTCATGTTTCATCTAAAGCTGTTGAGATAAAATTGTGGTAAAATTGTTTCTCTCTGGCCGTCTTAGTCACTTTACCGGCTGTGTGGTATCCTTAACAGATAATGAGAAAATGCGTCAAGCAAATGGAACTTCTATTCAGTGACAATAAAGTCAAATATGATAGAACAAAATGACGTCATCAATTATATGGAAAGGTGCACTTCCCTCGGCATTTAAGATTGATGATAACTTGTCAGAGATATTTCTTAGAGATTCATTTCATCAATTCCCATTTAAAATAGAAACTCGTGTCATTTTATGAATTCGTCATATATATATGTACATGTTCTAGTCTGTAAAATTCAATATACCATGTGATACACATGTGATCATTAGGACGTCAGAAAAGGATGACGTTCCACGATTTTCTCGATGGGGTTAAACGAATACGGAATGTCTCAAACCTTGATGTCCACAAATCTACAGGTTTGATGATATTAGTGCTAAGTTGCTGAAAATTGTTTCTAATGAAGTAGCACCTTCTCTTACCTACATTATGAATATCAGTCTAAAGACAGGTAAATTTCCTTCACAGTGGAAAATCGCTAAAGTTACCACGCTTCATAAAAATGGTAACACTTCTGATGTTGAAAACTATACGCCAATAACAATCTTAACTGTTCTCTCCAAAATTTTAGAGAAACATATTCATCACACTTTATACAAATACCTTACAGACCATGATTTACTTGTAGCGTCCCAATCTGGCTTTCACCACAAACAATCATGTGAAACAGCATTACTGAATATTGTAAACTCCTGGGCTGAGAACATTGATGATGGTCTTTGTACAGGAGTTATTTTCTTAGACTTTAAAAAAGCCTTTGATCTAGTCTGTTTTACTTCAGAAACTTTCCCTGTATAGAATTAATCAAAGTTCATTGCTGTGGTTCAAGTCATATCTCGACAATAGGACACAGTCAGTCTCCATTACTGGCCACATGTCGACCATCTGTAAAATAACCCATGGTGTCCCTCAAGGATCTATTTTAGGTCCTCTGATGTTTTTAGTATTCATAAATGACTTGCCACTTACTGTCAGATGTGATACAGATATGCATGCAGACGATTCTACTTTGTCTGCTACTGGTAGATCATTGGATGATATCAATAGCAAACTGCAATCGGATTTAAACAATGTTCATTCATAGTGTGTTAAAAATAGGATTATTATAAACGTCAAGAAAACAAAATGTATGTGGGCAAAATAAGGCGTCGTATTAGTTCATATTTACCCATGGAAGGAAAACTGATTTTTTTTCAGGCATGTATTTTCCCACATTTTGTTTATTGCAGCACTGTGTAGTCAGGTTGTTCAGAAAATTTAATGGGCAAGCTTTTGAAAAGTCAGAAACAAGCAGCCAGAATGATTCTCGATGTACCATTTCATACCCCTTCCAAAGACATGTTTGAAGTTTTACAGTGGATGCCTATTGATAGATACTTTAAGTTTAGAAGATTGTGTATGAAGATGTCCCAGACTACTTATCTAGCAATGTCTCATAAGTTAGAAAACAACTTTTAGTTCCAAAACACAGAACTGTTTTTTACTCAAACCATTTTTTAATATCGAGTATCAAAGATTGGAATCTTTTACCTCACGAACTACTTTTAAAAGACTACTCGTCAAACTTTGACTTGTTTTGTAAACAATTTTGCAAGATACTGCTGCTTTTTACTTTTTAGAGCAACCAAGTCTTTTATTTGTACACTGTATACTTTTCAATAATATACGTAATCATGTGATTTTTATCAGGTATCCAACAGATGAAGTTTATTGTTTACTCATAAATGTTGTTTTTACTAACCCATTGATATATACTTTTACTAACAAGAGGACCATGTCTTAGATAAGCATTTGGCTTAACATGTATTTATCATCTGAAAATAAAGATTATTATTATTATTATAAACTTTGCATAATTCTATGGGAGAATTTGATCTTCTTACTGACTTCTATTAGTGTAGTATAAGCTTAAGAGCCTGAAGACGCTTTTCGTAATATTTTTTGAAGTCGTTTGAAATATTTGATACATGTAAGCATCCTTTCATAAATGTACATCTCCATTATATGTTACAATTGCCTATGTTCAGGACTAGCAAGTTGCCATTGTCTCTTTCAATAACTTGGAAAGTGAATCAAAGACAAGAAAAAGAAAAACCAGATGTTCTAGATTATACCTCCTACAGAATTGGTTTGGCAATGATGATGATATGTTATACTGAATGAGGTTTGAGCCACAACCATTTTACAATAAGTATGTCTTAATGTCTATGTTTGTTCTGTGTTTGAACTGCTAACAAATCGATATTTAGTGATGTTTTTGTGTTAAATGTCAAAATAATGAGTTTCAATAAATTTTACCTCTTGTGGCAATGAACAAACATTTCAACGTCTACAAAGGTGTCATCCTGGTTGTAACTAAAATATATGTCCGTGTCTTATTGAGTTTAGCTGCTTGTGGCTGCAATGGTCTTCACAATGAATCACGAGTTTGGCTCCCTGCCTTTGTTTGTACATTAGAAGATCTATCACAGTACACTTGATATAGAAACAACAAATACCCAAGCGTCGTTTTCTTAGTGTGTTAAACTTGTGCTTGATCAACAGCAGTGTTCATAACTTCGTGTGTTTAGCTCCCTAAAGCCGTGACTAAATTATTGGAATATCTACAGCAGTGTTCATTACTTCGTGTGTTAAGCTGTCTGTGGCGGTGACTAAACTATTAGAAGATCTACAGCAGTGTTCATAACTTCGTGTGTTTAGCTCTCTGTGGCGGTGACTAAACTATTAGAATATCTACAGCAGTGTTCATAACTTCGTGTGTTTAGCTCTCTGTGGCGGTGACTAAATTATTGGAATATCTACAGCAGTGTTCATAACTTCGTGTGTATAGCTCTCTGTGGCGGTGACTAAACTATTAGAATATCTACAGCAGTGTTCATAACTTCGTGTGTTTAGCTCCCTAAAGCCGTGACTAAATTATTGGAATATCTACAGCAGTGTTCATTACTTCGTGTGTTAAGCTGTCTGTGGCGGTGACTAAACTATTAGAATATCTACAGCAGTGTTCATAACTTCGTGTGTTTAGCTCTCTGTGGCGGTGACTAAACTATTAGAATATCTACAGCAGTGTTCATAACTTCGTGTGTTAAGCTGTCTGTGGCGGTGACTAAACTATTAGAATATCTACAGCAGTGTTCATAACTTCGTGTGTATAGCTCTCTGTAGCCGTGGCTAATTTATTAGAAGATCTACATCAGTATTCATGACTTCATGTGTTTAGCTCTCTGTAGCCGTGGCTAATTTATTAGAGATCTACAGCAGTCTTCATAACTTCGTGTGTTTAGCTCTCTGTAGCCGTGGCTAATTTATTAGAGATCTACAGCAGTCTTCATAACTTCGTGTGTTTAGCTCTCTGTAGCCGTGGCTAATTTATTAGAGATCTACAGAACGGTTTTAAAGTTCAACTCCTAGTAGCTATTAAAAATAAATAACTCCACCTGGTAATGATTACAGCAATGGAGATCTATAAAATAGTTGTATGGAATAAAATACAGACAGTTATGGGTACTTGTCTATCTTCTAAAATTTTAAGACATATGCAAATTACGAAGTTAATTGAATTATAGGTGTAATGCACGTTCCTGTCTAGATTTTAACATTCCATTCGATCAATCTTGATTTCTCTCAGTCATCTTCTACGTTTTCAAATTATAGGCCTAAGCATCCGCCGAGTAGTCCTAGTAGTTAAATCCCTTCTTTTGTTCTACTGTATCTAACTATAGATTAGTCTTAAAAGGTGCTATGTACTTGTCAGTGTTTGTAAAATCCTCTATATCATTGTCTTTGACTTCTCGAGTTAACTTTTGTGTTAATGATGTAACTTAATGAGATAAACTCATTTATTCCATCTCAGTTTGACCTCTAGTGTCTCTAACAGAACAATAGATGATCGCCAAGTGTCCATGCCGAAGTAAGAGTTCTGATTTATGAGTTTATTCCGTGTCGGTTTGACTTCTAGTGTCTCTAACAGAACAACGGATGATCGTCTACAGTCTTCGAGCTAAAGTAAGATTATAAGTTAATTCCGTCTCGGTTTGACCTAGAGTGTCTCTAACAGAACAATAGATGATCGTCTACAGTGTATATGCTAAGGTAAGAGCTCCGCTTTATGAGTTTATTCCGTCTCAATTTGACCTCCTGTAAGATTGACGTAATACTATACATACTTACTTAGTTTGACCCTGTGACGTAATATAAGAGATGATTTACAACTAGTTTTAAGACTTAGTTGGTTTCACCGCTATCTGAGGTGAGATAATTCACATCAAGTTTAAAGACTCAATGATTTTGAACTTTAGTTGGTGTGATTGAATATAATAACATCATATACCACGGTACTGGCAAATTACAACATCAGAGAGGAATTTTATTAAAAACTTTATTAAATAACAATTGTTCTGGTCACAAAAACCAGACAACCAAAGTAAATAAAGAAGTAACATAGAGAAAGGCAAAAAGGCCAAATAACAGAATAATCTACATGTCGTACCTGCTTAACACTCTCACTAACTATAAGCGTTCATGGGACCCCGTATGTCCCTGGCTTTGTTACAATCACACTCTCACTAATTATGCAAGCGTTCATGGGACCCCTTGGATCTTTGGCTTTGCTACAACCACACTCTCACTAATTATGCAAGCGGTCATGGGACCCCTTGGATCTTTGGCTTTGCTACAACCACACTCTCACTAATTATGCAAGCGTTCATGGGACCCCTTGGATCTTTGGCTTTGCTACAACCACACTCTCATTAATTATGCAAGCGTTCCTGGGACCCCGTGGGTCTCTGGCTTTGTTACAATCACACTCTCACGAATTATACAAGCTTCCATTGGCCCCTAAGGGTCTCTGGCTTTGTCAACATTACACTCTCGCTAATTATGCAAGCGTTCGTGGGACCCCGTGGGTCTCTTGTTTTAACGTTACAATCATACTCTCACTAATTATACTAGCGTTCAGGGGACCCGTAATTATCGTTTTTTTTCTCTTTTTATCATTCTCCTTATCTGTCTGTGACCGATTTTCTGTTCCAATGTGTATTCAATCATACGTCTTATAATTACCTATTTCCCTTGCTCTCTCTTTCTCCATTCTGCATCACGTATCGCTCTCATTTTACAGTCCAGATATGTACGGAGTAAACGATAACACATCACAGAGTATATCCACGCGTCGACGAATCCCCAGATATCGCAGCAGTGAACATCACAGCCAGTGTGAACTTATGTTTTCTGGTATCAGTGTTACTTATATCACATCATTACAATGTGAAGTGATGTGCCAAAATGTGACGTCATTTACGATTCGATGACCAGGTTGCTTCTCGGAACGATGTCGTTGAAATTGTCGTAATACACTTTATTTGGTCCATTTGAGGAAGGAGCTTTGAAATCTGAAATAAAGATAACGATCCTTTTAGCAAAAATGAATGATGAAAACTTATTCCTTAAAGACTATTCATACTTTCATTACAAAACACGTATTATTTACACAAAATTGATGTATAATTTAACCTATGTAAATTCACCTTACATCCTGTATACACCAGTTATTACTTTAACATGATACGTGTACATTGTTCGTTACATGTAAAGTGATCAGTAGTACCTAATTAGTATATCATTAGAGATATACAAAACATTAACATTATAAGTATGTCTCGTTTTAATTGTAGATTAAAGATTTTTTTCATTTCTACGAGATATATAATACGACAGAAGTACTTTTAGCCATCCTCTGACAAGGAATACAGATTTAAAACAACCCTCGAAACAGAAATAAACAGAGGATCTGTGTTTAGCTCGTTTCCACATTTGTATATTTGTTAACAACAAGATCTCTCCTTTAAATGTTACTTTTCAATGGTGACAGCGAATCTCCAACACCGTCTCTATTGTTTTGATAATTACTTCACGATAGAACCCAATATTGACCTGAAGTTAAACATTAGTTGGGATGCTGTACCATAGGTTTAGCGAAGTCTGGGATTAACTTAAACATACACAACGGGTTGTTAGGAGAAATTGAATATATGCAATGAAACCTTAAATGTATAATGCTTGTTGCTTACCTTCACAAAGAGTGTCTACAAATCGGCCCTTGACAGTGTCTACATCACTATGAGACGGAACCGTAAAGAAGTGAGACTCTGTTGGTTTCATCACCAGAGACTTCAAGATTTCGTATTCCGAGCTTTCACCTATAGCAATGACAATAAACTGGATGTCCTTCTTGGATTTTGCTTTTTTCATTTCAGTCTCCAAATTTTTTATTTTTTCTGCATTGTCATCCACAATGACGACAGAAATGCGTCTTGCTGTTTCTCGTCCACCTCTTGCTTTTTGGTAGCTGTTTTCGTGTAAATCTCGTACAATCTCGTCGACCCCGCGAAAGTCGTTGTTTCTGACGTAGGAAGCCATTGTCTCTTTGTCACTGAATACGCCCAGGTTGACATTGTCTCCATCACATTGTCCTGACAACACGCCAGCCCGGATCGTCCCGTCGTCCATGTTTGCAAAGTTCTGAATGGTGTCACCAATGAATTCCTGTACATGCCTTGCATTTTTTGTCCCCATACTGGTGGCGTCGTAAGCGAACATGACGTCGGTGTTCATCCCGGCGCTACAGTATGGCTCATGTCTTGGTGCTTCAAGAAACAGTTTTACATGTTAATTTAAAACACATGATATGAACTAACTACATGTCTCATTAAAAGTAAGTGAACATTGAATTAACCAATAATCGCGGCTTTGTATGCATTTTGTAAAACATGTTGGTTAATCAACGACTGGTAAAGAAGTATCTAGAATATTAACGATTTGAGCTTATATAAATCGAATTATATAGAGACCAAACAAAACTCCACAAAAAATACTCGACAGCCAACAGGATCATATAAGAAAAAGTGTTACCTTTACACACTTGGAAGGCCAGCGTTTTACGTATTTTGTTTAATACGTTGAAATTGACTACATTGTGGACATAGGTCTCCTTAGGTTCACTGCCAATAGCCTCAAGTTCAGTTGTCTTGGAGGACAAACCTATTCCGATGGCGAAGACATGAATTCCCTGTCCCTTCAAAATAGCCGCCTCCCTCCTCGTCTCTGCTGTATTCCTTGACTCGCCGTCAGTCAGAACGACCAAGACATGTCCAACACCTGGTCTAGCCTGGCTAAAGGCATGTTTTCTCACTTTTCTAAGGGCTCGGCCAGTCTGGGTATCTCCATACCCTTTTGTTATATCGCCAATAGCGAGTTTAAGATCATCAGAGTTGTCAAAGTCCTCGAAGTCAATCACTTGCTGGTAACGGTCAGCAAACACCCCGACTCCAAATCGTGTTTCTGTTTGAGATACCGGGAAGTAATCGACAAGTTTCTGGATAAACTGAAGCTGTTTTTCATAGTCTAAAATATAGATACTGGAGGAACTGTCCAGGAGGAAGAAAATGTCTGCCGGATTGCCGTCACACACTGTGAAATGTAAGGGAGAAGATATTGTACCTTATATAACCATATACAATATTAAACTTAAGTAGATCATAAACTTTCGATATGATTTTTCAATCAAATTTAATTCTATCGCATTAAACGTGTAACGTAGCTTACAGAATCCAATTAATTTAAAAATATACAACTGAGTATAAACCAACTTCTATCAATATTTTATTGACAGCACTAGTATTATAGTTATTATGTCATAAGTTCGTAGGAAGTGGCATTCATTCCCGACCATAGCACGTGAATACTTACAGACAAAAATATCTTCTTCTGATTGTGGTTGCGTTGGAGCACCAAATACAATCGCAAACATCTGAAATAAACCAAATAATATTAATATGATAATTAAATACCAAAATAATAATATAATAAACATTTATTAATTAGTATGATGATATAATATAAAACTATTAATACAATGATGTAATATCAAAATATAAATATAATTGTGTTGTATCAAAATATGAATTTGATATGATTTATACATGGTAAAAATGATCTATGTAGACCTGGAGAAATGTATTATCGTATAGTATACTTACCATCGTTGATAGCAGAATTGCAGTCATCATATTGAGTCTTGGCTGGTTATTATTTCAGATACAGAAAATGAAATGATTGAATCCTCTCGTTACAAATGAAGAATGGAGACTATGGTCTTTTGAGAGTCTTTGCACACTTGCTGATATTTGAAGATTACGCGAGACTTAAATACATTACGGATGACCACAAACGTAAACCGGCCCGGAAACAGGAGGCGTATTTTGAGTTATATGGTATGTAAATTTACGTATTTCTGTACGTAGTTAATCATTATATGCTCAAATATGGGGTAACCTTCCGGTCAAAAATGCTGTGACGCGCCTTTCTGAATGGAGGAGATATATTCAGAGTGAGGCTACGACGTACTCTTAAGTACGCTATGCTTGTGAATGATGTCAAGGACAACGTAGCGAGCGTGTAAATATACCCACAACATTGTGTAGTGCAAAGGGCCACCTATAGCGACATTCCTTTGTAATCTGTTATATCCACGACCACTTTCCGGCATGCATACTTCCGGAAATTCTTACGTACAACATATGTATATCATTGTAATAAACTTAATGCATTTCTCAGCATGAAACATCAGGCTTCTAGAATAAATGAAGAAAAACTTTTAAAACATGTGCTATTTTAAAAATAATTCTTTATCGATAAAATGTGTGCAGAACACGATTTCGGTCCAACAAACAGCGAATATGTTAAAAAAAAGAATTTGACTTGAAGAAGTATGAACTTAATTAGAAAGAGTACCACGTTCAGTACTGTTTAATGAGAGGAAAATCCTTAATGTACCATGTATATAGAAGTTTGATCAGTACTTGATGATTATAGTCCATGTAATACGTTTGATTACCACCAGATATAAATATTCTATGTAAACTTTAACGACGCTGACAAAGCTGGTACAAGTGAAGGATTAAAAATATGAAATGTTTTTATACATGTACCATGTTTTAGTAATCTTAACTGTTCATTTCAGAATTCCCGCTTTGAGTTTGTGTCTAACCGCTTTGAGTTTGTGTCTAATCACTTTGAGTTTGTGTCTAATCGCTTTGAGTTTGTGTCTAATCGCTTTCAGTTTGTGTCTATCCGCTTTCAGTTTGTGTCTAACCGCTTTCAGTTTGTGTTTAATCGACTTCAGTTTGTGTCTAACCGCTTTCAGATTGTGTCTAATCGACTTCAGTTTGTGTCTAACCGCTTTCAGATTGTGTCTAATCGACTTCAGTTTGTGTCTAACCGCTCTCAGTTTGTGTCTAATCGACTTCAGTTTTTGTCTAACCGCTTTCAGTTTGTGTCTAACCGCTTTCAGTTTGTGTCTAATCGACTTCAGTTTGTGTCTAACCGCTTTCAGTTTGTGTCTAACCGTTTTCAGTTTGTGTCTAACCGCTTTCAGCTTGTGTTCAACGTCTACGTGTTATAAACGTATCGGAATTAATTTATTGTATGTAATATTCCTTGCAAATAAAACTACATTATTTTTTTTTATATTTTTCTCATTTCTTCGTTTTGAAAGGACACAACATCCTATCATAGAGTAACACTTCCTAACAACTCGAGATGAAAATAGGACACACTAAATAGGATGAGACTAAGACACACTGAATAGGATGAAACTAAGACACATTAAATATAATGAAACTAAGACACACTGAATAGGATGAAACTAAGACACACTGAATAGGATGAAACTAAGACACATTAAATAGGATGAGACTAAGACACACTAAATAGAATGAAACTAAGACACACTGAATAGGATGAAACTAAGACACATTAAATAGGATGAAACTAAGACACACTAAATAGGATGAAACTAAGACACATTAAATAGAATGAAACTAAGACACACTGAATAGGATGAAACTAAGACACACTGAATAGGATGAAACTAAGACACACTGAATAGGATGAAACTAAGACACACTGAATAGGATGAAACTAAGACACACTGAATATGATGGAACTAAGACACACTGAATAGGATGAAACTAAGACACACTAAATAGGATGAAACAAAGACACATTAAATAGGATTAAACTAAGACACACTGAATAGGGTGAAACTTAGACACATCAGATAGGATGAAACTAAGACACACTGAATAGGATTAAACTAAGGCACACTGAATAGGATTAAACTAAGACACACTGAATAGGATGAAACCAAGACACATTAAACAGGATGAAACTACGACACACTAAATAGGATGAAACAAAGACACATTAAATAGGATGAAACTAAGACACATTAAATAGGATGAAACTAAGACACACTGAATAGGATTAAACTAAGACACACTGAATAGGATTAAACTAAGACACATTGAATAGGGTGAAACTTAGACACATCAGATAGGATGAAACTAAGACACATTGAATAGGGTGAAACTTAGACACATCAGATAGGATGAAACTTTGACATTACACATAAGAAATGATTAAGATTGAACAAAGAAATCTTATGAACAACTCATGGAATCAGTAAAGAACTAATTGAGTGAATAAGAAAAGATCGCCTTTAGTGTGTCTCCGTTTAACGATTACAATATTGAATGTTATAAAACAATCACTTGCTTTGAATGTGCAAACAGATAAATTGCTAGCGAACACATATATGTGACAAATTATTACAAATCAATCTGTAAAATTCAGAATTTTGCTTTCACCCCTCAAAAATAACAACCACGCTGAAGATGTTTCAGTCGAAACAGATTTTACAAATAGTATAAAGGATATCGGTTTATGAAAGATACTCTGTCAGTATTTTTTGGGGGGAGGGGGGATTGTGACATTGAAATACCGAGGTGCTGCTGATTTGTTTGCGCAGAAATTATGAACTATATTTAGATATTTGAGGAATTCCTTGGCAAGATATGTTTTTCCTCTAAAAACCATGAATAAGCCACTAAGTGGTAGCTGCCTGTCATATTACAGACAACATTGTATATGCATGACAAGCCTTGGGGAAGTTTATGTAATTGAAAACATGTATCCAACTCACGAACAACAGACTAGGTTCATTTGGTATGTTAAAACCGTTTATGCCTTCCATTCATTTTTTTTCATCAATGCATTCCTAGTTCACTATTCATTATTCATGTCATGTTATGTCAGGTATCGTCTCTTTAATACGTTTGATAGAAATCGATGAAATCATAGTTAAGAACGACAGAAGAAAAATATGACATCATTTCTTTTAGAAACCGCCAGCATACCTTTCCACCTGGACATACCACGGTACTTTAACCTCTGAATTTACAGGTAAGACATATGTGTAGGTCTTTAAACCTGGACATACCACAGTACTTTTACTAATAATTTTACAGGTAATACATATGAGAGTAGCCTCCCTTGATTTTCGGTAGGCGTGGCTATTTTTGCGTTGTCGATAGGCCAATTTACTGGTAAGACATATGTGTAGGTCTTTACAACTGGACATACCACGGTACTTTTAGTAATGAATTTACAGGTAAGACATATGTGTAGGTCTTTACACCTGGACATACCACGGTACTTTTACCACTGAATTTACTGGTAAGACATATGTGTAGGTCTTTACACCTGGACATACCACGGTACTTTTACCACTGAATTTACTGGTAAGACATATGTGTAGGTCTTTACACCTGGACATACCACGGTACTTTTACCATTGAATTTACTGGTAAGACATATGTGTAGGTCTTTACACCTGGACATACCACGGTACTTTTACCACTGAATTTACTGGTAAGACATATGTGTAGGTCTTTACACCTGGACATACCACGGTACTTTTACCATTGAATTTACTGGTAAGACATATGTGTAGGTCTTCCAAACTGAAATATACCACGGTTATTTTTTCTTCTTTAATTTACAGGCATTTGGACAGTCTAATTAGAGTCAATTATGCATGTGCAAAATTAATAGGAACTAATTATATGGTGATTAGATCGTGGATGCATGGCGAGCACCAACGAGTGTCTACCTTAATAATTACAGTAATGTAAAGGCAGTAGTAGAGCCAATAATTAGTTAATGACACAACATATACATGTAGTCGTTATGTTTGTGTGATGCATGACCATTACGTGTGATGTCTACATGTATTATATCAAAATACTAATGATTCACAGTACTTTGATATTCATTATTTCATCAGCCACATTCTTATACGAACCATTGATGCAGCTAACAATCAGAAATCTCAAATATTCGTGATTGTGTCAATTCTGCGGTAAATCTCTACATAGGAAAACAGATGCGTTTTGTTTGATTTAAATATTTGTTGATACTACAGACATAATGGTCAAAATATTATGGTTTCGTTTATCGATTTTTTTTGTGTCCTGGATAATCAGTATTGTTAAACGATATGTTTGTCAATACTTGACAAGTTTAGTGATATATATGCTAACTTAACGAACTTTAAATGATCGATTTCTCATATTTTCTTATTATGTTGTACTAAGATATCAACGCCATTTTGGTAAGCGTACAAAAGAAAATGGCGTCACATGGAAATTAGTGTAAATAATTTTGTATTAATACGGAAATCAACAACCGAAAGTTAAATGAGAATCATGAGACGGAAAAATGGATATTATTATTGAACAAAATGGCCTTATTTTGTCAAAATCCATCCCTGAACGGATCAAGAAAATTCATTTAAAAAAATCGAAATATAAAAGATATGTCCTAAAATAAAATAATAATAAAAAAACGTAAAAGACTTATGGCATGTTACTCTATATTTTCAACCTAACGACTCCGGTACTTTCAGAAGTTTTGAGGGTTGTACAACAGACACACATGTCAACAGCACCAAATACTACAATTTTAGAATTAGATACAGTCACACAATGAAGTAAACTTCGTCATCCTTCTAAGACACGTCATAGGTGACTGAGGGCCGATACATTTAATATAACAAAAAAGACAACGTGACTGCCACTCATGTTTTTTTTCTGTATTACTCAAACGCTGAAATATGTCGCAAACTCATCATAACCTCCCAGTTTCCTGTGAGTCATCATCTGAAGAAACCCCCATAGGTTACCTTACAAGGTCTGGTATTGATCTGGTAAATGTAATATTGGATGTGTTTTAGAACGCCGTGATCTAATATTTTCCTGAATTTAACAAGCTACTTACTCAAAGGCGAGATCTTAAAAATAATGGAAATCGAAATTTATTGGTAGATTCGAAAAAAAAAGTTAATATAGATTTATACGAAACAATAACATCAGAACCCAGACTGTATTATTAGCAAAGATAAGCATCACTGCACTGCCCAACAAACTGAAGTGATTGGTCCACATAACGACACTGGCTAATTGAGCATGTAATACTGTTTGTATATAACACACACACATCGTAATATATCAGGTTGTTTTGGATTTATTGGGAAATTCTTTCAATAACAACATGTGGACATACATCCTGCTACTTATTACGGTGTTTATCTTATAATTCCAAACATTTCTAAGCTGTTTAATTTCACGTCATTCTGTTCATGTTGTGTTCAAAGTTTCCTTTTTTTCTTAGTAAGCATACTAGAAAAATGAAATTAATTACGAAATGGTTAAGATGGAAAAAAATCACTTTGGAAGTGACGAATATATGCATGGACTTTTTTCATTATTTTGTAACCATCCATGACAGCTGTATGTTTGTATTATTTTACAGATCGCAGGAGCCAGCTCTTTGCCGCTCGATAAGAGAGAAGACAAATGTGCTTGTAAGTTTAATAATTTACTTCCTGCACTTACATCGAAGTGTATTTACATCGGGGTAACAGCATCTTTTACTTAGTTTTGTAACATTAAAAATAATTCTTAATTAATAAATCTTCAACAAAATGTTATGTCTATATTGGAGTCATCAACCGGAAGTTGTCGAGTAAAGATGTTATGCTTTAATGACGTCATCACAGCAGATCACATACAGGTCTCTGAAGTATTCCAATCACCCACTGTTTATTCCTGTCGTAAAATCGGTGTGAGTGCTTAATCAGCTCTTTCTTTCCTTTCGCTCTAGGAGACAGCAGTGTTGTCATATTTGAATTGACCGTCACATTTTTATAAGTCGGACCTTAGAATAAGATTAATGTTAGCCACAGTTTATCTATCACTGATAAGTCCACGTATATTCGCATCGACAAAAACTTTCATATCTCACTTGAAGTAGGAAAGACTGTACAAGACGTTGAAGATATAAATTGCATATTACATACAACAATAACAACCTACATACTATTTTCAGGACCTGGATGAGTAAAATTACTTCTGATTAATTGTAGGGTAATTCTCGCTTTAGCTAAATCGCCACAGCAGTCTTTTTCTATTGAAAGTTTCCAATTCTGTTTTATTGTGTCTCCGGTTTTTTTACGTAAATTTCTGTTTTTATTCTCGATATTCAGATGTCCTCCATGCTTGTTCGTGCCATTTCAGGGTGTGATGGTAATCCAGCAGACATTTTTTTCCTGATAGACAGTTCCACCAGCATCTGGGGAAAAGATTTCCGGATACAGCGAAGATTTCTCCAGGACTTGGTGAAATGCTTTCCAATTGGACCTACGGCTATGAGGGTTGGGCTGGCTCTTTTCTCTGACCGGTACTATCGTGTCATTCGCTTTAATCAGTATGACAACACTAAAAAACTACAACGTGCTATTGGACGCATACCACATATATATGGATCTACGTACACTGGAATTGCACTTCGGTCACTCCGAACCAGGGAATTCACGCGTGCGCGAAAGAATGTCACCAAAATAGCAGTTGTTCTTACAGATGGTGCTTCTCATGATGAATCGATGACGGCTAGACAGGCTGAGTTGCTGAAGAAGTCCGGCGTGTTCGTGTTCGCTGTAGGGATAGGCACGAAATCCAAATTGAGTGAACTCAAAAAGATTGGAAGTACCCCATCAGAACAGTTTGTCTTCTCTGTTGCTGGGTACCACCTTTTAAATGAAATCCGAGAGGCGTTGGCCTTCAAGGCATGTCGAGGTTTGTATATCTTGTTTCTTTTCTACCGATTAAACAAACGACAACTTATACATATTGAATCAGAGGCCTGTAGGTTTGATATATATATATATTTAGAAAACAATGTGAGTGGCACGGTTCAGAAAATAAATATGCACTTTACGCTTTTCTAAAATTAATTGATGTATGAAAATTACGAACTTTATCAAATTACGGGGCTAGTGCACCACCGCGTCTAGATTTTAACTTTTCTTGTGATCAATTTAGATTTTCATTAATCGCCTCCTCGGCTTCAAATTTTTGTGTGTGTCTTTTGTACAATCTATAAAATGGCCATTTCTTTTGCTAACAAGACATGATCTAATTTAGTCCCCCAAACGACTTTTTCTTCTTCTTCTTCTTCTTCTTCTTCTTCTTCATTCTTCTTCTTCTTCTTCTTCTTCTTCTTCTTCTTCTTCTTCTTCATTCTTCTTTCTTCTTCTTCTTCGTCTTCTTCTTCTTCTACTTCTTCTTTTTCTTCTTCTTCTTCTTCTTCTTCTTCTTCTTCTTCTTCTTCTTCTTCTTCTTCTTCTTCTTCTTCTTCTTCATTCTTCTTAATTCTTCTTTCTTCTTCTTCTTCTTCTTCTTCTTCTTCTTCTTCTTCTTCTTCTTCTTCTTCTTCTTCTTCTTCTTCTTCTTCTTCTTCTTCTTCTTCTTCTTCTTCTTCTTCTTCTTCTTCTTCTTCTTCTTTCTTCTTCTTCTTCTTCTTCTTCTTCTTGTTCTTCGTCTTCTTCTTCTTCTTCTTCTTCTTCTTCTTCTTCTTCTTCTTCTTCTTCTTCTTCTTCTTCTTCTTTTTCTTCTTCTTCTTCTTCTTCTTCTTCTTCTTCTTCTTCTTCTTCTTCTTCTTCGTCTTCTTCTTCTTCTTCTTCTTCTTCTTCACCTTCTCCTTCTCCGTCTTCTTCTTCTTCTTCTCCGTCTTCTTCTTCTTCTTCTTCTTCTTCTTCTTCTTCTTCTTCTTCTTCTTCTTCGTCTTCTTCTTCTTCTTCTTCTTCTTCTTCTTCTTCTTCTTCTTCTTCGTCTTCTTCTTCTTCTTCTTCTTCTTCTTCGTCTTCTTCTTCGTCTTCTTCTTCTTCTTCTTCCTCTTCTTCTTCTCATTCTTCTTTCTTCTTCTTCTCCTCCTCCTCCTTTTTCTTCTTTTTTAAATCTTCTTCTTCTTCTTCTTCTTCTTCTTCTTCTTCTTCTTCTTCTTCTTCTTCTTCTTCTTCTTCTTCTGAGCTCATGGTATTAGTGTATTTAAAATGCAGCTGTATTCTTAAGACTTGAGGGAAAAATAAGAAAATAAAAACGAAACAAGATAAAAACAAATTAATAAAAAGGATACCAGCTAAGCTTCGAACCTCCAGCCACAGTCGAATTCATTGTTTAAAATTCTATAGCAACAATACCGTATTTAAAGACTGTTTACCTCCCAGTATATTAAACCTCTGATTGGTTAAAATATAACAGACTATCACTCAAAAATCGTTGTTCAGATTAAAACTTGATGTTAATATTGATGTCTATATCAAGATTGAATTGTGAGAGTCATGTTTAATACTGTTTACAGGTCAGAATGAACATCACAATAAGCATGCATACATACTGTAGACTCCTGGATTTATGTGTGTCACAATTTGATACATTTGACTTACACAGTTCATAATATACACATGCACTTGACTTTGTTTTGAAATTGTCCAATATTTTGCGTGTTAACTGCGTGACGGGGTTTAATGGTGCCCCTCTGTATCTATATTTTGGCCTTGATTATGGCTCGTAATGATTTTTCCAGCCACCTCCAACACTCTAGACCCCTACCATTACATACAATGTCCAGCACTAAACAGCTGTATTATGTTGTGTAGTGCATTATTTGGTTGTACTGTATCTAGTTCTAGATTTGTACAGAAAAGTGTTATTCATTTGTGTGTCAAAGGTAACTGCCCTGAATTGCAGCAATATCAAAACTGAGGTTTGCGTTATATCAAAATTGCATTTATCAATTTTATTCGAGCTAAAATACTTAAAACTTTTATATTACGTTTTTATAAACTTGTTAAAATCGTGTTAAACTTATAAAATAGTTATTGTAAGTATTATTTTTGTAAAACGATGTTGGAAACGTAAGTGCAGCACTTTTGCCTTCTCCAAAATCTGGTGGCTTCAAACAGGAGAAGAAAACTTTGGGTTGACAGAAACACAAACATGGGTTTAGAACATTATGACTCTGACCACTTATATCATAAAAGTCATAAGATTATAAGATATATGATAATTTTGTGTGCCCCTAATAAAAAATATTAGGAAATTCTCTATTCTGGAAATATCATTTCAATGTTGCAGTTGCGCCTGTTCTACCTTACTGTGCAGCGCGGCGTCCCACTGACGTCATGTTTGGTTTTGACTCCGCAGCGATGGGAACGTATAGATCTGCGCATGTGCGAAACATGATTGCAAATGTCTCAGGGTATTTTGGTAACATGAATGATGGGACTTTGCAAGCCGGAATATTTCGAGGATTGTGCGATGAAAAGGACATTCCTCTGAATGAATATAAGTCAAAAGAAGATTTTGTTTCTGATCTGCAAAACAGCACAAATGAAGGAGCTAGAGACATCCTAAAGGATGTAAAGGACATGGGGTACGCCAAGGAAAATGGTGGACGAGAAAAAGCTCGAAAAATAACGGTCCTTTTTATAGACGAAAGTACTCCTGATCTCAACAAAATTATTGAAGAAATTGTTCAGGCAAGGTCAATGGACATAGAGGTATTTGTAGTTGCCATTGGTACCGATTTAGACCTTGTAGACCTAATCGATGTCTTGGACACCCCAACAGAAGAGCATCTGGTCACTGTACCGACTCATAAAGATCTGGACACCATTCATGCCAGTTACTCGGATCTGCTCTGTGACAGTAAGTATAAGTTTTATTGTGAAAAAGATAAAAAAAATCCAAACAAATCAAGAAGAAAAGCAAAAACAAACAAAATAATAAAACTATTTTTGTACATGTATTCATCAGTTTTATACGAAAATATTAAAAATGTGTATATTACATATATACAAATATTACATCTCGAAGCCGCCATTTTGTCACCGCGAGCAGATGACGTTTGAACGTGATTACGGCATAAACGTTATTTTCCCAAAATCGATTTTGTATGAAAAGAAATAAAGTTGATGGTTGAAATCAATTTGTTTTTTTGAATTAAGTAAAGTGATATAGCAAAAAGGAGTAGAGTCTATCTTTCGAGCATGATCGTTTCGAAGCTTTGCAATAATGAACCTTGCAAACGCGCAAATGATCTAGTGTAGGCTGTAGCAATTTAACCAAAATGGCGGCCTTTACACAAAGATCACATTTGATTTTAATAACAAATATTTCGGCAAGTAAAACTATACATTGTTCTTGTGTGGTCCCAATCTCATTTAGGCCACATGTACCCGGATCACAATCAAACCGGTAAGAAGTGTTTATATATTAATGCTAGATGCATGAAGATTGCGCTTTTAGTTGAATTAAAACTGCTGGCAGGATTCATCAATGTAACATTACGACACAGATACAGGATATTTGCCATACATACTGCAGAACATAAATTCCACTGATATCGGTTAGGAACTACAAAGAGACGTTTTAATTTTGTTTTAGTGTTGCAGTAATTACTCATTCAGGATGCCATTAGTAAATCTACATTGTTGATAAGATCGAGAACTCTTTATTCAGGATACCGTGGTTTTATCGACTCAGTTCCCTGTACATAAGCAGTTATCCTATAGATAATCCTGGTACATACTAGTTACTTACGGAAAAAATAGTCGATAAGTTTCTGGTGTTTTCAAGGTTCCTTGTTTAAAGGTACATAGCTTCGTCACCATGAAGATGTCGACTGTTTGGTATAATACATTAGCATCTAGCCTATAAATAACCCGGTAATCTTGCTACTTTACGAAAACGCAGTCGGTAAATCAACAAAGTCGGGGCTAGTGTATTAGTAGACGTCATAAATTGTAATTCAATAGCGCGTACTTCGGTAAGTGCAATGTTCCCGAGTTTTCAGGTCATCTAATTAGTCAAGATGTACTCAAAAATGTTGATATCTAGTCGCTACGGTCTTCAACATAAAATTAGTATCATTTCGTATTTAATTTGTTTTTGTTCCGACGCGCTTTGTCCGACATATTCTCGAAAAGCGTATGCCTGATTCAGCGAAACTTTGCAAGGCGTTGATGGCTATACGAAGTTGTGCTTTCGGCTATATATATATTTGACCGGACATAAAATATGGCGGTCAGAGCCTCTGATTGGTTAATAAATACTAGGTTATAACTTTAGAACTGCCGTTAGATTGGATGAAATTTGGTGTGAATCTTGATGACCGTATCAATAAATTAGTTTGAAACATTGTTTTTCCCCAAAAATCCAAGATGTCCGCCACAGAAAGTGAAATTCAAATGTGCAGTTTTGAAGAAAATGAAACATATGTGCGGTCTAATATAAACAACAATAAAAAATTGTCACAAAAAACACGTTAAAATTGAAATTTTGATATTTGTCATGGTGTATATTAATGCTCTTCAGACCCTTGCCTATCTAGATAATTATTTATAGTTGTATCAACTATCTATTTCCAAGTGTCATCTCCTACCGTCTGATGACCTGTTACTTTGGTCTAGAGTAAATACACCGGAGGTCAGGCGTCATGCTCCGGAGTAGATAGACTTAACTGTTGGGTAGAACTGTTTCCTATTTGGGGGGACTTAGGTATAATTAAATTAGAACTTGTTCTAAATAAATTTTGTCTCTGAAAGTAAAATTGTTCTCAAACAACTACAATAGCCGATTATCAATGTTTACAAAATATATGAACCCTTATTTCTAAAAATAATATTGGTATTTTGAACGTGTATGTATGATATACATCCTGTTATAGAGATATCTCACCATTCTACTTATGTCATTCAATTTCAGATATAGAAGAAGAGCCAACACCAACACCTACAAAATAGACACGGTTGTCTCCCTTGTCGCAGATCTTACGTTTTGTACCCAGTTTTTAAAATCTTTTCATATGTTTTTTTTTTCAAATTTTGGTTTGCCTAATATGATGTTTATACGTAAAGTATTTAAACAATCATAACAACGCCTTGATACGACAGTAGAGGATAAATGATATCTTCTTTGTGTGTTTATTGTTGTATGTTTGTCACCAAGATATTTACCATTAAATCTATCATCAATTCGTTTGTACTGTATTAAACAATTTTTATGACCCACTTTAAGAGATCGGGTAATCACTTCAATACAGCACCATTAGTCAAGGAAATAGGTAAATGACAATGGCTTAAAATAAAAACATCGTGGAGTTGGTGTTTGTCAAAGTGAAGTCGTGCTGTTTTTACTCCTTATATAATAATAGATAATAGCCGTATTACAAAAGTTTAATAGTAAACAAAACGTCAGATACAATGCTGTTATTGATATCTGAATCTAGTCTCATGACCATAGTTGTCTCCCTTCTCACACTATTCCGTGTAACATTAACGACTTTTAAATCAAACCAGTTGGTCAAGTGATATATAGATACTTGATGGACGCGATTATTATTGTTTAAAAATAAACTAGCTATATCAATGAGAGAGCGTGAAAAACTCACGCGAGGAAACAACTGATATCTTGGACACATGAGGACAAAGAACTGATGTGATGGACACTCGAGGGCAAAGAACTGACATCCCGAACGCTCGAGGACAAAGAACTGATGTCATGAACACTCGAGGACAAAACTAACATCCTGGATACTCGAGGACAGAACTGACTCCCCGGACACTCGAGGATAAAGAACTGACATCCTGGAAAATCGAGGACAAAACTAACATCCTGGATACTCGATGACAGAATTGACACCCCGGATACTCGAGGACAAAGAACTAATGTTATGAACACTCGAGGACATAACTCACATCCTGGACACTCGAGAAAAGAACTGAAAACCTGGACTCATTATGACAACAGTCTGAACAAGACAACAACAAGAATGATAATGTTAACAAAACATCTCACATTCAGAAGGGAAGTGCTCTCAATTCATCTGCAATATCCGCTTTGTTTAACTTAAGTCAATGAAACCAATGCCATTATAAATATAAAAACAGACCAAGGTTTATTACAAGGCGAAATCAAGGCATTCTAATAATTACCAAAAACATTTAAGTGGATAAATGAATATCTCATACGAGAAAATATCTTTATGGGATAATGGAAATGAAAAGCAGGCGAATAAGACCAAGTGTTCCGAGTGAGTAAGCATCTTTTGCTTCAAAGACGGTCTCACCATGTAAATCTTGGTCTATCAAAGTAAGTATCATCTTCATTCACCATATTGAGCTCATTGAGAAATATTCTAATTCTTATATGAGACATGGAGCTGGACGTATTTAATGATTTGCCTGTTTATTTCGGTGCTGTATACCTTGTTCTCATTTGAGAACGTGACATTTCTTACTTGGATTGACCGAGACTTACATGCTGAGTGTCATCTATGAAACAGAAGACGCTTAATCTTTTAGAACACCTGGTCTTATTTTTCTTGGAATCTCCTAGTAAATATTTTGTTCAGCTTTTGCCTTAGTTTGACTGAATATAAGTTTGGATTATGATTATGTTCACATGCTGTTTGTCCTCTTCAATCTGCATCTGGGGAAGGAGGGTGCCGATGAAAGCAGACATTTACTATCTTGCTGAATAACTTTTTGTTCTTTTTCTCCGTGTACTCTTTCTTGTAATTTTTTCTTTTATTCTGTCCCCCTCCCTCCCTTTTTAAGAATGAAATTTGAGTTCTGTTGACGTGTTGATATTTCCTTGTTGATATGCAGTATATCATTACGATAGTAACCCTGAAATGATAGTACCATGTCTAGGCCAGTCTGGTAGGAGCACATGTTAAGGTGTTCACAGACAAGGATTAAGTTAGTACATAACTGATACCTAGATACATTTCCATACAAAGTGGTGTTAGGTATGTTTTTGCCATCGGGACCAAGAAATCTTGTCCTTCCAGGTGTCATAAGCTCCTTATCATTTTCAGTGTGTTTATTTCCCATTCTCTGGCATAGTCATATATCTGCTTGGACTATTAACGTGTGCTGTTCTTAATATTCCAATTAATGAAGTCGATTTTCTCGATATTTTGAAAACTCTCCTAGGACGGCTCCACATGTGCGGGTGAAGCTAGGTCATTCGAACAAAAAATGCTATTGAATATCTAGGAAGAATTAACTTAAAGAGATTGTATGGATTTTTTTGTGTGTTTGAAGTATGAGGGAATTGACGGTTGCTCCGAGGAAACTATTACGGATGTAAATAACCCTCTGGTTTATATGTACAAATATGTCAGAAAAAGTTGTACGTCACCGCCCACACCCAACTGTAAGGCAAAATGTTCTGAAAAAGATCCGTGTCTATGGCAGCCTATTTAAGACTTCATAACTAAATATACGTATCAGGTATTAATGAATTTCTGACATATCTAATTTATTGTGATGTTAATTGTACTTAAAGCTGTAACACAAAATAGGCATTTGTTAACAAGCGATTACAACAGTGCAGCGTGTACCAAATATGGAAAAAAATCCAGTTTTTATTGGCTTAGAGGGCTTGTGAACAAGTGATTACAACTGTAAACTTGTAAAAAAAAAGGGAAAAAAATTAGATAAATAGAAAAACGAAAGCTTAAAAACTCCATTGCTTATTTTTATTTGTTGTTACAAATATATTAATTTATCACAGAATCGGCCGTTATATAGTTTATTCGCGTATACCTATATACCTGCATTAGTCACCAGTGTTATATAACCATGGGCCGTTTTTTATTGACTGTTTCTGTCAGAAATTAACTGTGATGTAATAATAAGGACAATGACGTACGTCATGACTTGACAATGACCTTACAATGTGGCTGCTTGGCTTTGATATCCCCTCATAGTTTTCAATAGCTGTCAAAATGTCATTCTAGTGTGTTACGTGATAAACAGAATAGTTTCCCCATCTCCTTTCATATGAAATTTAATAAATCGAGACTTGTGAAAATTTCCTGTCTGTCGTTGTATGATAAGATACAGCCTTGACACTGGCTTTTACCTGGTCTGTAGTCTGTTCTATGATGAAAAATCAGCTAACGCGAAAAGAGGGTAACGATTCATCTAAATTTAACCGCCCACCAATGAATTACAACAGGAGTGCGTGCCTAATTCTTACCTGTTTTCATTCCGTCGTGTGACTATTTAATTTATGTCGGTAGTGATAAACCCTGTTCCTACATCGTAGTCGTTTTATACCTTCTTCTGATGAAATATCTTTGTTTTACAACGCAAACAGCAGACAGGCAGTTTGTCATTGTCTAGTACTGCAGTCCCCCAGGTGGCACCACGTGAATTAGTTATCATCATACAGTGCATATCGAAGATGATATCATAGTTCAACTTTCTGTTTCTTCGTTATATTTGGTGGTAAAATCTTTGGACAACAAATTACTGACATATCCATATAAATAAACAATATCCCTGTTATGGTTGTTTTGTTTTATAAGAGGCTAAATCTATCGAAGGATTATACATATGTTGTTGTTATTGTTGACACCACACCACTACCTGTAAAGATTCCAACACAGTTCTCTACAAAGATTAGTATAATTACGTCGTGACATTGCTTACAATGATTTACAGGATGTCGTCGATGAAGACTGACTCAGTTCTAAAACACATTGTCTTATTCTCCTTTCGTTTTTCAAGTGCTTCCATGTATAATCAGAATTATGTCAACATGTGTTGTTTTGTGTGTTCTAAACGGAGATCACTCTACGTTGTAAATATCGGTTGTCACTAGTACCGGTGTATTTGATTGCTAATCATGCATCACCCTCACCCAAACGCGCCCTAAGACACACATATGAATAATTACCCTTCGGTGCATATTTAGGAACTTTTTAGGCCCTTAACATCACTGACGAGTCCTAAAAAGACGAAACAGATGTATGAATATATACATTTTTATTAAAAGGTGTTATTCACTTGTGTTTCTTCCGTACAATCAATTGTTTTTGTAATTGTATGCTCAAGTTGATTGGTATTGACAATGCCTGTGTAATTGATGCGCAAATTACAGGTATTCATTAGTATACTACCACAGCACCTCCATAGGTAAGAAAGTAGAGAGCTGTTTACTCTTTTTCGAAGAAAGGCACAAAATCTGAAAATTACCATCGTCAGATTCCCAGTAAATATGAGTCACACTATTTTGGAATGTCTTGCAGCAATTAAGCAGAAAATTATTTTTCTTGGAAAACAAGTAAAGAGCCGTACAATAATATTCGTGTGTTTTTTCTCCCGTACGATCAATACATCAATAAATATGATGTAATAAATGTGATTAGATTGTTCGTATTAGACAAAAAACTATTAAGAGTTATTGAAATTATATTTGTGACAACTTACCCGTCAAGTCACGGTTTACGAGCATTGTACCTGGCAAGCAGTTGTATACATATATAAATAATGACACTTTCCGCATTGAATTTTTTTACAAATCCAAGGCCACAGAATCATATTAAAGAGGCCTTTTAACGTTTCTCGTTAAACAAGACATGACTCAGATATTGACATAAGAATATTAACACACAACTATCATGGGTACAGACTTTTTAAATAACACGTCCTCTCTGTCTTGATAGTATTTATCCAAAATGAAATTTGTGGTATGTGGATGTTAAAGAACTCCAATATCCATTCGACCAAGCTTGAAATCCCTGTAATAAAAACATTTTTTCATTACTTTATCATGGGTATCCGTGTAAATCTACTTTGGTTCATATCATGCCTTATTCATAAGTGTAAATCTACTTTGGTTCATATTTTGTCTTATTCATGGGTGTAAATCTACTTTGGTTCATAATTTGCCTTATTCATGGGTGTAAATCTACTTTGGTTCATATTTTGTCTTATTCATGGGTGTA